TTAATATTATTAAGATAGTTGTATTTCGCGAAAAGAGGAAAATTTGCATTTAAAAAGAATAAAAATTGCTAAGAAATTAGTAGAAAACACCCCTTATCAAGGTATGCAGTGCCAGGATATAAAGACCTCTTTCTTAAATTACTACTGTTATTAAAAATAAGTAACAAAATTGCACACAGAACTCGTGCGAGAACGCAAAGTATTTTCTTTCCTGGCTGTCAGTTATATTACGAGAGTATTTTAGTCTGAGTGGCTGGCATCGTTTATAAGTCGTACTGAAAGAATAAAGAATTTTTAATACAACATGCCCGAACCAACTATAGAAACTTTGCAAAATTAAAGTTGAAGACACTTTACTTTGTTTAGAAAATGAAATAGTTAAAGCTAGAAATTTAATTAAATATTCAAATCATTTGAACAGTTTGCACCTGCACCTCTTTACGTTTTCTTAATTTTATAAAAAATATGTTCAGTATTTATTATCCAAATCTATGAAGTTTAGAAATACTTATTATTTTGTTCTTTCTTTTTATTTTTCTTATATTATCTTTATTCCTTTTGTGTAAGCAACTTTGTAATTTTGTGTGAAATTAAACAGTTGTACTAGTTAATACCTGTACTTCCAATCATAGTATACAAACTGAGAAGAGGAATGTAAAGGTTTTTTTTTTATAACGATGATGATCATAGTATTAATTAGTAAGTTTTTGGTTGGTATATTAGTTTCTTTTTTGTTTAGTAGGTTGGTTTGTTGAATTTTTTATGTTTTGGGTGATTTGATTGTTCGTTTTTTTCATTTGCTACTTGATGTGTTAGGCGCTTGGTGTATTAGTTTTTTTTTTTTTTTTTTTTTTTTTACGTATGGGTACGCTGAGAAGGCAAATCCGGTTTTCTCAGCTCTCGCAGCCACTACGTCTATCGCCGATTGCATCCTACCGCCAACCTCCGCCAGATCCTTACCTGAGTGGTAGAATCAGAGGTCGTCGACAAAGAGCATTCTCCTTGTCTGCGGAGGGACGCGGTCAGCGATACTATTCACCGCAACCGAGAAAAGCGCAACGCTCATCACCGAACCTTGAGAGAAACCGTTCTCCTGAACGTAATACCTAGAAAGAACGTTTCCCAGCCTGACTCGATACTTACGGTTCTCCAGGAAACCCCGGATAAACCGTGGCAATTTACCTCTCAGTCCGAAATCGTGACATTTCCGAAGTATCGCGTATCACCACGTAGTATCATACGCCTTCTCGAGGTCGAAAAACACGGCCGGAGCGTGTTCTCTGTTCAGGAATGTGTCATGAACGTCTCCCTCGAGCTGACAACTATGATCTACTGCGGAGCGATGCCTACGGAACCCTGCTCGGTACTGGCTGTAAAATCCCTTTCTCTCAAGGTGCCAGAACAATCGACCGTTCACCATGGATTCCAGGATCTTGCTCAAGTTGTCAACGAAATCGGTCTTAACTCGTGGCCAGACTTGGGTCCCTACCCTTCTTGAGGATCGGTATAATGAGCGCTTCTCGCCAACGATCGGGGTACTTGCCTGAGTCCCATATGTTGTTGAATAATTCCAACAGTCACACTTCTCGCCATGGAGAAGGAGTCGAAGCATCTCATATAGGATACCGTCACACCCGGGGATTGAATTCCGGGAGTACCCCAACGCAGATTCGAGCTCCCCCATTGTCATGGGCATGTTGTACTGTTCCATCTCGGTGCCGGAATATGATTCAGAGCTGGATACAGCAGCGAAATGCAGCGCCAACTCCTCGGCAACATTCGTAGCCTCCGTCACACACCCCCGATCGGTGGTTAGTATCGGCACCGAGGGAGGTTTATACCTGCCAGAGATAGCTCTGACCTTCTCCCAGACCTCCCTGGCTGAAGTACACACTTCGCCAGGCTGTAGTTGGTTAGTTCATTGACTAGTTGGTTGGAATGTTAAGTTGTGGGTTCTTTGAGTGAAATGAATTGCTTCTCAATATTGGGATAATTCCTTGAAGATATTCGTCACTTTATTGATCTCGCAACGTATTTGGACACTACACAATACGTACAACCAAGATTCGTGGATAGAAGTTTAAAAAGATATGTTTAAAATACAACAAAGCAATCTTTAATTATTTTTTTAAAGAATTAATCTTAACAATTACTGATATTTTAATGTGTTTTTCACTGTTAAATACTATGCAAATATCCACTAATTACGGTAGGTAAATTTTTCGATTCACTGCAATATGCGATTTTCAATTAAATGTCAATGTTTATATTACAAAATTACATATAATATAAAATACCATTATTATATCAAAGAGCTAATTAAAATAATCAACATAGTCTTTTATAACTTGATTTTTTTCATATTATTTGCTCTTATTTTGTATCTAATTAAAATTCCAATTAAATAATAGTCTAATTAAAAAAATAAGCAAGTTTTTTGTTAAACTAAAAAAATGTTACTTTAAGCCACAAAATGTCCAATTGTTACAATTCATGCTTTACATTTGTGTTTACCTTTTAAATATTTTTCTTTGTAAAAAATGTAAATAAGTCATAAAAAATATTTTTTCAAATGGTTTTATTTATATAATTAGCCTTATACAAACATTGATTGTCTTTGAAAAATATTCCAATCAAGATGACAAAAAGGAGAATAGTAGGAACGAACTGTTGAAAATTAAACTCATTTATATCAAGAACAAAAGGAGTTTATTTGAAAGTCCTCGGCAGCATACAAACTAGCAGAAGGCAAGTTAATCGAAGAAAGTTAGAGTGGCAACTGGAGTTGTTTGTGTTTAATATTAACCCGTGGGTGGGGCAGGCTGGAGCGGGCTACTTGAAGGATCTTTGAGAAGTCAAAGTCGGCCAGATAAAACGATGTGTTATTTTCCTGTTTTCAGCCGTCATTCAAAAGTTCCTGATTCCTTAATCAAGCAGATGTCTCGAAACGTTTCCCCCATTCCGACCGAATTGGACAACTTTTCAAACGTGGTCTCAAATCTCAGCCATTTCAATTTTCGTCGCAAGTCTCAATAGAGCAGCCTTACTAACAATAAGTTTTGAAGTTGAAAAAACAACCGCGAGTGGCACAAGGACCCCTGTACAAATTAAAGCGCGTAATAAAATAAAAAGAGAGAGAATAAAGTTATTTTAAATACAGTTTATCAATTTGTTTGTTGGATTGTTTTTGTATTTGTACTTCTCAGTATTCAAATTCCTTGAAGATTCTCGCCTCTTTACTCGTTTCGTAACGTTGTTGGGCATTAATCTAAACTTTAACAAGATTCGTGAATGTTATTTTGATAAAAAAAAGAAAAAAAAGCTTGGCTGTTAACAATTTTTGAAATTAAGTGCTTCTCAACATTCGGATAATTCCGAGAAGATCGCCACTTTATTCGTTTCGTAACGTTGGACATAATTCGTACTAATATCGTTTATAAGTTAGTTTGCTGATTAACATAGAAATATAAAATACATTTAAATTGCTCTTCCTATTCTTTTTACCCAACCATATTATGAATACATGCAAATGTGGTGATTTTCAAAATTACGAAATAATTTAATTTTTAAAATACTCCCATTAAATGGATATTCTAATAATATTAATAAAACAAATATAGTATAAAAATATTCAAAACATAAATAAAATTAAATATAATATAAAAATTTTCTCAAAAAAATATTAATAGCCCAAGTCAGAGCTCAAAGACTACAGGAAAAACAAAATGAAAATAATATTAAAAACTTCACATACTTATATCAACAATATATCAGAATATTTAAAGAAAATCAGAAAGAAAAAATAGGCAGAACAATTAAAACTTACTTACACTAATGGTGTTGATTACATAAAATTTGGTTTTATACCTAAAACTAAAATAAATAGTTTATACCCCCCCCACCAAATAAAAGATACTAAAAAGATAAATCAAACAAATAATATATTTTACTCAATTAATTGTGATGAATGTGATAAAATAGGCATCGACCAAACAAAAAACATGGGTTGAAGAACCATAGCAATATATCATAACATATAAAATATATTTAAAAAAGTAACACAGCCTTTTCTCAGCATATAAACTACTCAAAACATACACCCATTTAAAATTATTTTGAACAAAACCCTTTTAAAAGACAAATGTTAGAATGCATATATATTACAAAAAATAATGAAAAAACTTTAAATTAAATAAACTGATTACAGCCAAATATCCCTAGTATGTTCCGATGTTTAAAAAAACAAAAAATTCACAAAAATATATAAAAATAATTACATTTATTTTGTTAATAATTAAAAAATACATAAATAAAGCTAATTTAAAAATCCAATATTTAAAATTGTGACTACTAACTCTTAAAATAATATTAAAACTTCCTTAATGTTAAATAAATATTATAAAAAATTTAAAATAAATTTATTACGAAAAATTTCATAAGAAAAAATAGTAAAAAAACATCAAAAATTATATTTCTAATTTAAAAAACAAATAGTTTAACAAAAAAAATAGGCCTTCTTCCATTTGGCTATGCGGCTTGTCGGCAAGTAAATTTTTCTTTTTCTTTATATTGCTAAAAAATAATACAATGTAACTTAAATCACAGATTCAAGATGGTCATATCTTTCAAAATATCATATCGTTAATAATAAATTATAAATTTAATACAATATAAAGTAAGCTTTTTAATAAAATGTTATAAAATATGAATATCAATGTCCTTTGATAAAAAATATAGTTCTGATGATGGGTGTAAATTTTTGAAACAAATAAATGTAAATAAGTAATGTATTTACTTTTTTTATTAAAAACACCACATGGAAATGTTTTCTAACAAGCCAAGAAATAATTGAGACATTTATGGACGTAATAAAGCTAGCACTGTTTTTTTTCTGTATTTTTTTTAAGCTAAAGCTGTATAAATTGTTTATATAATTGTTTAAAAAAAACGTAAATCATTTACAAATAAAATATGTTTAATACCAATAAAAATTTAGAACTACTTTGCAAAGTTAAAACGTTGATAGTTGCAAAATTCAGTATTAACAATGAATATTTGTATGATTTTGTAAATTTATTAACGATGTTTTATGTTGACTATGTTTTTTTTAAGAGGAAAGAGAAATTCGTCTGAAGCGCGTTGGCAACACTGGGATACATGCTACAGCGTGACTGTCAGGTACCATATTTAGGAAAATCGTTTGACGGTTACCTCCTCGACCTGTCCTCCCGTTATTCGGAGTCGTTTGAGAATCCAGTTAAATTCTTTTCCACGATCGCTTATAACAAAAAAGACGGCTTTGACCGCGGACCGGTACCCACGAAGGAAAAATGGCCAAGATGGTTCTGCGAGTGAGGACGAAATCCGGCATGAACGTGCTCGTGGATCACTTGAACCCAACCAGCACCCTCCTCGAGCTGAAAGAATTCGTCTCGGCAAAGGTGGACATCCCGGTGGAGAGGATGGTGATCCTTAGCGGCTACCCGCCCAGACCCCTGGAGCTTTCCATGAACGACATCACCCTGGAAGTGGCAGGGATCAAATCGGGCGACTCTCTCGCCGTCGAGGATTCTCCTCTGCCCAAGGAGCTGGCGGCATCTCCTCCGAGACGGCACGTCATCGACGACCAGGGTTCGACGGGACTCCTTCTCAGGCAAGTCGTACCGGCCGACAACTCTTGCCTCTTCACCAGCATTGGATTCGTACTCGGAGGTACGCTTTATTTAATTGATCAGCTATACTGGGTCAGTTGAATCCATAACACAGAAACCCAGCATTACATACTTGTCACTAGTCTAAGCATCTACTTGCAATAAGTTAAGTAGTCAGTGAGGAAATTTTGGTCCTTTGCATACAAGGTACGTCCTCTTATATTGGTCAATCTGGGTGATGCCGTGTCAGAAATGTTGATGAGCCAGGGTCTCCTTCATTCCATTCAATTCTTCGATATTTAGTTTTTAAAATTTGACAGTAATTAATGATTGTTTGTAGGACGACAAACAGGGCACTTATCTTTGGCCTTTATTTAGAGTGTCATCTAAGTAGAGGTTTTAATACAAAGAAAATTAATCTTTCATGCCGATGCATCTGTAACTGCCCTGTACACAGAGTTGTCCCCTAAACACGGAGAGTCTCTTATCAGCTGTTCCACTTTTTTTTTTTTTTTTTTTTTTTTTTTTTTTTTTTTTTTTTTTTTTTTTTTTTTTTTTTTTTTTTTTTTTTTTTTTTGCATGCATGTTAAATGCCCAGTTGTCTAAAGGCTACATGCCCAGTTTACCTGAAACAGATTGGAAGAATAAACTGAACTGAATGTAGCCACAATTTTTCTCTTGATTAAAAAAGGTTAAGCTCTCTTTAAGACTTCAAGAAGATCCAGGAAAAAGAATTGCAGCAATGACCTACTACTTCTTAATAGATGGATGGAGTCAATTGAACTGAACTAAGGATATAGGAAAAGATCAATAAACAAAATTCTAGTATTCTATTATTATGACCCAGTATCATTAATTTTTACCTCATCCTATTTATTTTAGCAGTTTGGTTTTGTTTTTTAAGGTTATTTATCACATTATAGGTCTTATGTCCTAGGTCCTAAATGTACCTTTTGGTCATAACATTTGCATATTTATGTTATAGGTAAAGTAGACCCTTCGTGTGGCACTTACATGAGACAGATAATAGCTGAACAAGTGGGTTCAAATGAGGATGAATATTCAGAAGCTATCCTCGGTAAGCCAAACAAGGATTACTGCAAATGGATTCAGAAGCCAGAATCTTGGGGTGGTGCAATTGAACTGGCCGTACTCTCAAATTTTTACGGTATGGAGATAGCCGTCGTCGACACTATGAATGCTGTGATAAATAAATTTGGTGAAGACAAAAACTACGAATATCGAGTGTTTCTTATATTCGACGGGATACATTACGATCCATTGTACAGAGAAATGATTGGGGTAATTAGCGATACACTTATTATATATATTTTTTTTTTATCTTTGCGTTAATCATTTTGTTTATGGAATAGGGGGAGATGAAAATCCAGACAATGTTTCTAAGGTCAAATGAAAACGCTCTCCGAGAAGCAGAAGAACTTGCCCAGGAAGCAAAGTCAAGCCGACAATACACAGACGTCAACCGTTTCACACTAAAATGCCTTGTCTGCCGTGAGAAACTTCAGGGGCAGACCCAAGCCCAAGCCCATGCCAAAAAAACGGGTCACATGAATTTTGGTGAGACGACAAGTTAACAAATACAAAAAAATAAGGGAAAAAGCCCCTTTATTAAAATAACGTCGCTTGACAACCTGCTCACTACTTTGTTGTTGTTACTGTAATTAATTACGTTCCAAAGCTTGAAATCTAGTTTTGTGAGTACAATTCAATGATCTTCAAGTTTTACATGCAAAACAAGATTTTATAGTACGACCAATCTTGCCTTGGCATGTTTCTTTTCCTACGTAAGAATAGTGACATTGTTGTATGTAATTATTTGATTTGTCATTGTTGTGACATACAACAATGATACAAAATCCATAATTAAAATATATAAATATCAAAACAAATTCAGTTAAGAATGTTCCAAAACATTGTTAATCCTTAAATTTAAACAGTTATATTTTATAAATCTCAAATTTAAAATAGCAGGTAACTTGGGATCCATTCTTACTTTATAGACTTTATTTATTAAAACAGTAATTTCAACCAGTAGATAGGCTATGCATAAACAAAACTTGTTTTATAAAAACAGTACAATTGAGCAATAGCAAAAGATAAAAATTTATATAAAGGACTCAAAAGCACTTATTGAATGTGTGATTCAATAGTCACCTTAAACAAATTTTTATATTATATTTTAAACTGATAGGGACTTTTTGTACTTAACCCATGTGCACAATGGACTTGATGTGCACTATTTTATTTTTTATATTGTTAGGGAGCCAGCTGGGTTTTTTTTTCTGTCTTTTTGTCCCTACAACCTCCTGGTGTTGCTGGGTGATTATCAGTTTTCGACCAAAACTACCAACATGATGACATATTTACTAAAGGTAGAGATTTTCATAGACCAGTTGTACAGAATTGTTATGGTGCATATCCAGTTATTTGTAAGATCTGTTTTTGATATAATACAAATGGTATATGCTGGTAATTACAAGCTGCAAGTTAACATGGATGGGGTGCAGTGTGAGACATACTTGATCCCGATGCTCGAGGATGTCTTGAAATTGACAACTGTTCTGAATCGTCTTTTCCAACTTCACACCCTAAGTTTTAAATCATTGTCTTGGAATATTGATAGGTTTTTGTTACATTAACATTACATTTTAATCTTGGGTTTTATGTTATTTACAAAGGTTCAATTTTTTTAACCAACATCTTCCATCCTTATCAATTTTATTAGAGTATGTTGGTGAATTAATGATACTTAAAAAATGTTCTTTGCTTAATAGAATCCCAAGCAGAAGCTAAATTGAAACAATATTCTCAAATAAAGAACCCTGTTTTCCCTCTTTTTATAATTCCATAAATTAATTTCTGTTATTAAATTAATAAGAGTGTTACAGTTACATTGACTTCACATAATGCATGTATTTGATTCATGGATTAGCTTTACAGCCTCGGAATATATTTTTATATGTAAGTCATATTTAAAAGTCAGCCTAGTCTAATGTATCATAATGTGTATATCTTAAAGGTATGGTATTTGTTCAAACATATTAAGGTTTTGTACACATTATTTTCACTCAAAATTAATTAGCTTAAAAATGAGATTTTTAAAGAGTCAAATGAGTATGGTTGAAAAATTATATGAAATGGTTCAAAAATATTCAAATTGAATAATATAATTGGGTACCATATAAATAATAAAAAGTACCTGTTCTAATTCGAGTTACGAAAAACTTTCTTTCTTATATTTATTTATTAACCAAATATTTTATTAATCAGTGAATGCTTTAATTTGTATCAATTGAAAATTCTGTTAATTTTAAGATGCATTTTATGTTCATTCGTTACAAAAGGTTGAACATGAGTTTTCAAAATGTAACAGTCGAAGATTTTTTGCCACTTATTTCTTGCTAATCTGCTTGAAAAATTGATGTTAAGTTGTTACTCTTTTATAAAGCATAGTGGCTACCCAATGATTTATATAAGACTAAAAACAATTATTTTCATATTTAGTGCAGTAATGATTATAGGGTTTTTTTTTTTTTTTTTAATCCCTTGGCTTAGAAATAATGCAAACCCAAAATATCGTATAGACTAAAATAAGTGATCTCATAATTCTTATATATGATATCAACCAAAAAAATTATGTGGTTGTGTACATATTGTTAAATAGATTAACTAAAGTGTCAATTCAACATCTAGTAAATGATATCACTTGTTTGTAAAACTGGCTAATCTCTTTCTTTCTTTTTATATATATATATATATATATATATATATGTACGCTGTCTTATGACTGTAACGAATATGTAAAAATTAAGGGGCCTTATGAATATGCTAAAAAGTATCTTTTGAGGGGGAAAAAGAATCAGTTTTGTAAAGGAATTTGTAGTATATGTTTCATTGTAATAAATCGCAGGTTATTCATTAATTATTGTTATGGATTGCAGTAATTTTTTTTATTGAAACTATGAATTTTATTTCCTTTTTAAGTCCCTCCTCCCCTCCCATATATGTTAGCAGACACTGAGGTAATCTACCAGACCAGGCGGAGGCATGGTGCTTCACCTTAAAGACCTTGAATAGCTTTGTGGGAAATGAATGCAGTGATACCGCGATGAATTATGGCCACCAACCATAATTATTTTAGACTGGTGGGGGTCATTGGAATAGCCGTGTCCCGTACAAACAATAGATGCACCATGGTATATGAGAAACTCAACTTCATCGAGATTTAAACTTCCTTACTTACCATCAATGAATTTATTACGACTGAATTCAAAAAGTTCCACACTAACCTAAGTCTCGTAAACCATGTCAACATGGAACAAAAGGTGAAGGACAGGCTCAAACCCCGTTTGCTTCAAGATATTCTCTAGCTGTGCATTCATTCCAGTTAAAATCATGAAGTTGACTTTTCCCTGTGATATCTTTATATATTATTTTATATATATAACCTGAACTGTTAATTTTTTCTAATAATAAAAATAAAATCGTGGCCATACACAAAGAAAGATTAAGATATGATCAGCTAACCCAAAATAAAAAAGATTATAAATTTACATTAGATAGTTTGAACAGTATAATAGTGTAACAGAAAACAAGTTTTCTCTTTAATGACTAGCAACTGAGCCAAAGAAAATATAAAAAGAAATTGTGGTACACAATTTTACAGCTGCAGGGATAAAAGATTAAGTTGGAAGGATTTTCATTTTTATATATGTAAAACAATATTTATTTGTTTTAATCTTTATTTTCCATCAAAAATCACATGATTTTTACCACAAAAAAAAAAAATTGTTCAAAGTGTACACAAAGATAAAAATTACCAGACATGTCTGTAACTGATTTCAAATTGGATTGCATTGAAGACAACACGGAAGTAAATCACGAGGCATATTTTGACAATTTCCCGCTCCACTTGATCGACAAGATATTACTTTATTTGCCGATTTCATCCCTCGGAGACATAGCACTTGTCAGCTCGCTGTTCAAGTCAAGGGTTTGTTCCGTCCTGAGGGAGATATTTTTCAGACTGGACTCGGACATAAACGAAGAAATCCAGTCTCTCAAGTTGGAGATAATGAGGATCCCATCGGAGGAGGAGATCGTTCTACTCAGGCTACCTCTGTTCAGATCTTTCTTCATATGCGAAATGCTCAGAGTGGAGCTGAATGTCTTCAAAGTCGCTGACAGGTGCGAGCTGTATAGCAACCGTCAGTCCATCCTCGGTATGGCAAAAATTCTCAACCTGTTCAACAACTTATATGAAGAAGTGAGTCACATTTTTGTTTAATATTAAAAAAAACTTTTTTTTTTCAAATATATTCACCAATGAATACATCTGATATGAAAATTCATTGTAAAAAAATTAATAGAAATAAAATATTTTATATTCAATTTACTTTTTAATGTCCAAGTTTTACTTTTTTAACATACATTGGTATTGGTAGACTCATCGGAATCCGAAGGCCATTCAAATCATTGTTATGTGACAATGATTTTTCACTTCAAAACAATTCTGTATGTTAATCAAATGTATATAAAATATTTTATTTGTTTATCCAAATAATTTACACTGAATTCGTTTATCAAAGAGCTTAAATTAATTGTTTTCCTCATCCTAGCTTCACTGGATGAGGAAATTAGTTTAGATATAAGATGTCTAATATAAGCACAATCATCTACACACTACATTTTTAAAAAAATGGGTCTTCAGTGTCCTCAAGAGTTAAAGCATTGACATAGCGATTTATCACTGTAAGGGTCCCAGGTTCGAATCTCAGGGCCTCTAGTTGCACCCACAATACTTACAAATAGGCTTTTTTTTTTTTTTTTTGAGTCGATAAGTCTTCGTAGTTTTTTTTTTTCTGAAGTTTGAAGATAAATATTTAATAATTATAGTCTACAAAACGAGAGCTGCCTCCTTGGCATGTTAATGATGGATACACTGTTTCAATGGCAAAGTTGACCAAAACGTACTTAGAACTTAGGGCGAATGAAGAGGCGCACGATGAATATTTTGGATGTCGTATTCTAGAACTCCTCAATTTATTTTTGTACAAGGTTTACAAGATCAAAGTACGATATATCCCATTAGCTAACTCATGCACAATAGAAGCGCAATATGAAATATCTCAACAGCAGGTAACAACCATGTTTTAAACACAATGATTATCTTATTTGAACGCCAGTATTTCCAGTTTATTCAAGCACCGCCTAAGCTAATTGATCCAACTTCACATATCCCCACATCCGAAGATAAAAAAAACATAATACGCTTCTTAATGAACCTGGTGAGGACCAACAGCAGGATCATCTTGAGAAATGAACAATACTTCCGAGAGTTGGAGGGCACTCGAGGGTATGTCCGGTTTGTGTAAACATTCAATTGTGTCTTATTTTATTGAATTGCAGCACGCAATCGCACGAGTTCTTGTTCGGCACGACGCAGACAACAATGCCAAGGAGTCGTGTATTATCAAGACAGTTTAGAGAGTACCGTGTGCTTCCGAACCCTGTTAGGAAAATAGAGCTGAATGACGGCCTGTACGAAATCGAAGAAGAGTTCAAGACGAGAGATGTGATACTGCATCCCATTCAAAGCACCTGCGGGGTTGGTAACTGTTTAAAGTGTAATTTCAACCGTGCATCGTTTGTGCTATTTCTTTCCTGAGTACATCGTTTTAGATGCTTGAAGATATTCAAATGCGATGTAAAAATGCGTTGCTCGATGGATACCTTGCCGAGGCATGTGGCTGATAGCTGGCAGAGGCTTAAAGTTGACCTTTTCGCTGGAAAACTCATATCCAGCCCACTTTGGTCAGTTCTGGCCCATCATCTTCGCAATGACTATACCCCATCAGGGACTAGAATCGGTGGGAATAACATTCAAATGCGTAAGTCACAATTTAAATACTAACGTTTAGTTGATCGTTTCTAATCATTTCGGTATACTACATTTTACATTGAAGCCGTGTCACATGGTTCAAATTAATTGGAGACACGACCAAACTACATGTCCATAACCCTGCATAAATTTTTGTTTTGTTCTTCCAGCAAACTCACTGAACTGTGTAATGAACTTAAGGAGTACTTTTCTCCACAGAGATGCGGACTTGATTCTGAGATTTCAAGAGCCTTAAATAGTCTGCAAATGAAGAGAAAAAATCAACTGGACAAATACAATACAAAACCATTATTATTTTATCTTTTACAGCTTTAATTACAAAACAAACAAATACATTAGCAATATCTTTAAAAAATAATAATTTAAAGGTATTATGATTGTTCGTCTTCCATTCATCAAAATAATCTTTTTGTAAATTATTTACAAAACTTTTTATATGGCACATGCAATCTGACAGACATTGGCATTTTGCAATCTTCAGGGGTCAATCTAACTGTTCACATGTTACAAACTCGTAAAAGTGCACGGTTGATGAAATAACGCAGACCAACCACTGAAGTATGTTTAGGCTGGATCAGGTCTGATCAAACAGACTACACAAATAGGTGCGATCGAATTACTCTAAAATTAACCAGATATTTGAAGCTTCTCCACTTGTCTTGTAAAAGTTAAAACTTTTCAAATTGTTTGTGAAATTTTAAAACAAATATAATTTCAGAAATAATTTCTGGCAGACTAATGGATTTTTTTTATTTTTTTAATAGTGATTGGGTTGAAATGGAAACTTCCTTCTGCTTCAATAAATACATTTTATTGTGTAAATTAATGTAAACATTTATTATCACAAAAATTGTAGACATAAGGCAACAACTTATAAACAAATTAATAGTTATAAATCTAAAACTCCCATAAATATTAAGTATAAATAATAAAAATAGCAGTTGCACCTTCCATGACGATAATTTAACTCTTACTTGAGCAATCGCCATAACATTCCATAGAAGGCTTGTTTATGAAACTTTTGTCTTTTTTTCTTTCTTTCCTTCCTTCAATCAGAAAATAAATCATTAACAAAAAATCTAATTTATCCAAGCGTTCTGCTGCTACTTTCAGTTGCTATAGTAAATATTTTGTACTACTACATTTCAACCAGTATATTTAAATCATCTGAATTTGTACATTGCAAATATACATGATGTACATATAAATCCTTGACTAGCAAATTAAGGCAGAGTTCGAAACAAAGGAACACGAAAAAAAAGGAATAAGAGCAGCAAAAAATAGCACAAAGGTTATTCCCAATTTCCTTATTAATCTCGCCATTATAAAGGCAATTTAAAATACAAACGCTAAAAATAAAATCTATGAAAAAAAAAAATACAACGAAATGAATAAAATGACAAAAAGCATACCTATTTTGTACACTGTGCTCATTTTAACCCAGACTAGACAAACGCTTAACCATTCAAACATTCAACTCTCCTCGATATTAATATTACACAATGTACACAAAAACATAATTGTTATAAATTTTAAAAAACAATTATTTTTTTATGCATAATTAGAAAAGTTATCTTCTTTAACGATTAAATAGAATAATAAAATAAATAAAATAAAAATATTGAAGTATTACATTAGGACATAATCACACTTATTAACAACATACCAAAAACAAAACTAAGCAGCTTAAATTTAATTGCTTATCACAAGTTCATTACATATTTTCTCTTAAGCTAATCGGATGTATCATCAGTCTTCAATACAGATTTATTTTTTTATTTTTTAGGGGGAATTTTTCATCACCTAACTTAGGTAAAGTGATATGATCATTTTGTATTATTATTTTCATTGAAAACAAACAAAAAAAAATACAAATTATTCGTTGATTAAACACAAAACAAAGACATTACAAATATATGATAATTGTAATGTAATCCCTTTGAAAAATTAACACGAACTATCCGAAAATGTATTGTCTTTTCAAAAAATAAAATAAAAATAGAAAAAAGATTTCAATGAAAAATGAAAATTAGGAAATAAATCTCAGCTGCTTCTTCAGAAAATGGTTACTTTTTTTTATTAAATGCTATACACTATAAACAAAACTATCTCTAGTCTTCTTTGTACGGAGCCGTCGCTGCGCCACTGAAGAGCTGTCAAATCCACATTCTGCCTCTTGTAGCGAAAGACAGCATTGACCTAAGTCTAAAAAACAAACAGGCTGTCTAAAAATTAGGAAAAAAGTCTTGATAGTGGATGTATTCAGAAGTAAGAATAACATTAGGTCGAAAGGTTGGGATAAAGTTAGAGGGTTTTATAGAGGCGACTCTATCGACTTCTGGTTTTGAGGAAAAATTGTGTGATTAGTAAGGTTACAAAGTAGAGAGCTTGGCAATGGTTCGGACGATTTTTTACTAGTATGATGATTCTTTAGGTTGGAATACTTGATTAAACCCCACAGTTCAATTCTACCCAGATTAGTTGTAATAATATTTAGATGAGTCATGTTTTCTAGTGCGAGTTTCGATCTGTTGTCTATTCAGTTCTATTATTTTGAGTAGTGTTCCAGGCAAGTCTTTTGCCGATGTAAAGTCCTAAATAGCGGAGGACATTACTTGCTCCGAAAAGAATAGGGGTACAGTAGATTGAAGGAAAGGTATGGCAAAGGGTAAATTGGGTTTCGTTGACTAATCCTCCATTACTTGAATCATTCTTACAAACAGGAGATACGGGTCCTGGGGGTTTCTGAAGGTTACTGGGTCTGAGTTTGCTGAAAGGATGGCACTATTGTCTGCATATGTGCTTACTTATCAAGATTGATAGGAGTGTCTGCGGTGTATGATGGGTTGATGATGGAATTAAGGACGCTGCTTTGCGGGACAAGCACTTTAGCATACTGGGTGTTCTGATATTTGAAAGTCTATCAGACAGATAAGATTTTAGAATAAGGTGAATGAAGGATGAAATGATGCAGTTTCCAGAGCAAGCCCGGGTGCCAAACTCGATCGAAGGCTTGCTTAATGTCTGAGAAAGCACCAGAGCAGCATACCTTCCCTCAAGGGAGGAGTCTACCACCCTGTGACACTGCTAAATAATAAAGTGATGTAGCTATATATATATTTCAATCTGGATTTTTTTTAACAATTTAAATTTGTACGACATTAAACTTAGATTTTCCTTTACAACACTATCAAAACAAATGTTTAAACATAAAATAACAATTTATTAATACTAGTTTCTGAACAAATGTGTGGTATTTAGTGACCGTTAGTAATGATTATTCAGAGATTGTGAGATGCGGTCTGGTGTGACGTAGGTTTTAAAAAAACATTTTCTTCATCGTGCCAACGTTTCGATCTCAATAAAGACGTTTTTCTAAAACCTACGTCACACTAGACCGTATCTCACGATGTCCGAATAATTTCTGAACAAAGCATCTATCTTGGAAATTATAAGCTTATAAATAAGTAACATCGTGAATAATCTATCTGCCATTGTCAGTCTGTTGACACACTGAGAATGGTGTCATGTTGAAACACATCTGTTAGACCGGCCCAGGGAGGATAAACAGACTAAAATGATGAAATTTCAGGTTCATCACCCCACAGAAAACAGAAAAATATCACACTTGCACTGATAAATATTATGCATAATAATATAAAGATAATTAATTATAGAAATAAATATTTATTTGATGTTCCAGAATTATCCAAAAGTCTCTGAAGTTAGCATTTTCTTTATTGTCACTTTCTTTTTTCTTTTCAACAACTCATCAAATGATGGGGGGGATAATTTCACAATACTTGTCTGCACTAATATAAATTATCAGCAAAAAACAATCAGGGATTTAACCCAGGACTGTTATACAACGTGTAAATCGGATACCTTTACAATCTTGACCAAATTTTATTACATGTGGGAGGGCAGAGTTCGATAATTGATTAAGGGATAAGAAAAAAAGAGACGAACCTGTTGAAAAGTTCCTTACAGACAGGGGTCGTGAATTTGTTGAACAGGCAGAGAGCGGTCACAGTGGCGAAGAGGATATTGTAGGCGAATACAATTTTAAAATTCCCAAGCCATACAATCTTACCGTAGTGGCCGAGAAGGTCAAAATTTGTTATACCTAAAACATAGAACAACAAAATTTAAAAAAAAAAATTAGCTTCTATCACAGAGTCCCATCGAGTGAAATTTACCTAGGATCCTTGCTAATAGGGGAAGGGCAGAACTTAGAATTAGTAGCAAAGCGCAGTTTGCTATCAGGAGGGAAAGTGGTGTTTTTGCCCTTCTCGGCCTTAACCTTTTTAGAAATGGGACTGAGTATAAGCCGACACAGGATGTCACCGCAAGGTAAAATATTACCACAACTTCAATTGTTGCTCCTAATGGGCCCAATTTGGATAATGATGTAATCCCAAGAGTAAATTGCTGAAATAATTTTAAAAAAACATTATTGACTCATAAAATATTAAGACCTAATTAATAATACTTACAGCGGTGCTTTTAGGCAATGCTTTAACACCAATCAGTAGCATAATCGAATTAACAAGAACTAAAAATATTGTGATGATTGTTAGAACAAACAGCACCAACATGGCCATTGGATATATAATATTCCTTCTGAATGTTGATGTGGCCTTTTGTTTTTCTGTTCAAAAAATAATAATAATAATAAATTAATTGTAAAAAAAAGCAGTACAAAAATTAATTTAATAAATAAATCCCTTAGGTGATGTATCAATGAATTTTACTTAAAAAATTACAACTTACGTAGCACGTCTCTCCTCTGGATGACACTTTCCAGTCTTTCTTTCAGTCCAGTCTGCAAAGCACCGTTCTTGAGACCAAGTACACTTGCGTCTTCCTCGTTCTCAAGGAGTGCAGGCGACATCGGTTCTGGCTTGATGTAAGACTTTCCAGTCATAGACACTAATTTTATTCTGGAATTGAAATTTTAAAAGTTGTCAGACAGAAAATAACAACGTATCGAAAATAGACTCTGTACCTTCTTTTTAACAAATCCTCTTCCATGAGCGTTTTGTAATATTCTTCTTTGATGTTATGGAGGAACTGCGGTTTGACCAAAGACCTACTAACTATTCCAAAAAGGCTTATAAAACCCAAAGGAGTAAAAACTGTAAAAACAAATTAAAACAAAAATAAACGTTTTGAAAGTTAGGAGAAAAACTAACCAACAGAAATACATTAATCACTTACTAAGCTGTAAAATAACTCCCAGGAAAGATATGCACGAGTATAGAAACGGCAAATAATATGTACTAAAATCTGAAAGAAAAAAAGTTAAAATTTACTTTTACTATAGAATTAAAAGTAAAACTTACTTTGGAACGCGAAATAGCCCGATTCATTTGGATCGAGCAACGCCGAAATTACATATGTCAGACCGAAAACTATAAAAATGAGCAGAACTAGCACAGTGCATGTTTCATAAATACGTGACTTGACACTCTGAAAAAAAAAAATCAAGTAAAATAAAAAAATATGCTTACAATTTTATTTATTTTATTTTATTTATTTATTTATTTTTTTTTTTTTTTTAAGGCAAACTCACCCTCCGATATCCTGAAAGGCCTTCTGACTCGGTGAACAAGTAAGCAAACGGAAGCAGGCCAAACAGAGAAACGTTGGAGAACAAAAAAACCAAATTCCATATACCTGAAATGACAATACATTACTTTTAATGACAAAAATTGACTACATTATTAAAATTTAAAATTAATTCTTAAAAGTAAATATTAAATAGAAGTTAAGATAACGGTGCCCTCGCCTCATGATTGGCTGGAAATATAACTTCTTTGAACAAAAATAGAGATTTCTTGATTTTTGTTGTGTTTTTTAAATTCTTTCTTAAAAATATTATTAAACACATTAATAAATTTGATAACAAAATAATTGAGATTCCATTGAAATGATTTACACATAAGTCTAAAAATAACATTGAAAAGTAATCAGCTAAAAATAGTATATTGATTGTAGTTGGATAGATAATGAAAAACAATTATTTTTTTATTTTTTAGATAAATTTACTCTATTACTCTTTATAATAAACTAAACAAACTCAATATTACTGTGATAATTGATGTTGATTAAAGTGTTGACAAAATTTATCAGACCAGTAACGATAACTGTTAAGATAATTTCACAAAAGTTAAAAAGTTATTTAAGCCAGTACGACTCATTTCAAAAGAAATGTTTAAAAGTGGAACAGTGTACGTTCTGAAAAGATAACATTATAATTTATCAACATGAAAGTGAATCGTTTTTAATTTTTTTAAAAACATTTATCAATGAGTCTGAAATTAGATAAATAGCAATAAATCGTCAACAAAAAGAGAAGGAAGTCATTATTCAGACCTACATTACATTTCACGCTCAGGTAAACAGAGATTGTTGTCCAGCCTACAGCGCACAATGGAAAATCGTTACCCGCCCCGGCCAGGAAATTAATAAAAATAACTTACCTTGAATTAAAGAATGATTCAGCCATTTGACATAGTAGCTCTTCGGATACAAGAGAAGTACTTCGTTGCTCGCAATCGACGATGGTAAAAGTAACGCAGCACAGATAGTCACGGAAAGTGCAAAAACGCATAAATACATACTGAAAAATTTGAAAACGTACTTTTTAATATAACAATTATCACAAAATAAAATTATTTGCTCTAAAATAAATTCAAATAAGGAAATTATTGATTAATTTTCTGGTATAATCAATAATACATAATGAAATTGAGGATTGAAGTGGGGCATATTTAATGGAATTTATCAGGCAAGGTCATGAACAGGAGTAATGAGTTTCATGTCATCATCAATCATTTGTCTAAAACCATTGAGTTCACATCTTTGTGGCAAAACCATTGAGATTCAAATAGAGAAAAGTTTGTCTTTTTTGTGCAATTACACGTAATGCATAGTAAACAGATATTTATATATATATATATATATATATACTTAATGATTATAATTATCTAATTAAAGATTAAAATATCAACGGGATCAACTATCCAGTGATTATATAAATAATACAACAACATGTATTTTTCATCTACAACGCAGAACTAATGGATTTGATTTATTTTGTCTTATTTTATTTTTATTTTAGGTTAACTATTTGGTTTATATAACAGAAAGAATCAATATAATTTGTAAAGAATGTCAAAATTATTTAAACTTCTGTGTCAGATTTGTAAGTCTCGACATCAATTTAACTTGACTTCACGACTGACTTGTAAACAAGGCAATATATTTAGAAAGTTGTACGTGAAGGTATTTTTTATAACTTGCCAGCCAGTGAAATACAATCCAGAGGCCACCAATCCTATTTTCAATTTACAACCTTAACCTCGTCGATGTCAATAGCTTCTGCAACTGGAGATGGCTTAGGGCCAAAATCAACATCAAAACTAAGGGCTAAAAAACAATATCACACGCATTAAAATTCTAAGCCAGCTTTGAAAGATACATCACAATTTTTTAAATTAACCAACCAAGGAATGATTGAAATAAGAAAAAATCAAATATTAATGATTTTTATCTTATGAAGAACTTTTATTCTGACTATGGATGATTAACAGAAATTGGATCTTGACCATGTCTGATCATTTTTACCTGTGGTCTTCAAAAAACAGTCGGAAAGAAAAATTATTAACAATTCATTAACATATCTGTTATTCTGTGAGTTTTAGTCTGCCTTTACAATGCTGAAGAAGAAATCTCACAACGGAAATGCTATTGGAAAATACACTTATTAGTGCATGACAACAAACAAGTATCAAATTTAAATTTAATCAAATTACTCAAAGAAAGAATTTTTTCTTAAAGAACTCTTTAGATTTAGTTTAATAAATTCTTGTGAAAGTTATTATTAAGGTCTGCAATGTGATGATGAGCCTGTAGTTTGTTTCCGATCATTTTGGTTTGGCTAACCTAATATTTTGGTCTCTCTGAGAGATGATACAGGCCCAATGCTGAAGACAGACAGATCAAAATTATAAGAAACAATTAACCCACAGCTTCTTTTTTTAAACCACTTACAAAACCCATTTATCCAACATACATATTATCAGGTTGTGGCACTATACTTCTCCACAGGAAGTTGGGGTCTTACAAATTAACAAAGGAAGAAATCCTACAAATGGGTCAATTAATCAATTGATGAATTAGGGCTCGCTTGTATATGTACACTACGAAGAAAACATTAGATCTAAAAAGATTCTGTGTGTAATGAATGACAATGAATTCTGCATCGACCCAGCTGTTTAATTTTCGATATGCATAAGTACATCTGATAGATTAAACTAGCGAGGAACGAAATGAAAGAATGATTCTTCAGTTCTGTATTTTGTTTATGTCAATTATCGATAGCTTCTTTTGTTTATAAAAAATATTGTTTTCTTGGGACTTTCACGGATTGTAAATAGTTTTGTTGTATATGTAAGACATTTTGGTCTGTCAGCCTGAGAAATGACAGACCCAGCACTGCAGACAGACAGGCCAAAACAGCATGGAGTTATAGGATTAACAATTAGTCGAATTTCATGATGAATTAGGACTCGCGAGTGTACATGTGTGTACAGAAAGGAGGATACAATAAAGGATACAATATCATAACCATCAAACCAGCTCTTAAGTTGTCGATATTTAGGTAGAGGATGAAAAGGATGATTTGTGCTGTTTTCCTTTTTGGAAATCATAGTTTCTTTGGTTTATAAAAAATACTGAGATCTTGTAACTTTCACAGATAGTAAAAAACTTCCGTTATTATACAGGAGACATTTTAAACTTCCGTTATTATACAGGAGACATTTTACTCTGACAGATAAAGAAATAACACTACCAAACTGAAGTCAGACAGATCAACTTATCAAAAATGAACGAACTATAGCATAATTTTATTTTAACAATATTAAATCCAGCACCCGACAAACTTCAAGTCTCCAACCAGGTCGAATTTTGTGACTTACAACACAGCAGTGAAAAAAATGGACAATCAGAACTCACAAGCGTGTCACAAACCATGAAATTAAAACATCTTAAATCAACCCAGTCTATTGTTTTAACTTAACGAATTGTTGTGAAATTTCATCTTTAGGTCTGCAACGTGTTGATGAGCCTGTAGTTTGTTCCTTTCTGATCATTTTGATGTGCCTAAACCTTGACGTTCTGTTCTGTCAGGCTGAGAAATGGCACAGAACAAGCACTTAAGACAGAAATAAACCAACTTTGGATTCTTTATAAAGAATTCGCACCCAACATACTTGCCATTGCGTGACTGGACCAGGTCACGGCATTATACTTGGGACCTACAGTACAACCACGTAAGAATTGCAAAAATACAAATGAGCAATCAAATTCCCTGATGAATTAGTACTCACAAGTGATATAAGTAAGTCTTAAAGGGTGAAGTATGAAATAACCATGAATTTTTCATCAAACGAGGTCTGAAGTTGTCCAAAACAGCCGACAGCAACACTCTTCCCCTTCTGAACTTGCTACATGCTTTTCTCTAACTTTCTCCTTTAGTAAACTTTTTAAAAATCTTTGTATTGTTCCGTATTCTAGAAGAACCTTTGGTTGTTGATTTTCTGCTCACAATTTCGCTAGTTTATCTGCTCTTCATTTCCCATGATTCCACAGTGGCAAAAACATAGACTTTTAGGCTGCTCATAGGTCATGATTACCTGTGGGCTCATCTCCATTGTATAGGGATTGTGGGATAACACCTCTTGTACCCTGCGTGGCGAAGATAATATGACTGGAACACATCTGCTGAACCACTGTGAAGCTCTAGCCGATGAAAGATTGCCTCAAAGGGAGGAAGCTGAATTTTACCACTTGAGCAGACTATATTGGGCTGCGCGCCAAATGATGTTAAATCAACAGACTAGGCAAAAAAAGTTCTGAACTTGCAGTTGCATAAGGCATCTGTCATATAAAAATATTAAAGATGGAAAGGATAATTTGTTGTTTTTCTTTCCAAAATCATAGCTTCTTCACTTTATAAAACATACTGTTCTTGTGACGTTCGCAGATCGTAAAACCTTTTGTCACATACGAGACATTTTGTCCTTGCCATTTTGAACTGGCAGACAAAGAAATGGCACTGACCCAGCACTGAGGATTGTCAGGGAGACCAAAATTTTCAAAAATGAACCAACAGGATAATTTTTTTTTAAACAACTTTAAACCCAGCCCCAACAAACTTCATGTCTACAAAAGGATGTTTGGTGACTTACAAACGTTTCAGTGAAATTCCCTGATGAATTAGGACTCATGAGTATACTAAGTACAGAAGTATGAAGTAACCATGAATTCTTCATAAACCTGGAAGTGTTGTTGATATGCATAGAGGCATCTGACAGATAAAACTAGCGAGGAACAAAAGGATGATTTGTGCTGTTTCTTTTGTTTATAAAAAAGGTATCTTCTTAGTATCATTATTATAACGAGACATGATTGATTAAACTGAAAATATTTATGCATTGGATGGGTGGCAGGAGAAATTTGGCAGACTGGAAGGCGAAAACATTTGGCATTCTTTTAATAATTATCAAAAATAAATAGCCGTCCCTGAACGACGAAGCCTGAGCCACGAATAAATAAGTCCGAATATAAAAACACATAAAAGAAAACAATTCTATTCTCACCTAACTTTGTAAACGGTCGCTTCGTCGTCGTCGGTTGAGAAATAGTCTTCACGGTCCTTTCGGCGAAGCATATCAATTATGGTGCATCCGAGGATAAAAAGTACGACGAATATCAAAAGGAAGATCTGAAAAAATTTCGAAAAAAAATTGTTTTCCTATTGATCTCTGAATCTGTCAAATCTCTCGTCTGTCAAATAAAAGTGAGAACTTACGACGTATTCCCTGACTGTGTTGTGGAAGATCCTTTCGCGAATGTCGACGTAATCGTCCTCCTCTTCCATCTTAGCTGTCAAATCAAGTCCCTGAAATTTTTAAGTCAGGTCCGTGTCGCACTCCACTCTCTTTCGCCTGCTCCGGTGCATCAATCGCATTTTTTTCACCTCGGCGCGGGATCTGTCATCGGAATGGCGCGTTAAAAGGCGAGACGGGAAGGGCCCGTATCACATTTTGAATTTGGGCGACGGAAAATCTGTCGACGGACAATTTTGGTGGGGCGAAGTTGGTGAGACGGTCCAAATGTACCCGACCCAAGCGAATTTCCTACTGGCGACTCAATCACTCAACGATCAAATGACGCAGGCCTTTAACCTTCCACTACCAGTCCCGTTACCGATGACGGTTCTTTCAAAGCAAAGCCCTTTTCCCTCCACGTTTGACTTCTACAAAACAAATACAATAAATCAAATCTTTTAACAATTTTATTGCCTTTCTGGGACTTTCTGACTTTATCGAATCAAAAAATCCAAGCAGGTAGATTCTCATTCAGATACGCCTTTCTTTCTAATCCCTAACGGTTCTTGATACAATCCTTGAAAAGGTCTATTTGCCCACTTCCCCATCGTCCCAGATAATCCTGATTCACTTGTTCTCGCTGTAATATCTGTCAAAAACCATGATCCTTAAAATAAATCCTGTCATACTTATTAGCCAGTGGAAAAAGACAAACTTAAAATAAATTTTATATAAAAATGCTTTTGAATTTCGCATCAAACAAAAACATACCCATTTTCACACAAATTCTTTTATTTTAACTACATGTTACATTTATGAAATTAATATTATATCAATTAAACATTCTTTTTATCTAAGGTCTTGGTTGAGATGAAAAAGTTAGTGTCACGAGCATGATTCACATCCACAACCTTCATTTTTTTCATCTCAATCAGGACCCTAGATAAAAAGACTATTTCATTGAAATAATTAATTATGGTCAATTATGTCCGCTAAACGCTAAATATTATAGTTTATTAATACATTGATATTAGTGGTTTAATTGAGCATATTAACTATTTCAATTAATTATTCTTTTTAGGCAAGGTCTTAGTTGTTAGCTGATTAGACAACATTTGAAAAATGGCAACAAAACAAAAAAACTTCGAAAGGTTGTAGGTTGATTATTATTTGTGATCGTTGTAGGTTGAGATGAGGAGTTGGTGTTCGAGTGGAACGAAGTCACGATGGCTCAAGTTGTTAAAGTAGCGGCGTATTGAGCTGAAGGTCATGGGTTCAAATCCTGCTCATGACACTAACTTTTTCATCTCAAATAAGACAACATAAAAAGAATAATTAATTGAAATTATAGTTTATGTGGATATGATTGTCATCCCAGATAATCCTGGCTCACTTGTAGTTCTTGCTGTAATACCTGTCAAAAACTGTGAATATTAAAAGAAATCCTGTCATCCATATTAGACAAAGGAAAAAGAAGACAAGGGGAAACTGAAAATAAATTTTATATAAAATTCACTAGTTTTCTTGGTCCGCTTGACCAATTAATATCTTTCAAATTAATTATGGTTTTTAGTTGAGATAAATTTATATAAAATTCCTTTTGAATCTTGCTTCAAACAAAACCATATTCATTTTCTCAATTTTCTCACAAATTCTCTTATTTTAATTACATGTGTCACGGTCTGTTCTTGATTCAACAAGACGGGCCCAACTTGAATCCTTTTTATTAGAAACAGAGCCCCAGAGGTCTTGATCGAACCTGAATACATCCGATCAGGTGCGTTTTTATAATAAAATTTAATACAAGTTTGAAAACAATTTATTAATTGCACAAGAAAATAACAATTTAAATCAACTAATTTCCTTTTAAACTTTAAACAAACAAAACTTTTCAAATTTAAATAACAGTAATTTCAGGCAAACAGTTTGCCCGACCGTTTGGAACGAGGGTGGATGTGTAATCACTGTTTACAGTCAATCCACTGTGGACCGAAGCTCTCTATTTTAGGGAATCCAACACTTTTTAAATTCTTTTGAGGATCGCACACTTCTTTTTGTCTCTTATCTTCACGGAATGGACTTGTTCACTTCTAGACTCGACTGTCTCTACCCTCATTGTCCCAATCCACTCTTCTTTTTTTGCTCTATGCCTAATCATGAAATCTAAATCACAACATTGTCACATTGAAATAAATTGAAATGTGACACATGTTACATTTATTATATTAATGATATAGTTTATATGGATTTATATGGATATATGATGATTTAACAGCCTTGTTTTCCCAGATAATCCAGGTTCATTTGTAGTTGTTCCTGCTGTAATACCTATCAAAAACTACGTATTTTCTCAAAAAATCTTGTCATCTATATACGAGACAGTGAAAAGATTTCTTAAACTAAGAATAAATTTGATATAGTTTGTATAAAATTGGTTTTAAATCAATGCATTAAACAAAACCATGAAATTAAAGTTTTATCAATTTGAAACATATTGCTAATGAATTAGTGAAAAAAGACAGTCCACAAACATTGGTCTGAATTGTTGCAATTGACCTTCATACTTTCTTGTCAATTGAAAGAGTTCATTATCATACAAACTATCTTACTTTTCCTACATGTTATATTTATTATATTATAGTATGTATTGACTTGAATTAAATAACAAACTTTACCACAGCCACACACTGAACATTAATTGACTAATAATCTTCCATAGCTCTTAGAATGTATTTTGTTTTTTCAATGGCCCAAAATCCCGTTCTCAAATAACAGATGGCTGTGAGGATGAAGAATTTTGAGCTGATCGTGTAGAGTAAGTAATTTATAGAGCCATTGATCGTATATTCCTAAACCAGAACTGTTTCTTTTTGGAGGTGTATATTTTATAATGGCCCTTATATTGCTCTTTCTCGCTATTCTTACTTCTCATTTATCATTGAAATGGACACATTAATGTATTAGTCTATTTTAAATTATATTTCATATTTCAAAACAAACAATTAAGTTGAGGAAAAGAAAAGAATATTAATTTTATTTTATATCATTATGTACCCCTTTTTTATGGTTGGTTTAAATTTGCTTTATTTTTTATTTCAGATTTATGTAACATCAATTATACCTAAATAAATTAATACATTGTCAATAGAAATACTACTAATTAATAATATATATTTTTTAAAATTAATTACTACTGTTATAAGCATATTTTTGTCATTACATTGCTGACTGTGTTGATCAACATATCATCACTCTTTGTATAGCAATGACCTGTATGTTCATGAACAATACAATACAATGTCAATATGATGAGTGATGATCATCAAAGGAATTTTTTTCTGCTGGCTGGTGATTTTTCTATTAAAAAAAAAAAATCTTTTTTAATGGATTATCAAATTACCTCCTTTACAAACTGAATTTTTTCAATGCGTCGCAGACCATTATGGTCTGCCTATCCTCACTCTTCGCACAACCACGACCTACATGTTCATGTATGACAAAATAGAATGACAAAAGAATAATTTATTTTTAGATTATTCCAAAATTTTGTATTTTTATCATTATATTATTTATAAAATAATTATTTTAATGTAAATTAAATTATACGAGATCAGAAATTTAATACAAAAAAATTTAATTATAATGTTTTGAAAGTATATTCAACAAACACCAGAAAATCATACAGTGATCAAACAAATTTAACTAACAATTCATTATGAACCTGGTTTTGTTCATAATAACGTATAAATTTTAATCTATTACTACATTATTTTCCGGTGTTTTGGTGGATTTTTATTTCAAACCTTCCCGTTTAAATAATTTTTTATTAAAACTCATGAATTTTTATCTCGTATAATTTAATTTACATCAAAATAATAATAATAATTAATATATTACTATTAAAATAAGTATATTGTAATTAATATAACATTTTTTTTCTCTACATATATTTTACTACAGAATTTGTGATTTTTCGATTTATTTTTAACATGAGAATACCTCTTTTTTTTCCTTTTAAAGGGGGGAACGCAACCACCAAGGGTCATGATTGTCCCAATGACTAACTCATTATCTAATAGGTAGAAAGAGGCGTACAGATTAAAGCTATTTCTCTCAATTTTATTCTAACAACTTGTAAATCTTTTTTTTCTCTTCTCTGTTATAAATCTTTTCTACTTTTTATATCTTCTGATGGAGACGAAGTCGCGGCCTCGGGAGATGCCCCTTGATCGTTTACCTCCTGACAAAACAGAGTCGATTTTCACGAGACTACCATTATGAGCTTAATTTCGTGGCTGCATGGCTGACCGTTACGGTCCGCCTATCTTCGCTCTTTGAACAGCCTGCTTGTTCACGAACGACAAAATACATGTCAATAGAATATTTTTTTACGGGTTTTTGTCAACTTTTTTTTAGTTTTATAAAATGAGTTACCCCGTTATAAATTTAATTTTGTCCCTAGATCGCTAAACGTGATGGTCCCGGGTCCGCCTAGACCATTGAGTAAGGTCAAACAATTACAGGTGGATTTTATTGTTTTTTATATGTAAAACAAACAAATTTGTTTTGTGTGGTACTAACTTTTTTTATTCCTGTTTATTTTTGAAAATTTTAATTTTTGAAGCGCTGTTTTTTTATATACGTGATTTAATCCTTTATAATATAATGTTTGTTTAATAAATAGACGTTTAAATGTTGTAATATAAAATTAATGTTTTGTTTATTAAATTTTGTTATTGTTTTTTTTAGTTGTTTTTATTTGTATTTTTCTATTTGAAGGAATAAGTGAAGGATTTGATTTAGAAAGTTGGTTATAACGAAGGCTGTGGAAAGGTGGTGATTCGTCATAGTCATCAGACGCCATATTCCTGGCTAGCCGTTCACTTTTCTTACCAACCTCTCGCGTTGCGTATTTCTTTCCGCCCGATAGTTTTAGTAAAACTCAGTCAACCTGGAGGACATGGTGAAAAATGAATTCGAGGTAAGAACGACGTCTTGAATTCAAATAGAAACACAACAAATCTCATCAATAACGATTGATTGATATACAAATCCGATGCCGGGTTTTTTTCAGGTCTCGAAAGAGCCGGAACATTTTAGAAAGATTTTCATAGGAGGCCTCGATTATCGGACGACGGACGAGTCTCTCCAGAAGCATTTCGAGCAATGGGGAACCATCGTGGACGTCGTCGTCATGAAAGACCCCAAGACGAAAAGGTGATGGAATTTCCTTTACTCTCAATTGTGAAACGCACGTAGCGTCCCTCGGGACTTTTATCGATTCGGCCCCGGCCGCACAACGCTTCCACGCTTGAACTCCACCTAAGCGGAAAATTTTTTTTTCTCTCTTAATTTCAGTTTTAAAAATTCAAAACAAAATTAAAAAAAAAAATAAAATAAAACATTTAAGTTTAAAATATAACCGTGAAAAACATAAAAGAAGTTTATCGTGAAACATCGGAGACGCCTTAACTAAAAAGTTCTCCCTCTCTTCAAAAAACGTTTATAGATGTTATATTAAATTGCGGAAAAAGGACGATTGAGTCTAAACGGTCAATATAATTTCAAAAATTGATCGTTTCCAGTCCATTCTAACGTCCGGAGAAAAATCGCCAAATATGTTAATTTTTAACTGCTGTTAATATTTATTTTTAAAATATTGTGTATCTAATTTGAACATAATTTCTATATTCTACCAGGCTTAGTTTCAAAGTTAACAAATAACAGTTGGGGGTGTAATTAACGTTTTCCACGTTTTTTCTCCCAAAGTAATTTTTTACACCACTTTCTATACTTGTTTGCACTACATTTAAACATTTTTTAAAACAAAAGATTAAAAATCGATCAAAAGTTAAAAAACTTTGTGTGAATTCAGTGGAACATGGTTGTTCAAGCTGTGAGTCATTTCTTCTAAGTTAAAGCGTATGAACAAATCTTAGTTCACTGTTTTCGGTTCTTTTCAACTTTTACTCTCTACATGTTGTTTTGTTAGATGACAAAAAAAAAAAAAACATAAATAAATAAAACAATTGTGCAAACCATCAAGTTGGTTAGCAATATAGTTGAATCCAATGGAAATTAGTTGTTCAACTATGAGTCGTTCCCAACAAGTTGAAACATGTGAACATCTCAGTTGACCATTTCCAGTTCAACTTTACTCAGCACATGTTGTGTTTTGTTAGTTGACAAAAATTTTAAAAAACAATCATCAATTATAGTTCGATCTAATGGAACTTGATTAAGTTGAAATGTGTGAACATTTCAGTTGGTTCTTTATGATTTTCAGTTCTAAAGTGAAGTTCTTTTTTTACAGTAAGCATGTGGATTTTTATTTTCTATATAAACACTTTTTTCTAATGAGCCTTAATTAAGTGTTGACTTGAAGTGTGATGGTAAAATTATTAAAATTTTATCATAGGTATTGAGTGTATGCATGCTTTGGCAGGTTTTTCAACTCCCCCTCCCTGTAACCCCAGCTAGTCTCGTTAGCTTTGGGCCTCTTTCAGACGAGGTGGTTGGGATGATTCAACTAAGTTGCCTGGTTGACTCTCATCCAGTTTACTGCCGTGTGAAGACTCGGTTTCACATCAGGCAATTCGTGGAATCAACCTCTCTTCCCAAAGGGAGGTCAGTACATGTTAGGACCCGAGCAAGAGCTCGTTTTGTGCTTGTTCTAATGCAAAAAGAGAAGCAAAAAAATAGGAAACCCAGTAAAGAAAAGCGTGGCACGATAAAGAAAATGTTTTTCTGAAACCTACATCACACCAGACCGCATCTCATGATTTCTGAATAATTAATTAATAAGGATAAGCTTAAGTTGATAACTGATTGAGTAATGTGCATATATAACTGTATATAACTTATAATTTAGATTTCTTATTTAGAAACTATATAATTATGATAAGCTAAATAGGCAAGTTCACCAGAATTTATGTTGGATCTATTAAGTCAAATATAAATGCAATCCTAGAGATTTTACTATCTTGTACAAAACCTCTACCAACCTAGTTCTTCGACTGGAGCTTCATTTATACATACCCCTCCCCCCCATCAATTGTAAAATAATTATTTTAATGCAGTGTTGAAACATGTTAACTAAATACATTTGTGTCTCTAAATAGAATGTATTGATTGAACGGGTTTTTGTAATAGGGTTTTCTGCAAAATCAATAGTTTTGGTAACCGGTAACAATTATTTCTTAGGTCAAGAGGATTTGGTTTTATCACCTATTCTCATGGGCACATGGTTGATGATGCTCAGAACAACAGGCCTCATAAAATTGATGGAAGAACTGTTGAAACTAAACGAGCTGTTCCAAGAAACGTAAGTGTTTCAGTTGCTCCAAATAAAGTAGGATACACATTTTCTATATTTACTTTATAGTTTATTGAATTGTTTCTAAACTCAGAATTTAAAATTGCAGGACATTGGCAGGCCGGAAGCTGGAGCAACTGTGAAGAAAATTTTTATCGGAGGATTGAAAGATGAAATTAACGAAGATGATTTGAAGCATTATTTTGGAGATTTTGGCCAAGTCTCCAATGTTGCCATCATTGTGGATCGTGACACTGGAAAGAAAAGGGGTTTCGGCTTTGTAGAATTCGATGATTATGATGCAGTAGACAAAATTTGCTGTAAGTTAGAATACTTCATTTCAGTTAAAAGAAAAGTCTTATGATAATTATTGCAGTACAAGGCTCGCACATAATCAACGGAAAGAGGATTGATGTGAAAAAGGCAATTGGGAAAGACTCAGGAAAAGGAGATCGTGGAGACAGGGGTTCCGAAAGGACAAGCAGAGGACCCAGAGGCTCTGGTGGTAGCTGGGGAGGTTCTCGTGGCAGTGACCGCAGTGGTAACTGGGGTAATGGAAACCAACCATGGGGTGGTTCTGGCGGTCCATGGGAAAACTCCAACCAAGGTGGATGGAGTGGAGGCAGCGGTGGTAATCAAGGCGCCTGGGATAGTAACGGTAGTGGGAACTTTGGTGGAGGCTACCAACAAAATTACAGCGGTGGTCCAGTCAGAACGACTGGATTCAACAGGCCCGCTCCTTACTCCGGTACGTCTTTCTTTATACCTGCAGAAATATCTCGTAATGTTCACATATAGTGAATAAATTAGGTGGCGGAGGTGGTGGACAAGGAGGAGGAGACTGGGATAACAATGGCTACCAAAGCAGTGGCGGTGGTAGTGGATACAGCAGCAGACCAAACCGAAACACAGGCTCTAGTTATGGCGGTGGCCGGTCTGGAGGATATTCTGGTAAGTGTACATTGCGCTTTCTACATAAATAAAATATAAACTAAAACAATACTTTTAGGTGGTGGCGGCGGCGGCGGCGGTGGATATGGAGGAGGCCAAAGAAGGTACTAAGTACTAAGGAAGAACTAATGACTTCCGAATTTGATGTGAGTACTTAATTTCTATAATTAAAATTTATATACTTTTATTACATTCATAGTCCCTTGTAATTCACCTTTCAGCTAAAAAGCATGAGAAAAAGTTATACTATACATACAAATTCTAATTTTGACTGGTTTCAAATATTTGCTGATATTTTCGCAATGTTGACCACATTTTAAATATTTTTTCCACCTCCTTCCCATTTTTCTATTTTTTTAAAGTCAATTTTTGTTTGTTGGTATGTTAACAACAATCTGTTTTGATCATTACTTTCCAGGTGGAGACTATGTGTTGATTTAATTTTATATATTTTTTTTAAATTTATGTACTTAGGTGCAATACTTATTTGAAGGATTACTGAGTTCAATAAGTTTTGATGCTAACCACAAATTAACATTTGCATAGATTATACTTTTTTAGCATATTTCTGGGAAGCTGCAGTTCATTAGAAAGTCCTACTAATTGGTTTATTTTAACAGAATTTAATATTTTAGCCACATTATTGAAATGGACCTCGACAAAAATTTAATTGCGAAAAACAACTTTGGTACATTGTGTCCATTGACTCCTTTTTACTGGGTAAAAAATTAATATTTTACTACCAATCAACTGCATTAGACTTCATTTAAATAAGGTTGATTGGTGAGTTAAGTAAGCCAAGTAGAGAAATGAAAAATGCAAAGAACGGATAAAACATTGAACCCATTTAATAAACGTTAATAAATTTAAATAAAATTTGTTATTTTGTGGTTTTTTCAAAACAGATTGACCTTAACATTTTAATAATCTAAATGACATTTATATTAATAAAATTTTAAAAAAAGGCAGAATGCAGAAATTCTGAGAGATATTTGGTTTTTCTTTAGGGGAAGAGTCAGATAGTGAGAATTTTTTTATTTAGAAAGGCTTAGTTAATTTTTCTAAGAACAGTAAAGTTTAAAATAATATAGTAGTTCATTGACGAATTTGTTTCTGTATTCTGACTAAAATTCAAAATAACATCATGCTATAAAGATGTATCTTTATAGATTATACTTTAGGTGAATTATATTTTTAATTTTATCTATTTTGTCTCAACGTAATGCCAATATACTGGAGCCATCAATAGGCACATTTTTCTTTTATTTTTCTCTTCACTTCAGATGTTTGAAACATATTGGTATTAGGTCTGAGTGTAGCCTAGGCTCTGGAAAATTTTACCCAAGGGGCCGGTGTATGTAGATTTTTTTTTTGTTTTTCTAGAATCAGATAGCTTATGATAAATTGTATTTTGATGGTTCAGGTGGCTAGGATGAGTTAGTGATGATGGCAGGCGTATTGACTAGACAGGAAGGCTAAAACCCAGAAGGTGTTCAAGTTAGGACCAGGATAGGAAAGTCACACAAATTAGGATAGTTATTACTCTGCTTACAACAATATATATACATATTATATATAATTCATATTGGTTTGTATAGTAAAAAAAATTATTTTGTGACAAGAGGGCTTGCATTTTTATTTATTTTCTTACTGTGCTGTTTTTATTTATATATACATATATATACTTTAAAATATATTGAATTTTGAAATAATAAATAATCAGAACATTAAGATTTATTTAATCTTAAGTTTGTCAAGTGTAGGATTAAATGTTTTTAACTAATTCAATTTAAATTTTAAATTATGATTTAATGGACACACATTGTAGGGAAACGCTTTTTAGACATTTAGAGATTTTTGTAGCACGTGATTTTATAATAATATGGATAATAACAATGTTTTTTGTACTTGTTTCATTTGATAATTAATTAAATGTAATTTAGACATTCTATTAGGTATTATTATTCTTCTCCATTTCATTAGATTTAAATCCTGTCTTAGTTTTCACATGTTCTTTTAAAAGGAGAGAGAGGGATTGCTAAAATTTGCAAAATACTCAGCTCGATTATTATCTCCACTAATTTTTGTTATTTAACGAACAGCAAGAGTGCCTCTCAGATTTTCTCCTGTTTCATGTAAATATAATAACTGAAAATATTCGATCCATCTTTTAACACAAATAAACAGACAGATTTTCTTCAATGTTTTGGATTAACATTGTCTATTTTGTGTTTTGTTTCATTACACATCTCCAAAACAACTGATTCTGGGGAAACCTGCCAAATACAAATGGAGGTAAGATTTCTACGAATAAACTGAAATTTTTAAAAAACTTTATTTTTCCTTTTTTTTTCAATATTATTTTTATGCTGCTATAAAATTGAAAATAAATAACTTGTGGAAAATACAAATGTGTTTGATTTAATTTTAACCAATATTTGTCTTATCACTGTTGGATATATGCTGATCACACAATTTCATGACGTCTCTTAGGTTAGGTAGTGTGGACTGTGAATGATTGTGACAATAAAAAGTAAAATGTTTTTATTTAGTGTCAAATATTAATTTTTATTGCATTTGTTTTATTTATGTTATTATTATTATTATTAATTTTCAAGGGCGTTTTAACGGCTAAGGTCATTTCACGCCTTTTATTTATGTTATTTCTCATTGTTGCCTCTTTTATTTAACACATTCATTGCAGTCGTCGTCAGAACCAATGCACTAAACCCTCACTATATACGGATGTCATTCCAGAACGACACAGCTCTTTTAGAAAAAACCCATTTCAAAGCTTTCTGTAGAATGTTGGGGTATTTTTGGAATTGAATCGGTGTCACATGCCTTTAGTATCTCTTTGGCAAAGTTACTGTGAAGACTGTAAATGATGGTTCTACTCATAAATTTGTTGTTTAAACATCTGGATTTCAAGCATTAAATGCTCATCATTGGGTTGAAGGAGTTGTTTAATGCTTGAAATCCGGATTGTTGTAAACAACAAATCTGTGTGTAGAATCATTTTATTATCATAAACACAAATTTTCGATTTGCATTTTTTAAACGATTTTTTGAACAAGAATAAATTAATCTAAATTTTTGCCATATCTTGGCAGAGTGAACAAGTTAATCAAAACATATTTTGAAGATCACATGTTTCGGATCATGAAACAAGTACTTTTTTATGGTTTATTCAATGAAATTTTCAGGTACTTGTAACCAAATTTAATCAACAATACATGAATCATTTTGTTGTACTATTTAGTACCTATTGCCATCTTCCATGTAATTTTGTCCTCCCAGAACTTTAGGTTTTAATGATGTTTTCTGCAATCCTCACATTGTTTCTTTCATTAATTAGGCAAGACCCAGAATAAGTGAAATTCTGAAATACCAGGCGAATACGCTGGGTTAGGGAGCATATCCCAGCCTAGATCCATCAAATTCAGCTTTTGGAGTTTAGTAGACACTGCTACTGTTTTCTTCTCTAAACAAAGGACTCACTTTGCACACCCAGAGAGCAGCTGGATATGTTAATTGACTCAAAATTCATAATTAACAGCCATTTATGCTGGGATTGGAAATTGACATTTCATTGCAGGTAACAGTTTCCAGGCAACGTTCAGCTTGCAGCAAGGTGAAACATGACTTTTTCACCATCCCGACTTGTAATTTTAACAATAAATTGAATGTAAACTAACTTAATATTAGTTGACAATTGTTTTTTGTAGATTGGACCTGATAGAGCCCGCCCTATACTTACTATGGATGTGCACTCGCTCCCTTGCTACTTTACTTACATTAAATAAACAATTTCTGTCACTTTCCTTCTGTTTTATTCTTCAATATTAACAGGATTCATACCCCAATGTTATTTTAATTAAAGACATATGAAACAAATCATTTCCAAATCCTAAGAAGATGTCAAAACGCATCTGACAGACCACAGTCGTGATGAAAAGCAGACTAGAAACTACAGAAAAATCAAATTTAAACTATTCTAAATAAATTTTTAAAAAAAGTTGGTATTCTATAAATAAAAGAGTAAATGTATGTAGGTGTTTTATATTTGACATCTAAAAAAATTCTTGTTTGGTGTTTTCACATTTTAAAATACATAGTTTCCAAGATTTACCACTCCTCAGGGTATGTCCTGTGATCCTGTTAAAACAGAAAAAAGTACTTCAAATTTTAATTTATTTTAATGGCTTACCGATCTCTTCGGACGCTCTGATTCGTCTTTTGATGAAGCATTTGTATCAGCTAGGGTGTTTTTTGAGGCTAGTTTGCCTGTCTTTAACCTCTTCTGTTCAGACGAGCTTGATGGATGGTGTTTTACGCTGTCTTTGACTTCAGATTTGCTTGGCCTTATGTTCATGCTTGATCCGATGGAACTCTGCATTGAAAAATAATTAAAAATTCAGTTTTTTACATTTTTCCCCCTTACTATTTCAGTATTGGCCAGTTATTGTTTTTACATTAAAAGTTAATTTTATATAAACAAAAACAATCTGTACAAAAAAAAAATTTAGAAAAAAAAGTGAAATATTGGTGGTACAACAGTGTACTACTTGAATATGAATGGCTGTATCATAAAACTTAAAATTAGGAAATTTTCTAGAATGAAATTTTGAACAATTGATTGTCGTTGAACTCAACAATTTTTACTGGTGATAGCTTATACTTACTCTGTTACTTCGTTCTTGTCTGGTCTGGAAAAAAAAACTAAAACTTGAAATATACATTCATTCGAGTAGTACTTAGAAATTAATTTTTCTCACCTTACAAGCTAAATCAAAACAATCAGTACTTTCCTGGAAAAGAATAATTTAAAACAGATTTATGTTTGTGTGATTTATATTTAAGCTATAAGTTAATTATGCTAAAAAGTATGGAATTTATTTTATGTAATTTAATTTGTTTTCATTGTAAACAAGGAGGGAAATATGCTGAAAAACAATTGAACATAATTTAATAGTGATTGTATTTTTGTTCGTTCTGAAATTTCGTGTTTTTCTTTTCTATCGATGATCTTGAAACTGGCAATCTCGACCCCCTGTTTGTCATCCTGACTATCCTAGTTGAAGCTCTGCGCTTTGCTTCATCGCTGTTTATATAATCTGTGTCAGGTGAGTTAGAATGTATGCGACACTGGGCAGACAAGTTGCATTAAAGGTTCAATTTAAATTTAAAATTGTTTAATAAAACACTTACTTCTCTAGGTATTGCCTGAGAAAATGGGTCTTGCTGGAAAATTGAGTTTTTCAAGTCATTGATGGTGTTTTCATGTGAATAAATAGAGATTAAACAATTTTAGTTTCAATCATTTTATTAAAATAAAATCAAAGATAAATAGGGCAGGTTCGTTGTACAATGAAGCTTTCCTTTTGAATTTCTGTGCTAGTTTATGACACAAACAGAGAAGTTACAGCAGTTTTGACTACTAATTCAAAAGGCTAAGAATATAAATTGTATTAAGAAGAGCTGCACAATAAACCCTACTGTGGTGGCAATTACAGTTATTCAAAAGAAAAGTTTAATAAATAAAAAAAGTGTTAAGAGCGAAATAACTTAAGCAAACACAAAACAATAGCTAACAAGCATCTAACAAAAAATCAAGTAAAATTTGTTATTGATCAGAGTTTACAACTGAATAACATGTCAATGTTGAACCAGCACTGGGTCACTAGGCTGGTTTGATGTTAGTGAAACGTGTTTCAGCTTTACGTCATGTTCAGTGAGAAACTTCCTAGAGGAAAATGGCACAGAGCTAACATTTGAGTAACATCAAAGTCTGCAAAGACTTAGTGCCAGTTCAACATTACTCACCAACTCACTGGTACCAACTATCAACTTTAAAATGTTGATGATATTAAATTAAAACTTACTATATTTTTAATGGGTTCAACTGTATCTTTTGTGTTTTCCATTGCCTATAAAATGAAATTCTAAAGTAGTAGTCAATATTATGTAACAAAATCTCTTACATCTTTGAATTCGACTGAGTTGAACATTTCTACTTGATCCTTAATAAACATATTAAAAATGTAATAAAATTACAATTTTATTTAAGGAACAAAAAGAAATTTACATTTGTCTTATGGATTGTCTTCATACTTTCTTTTGAAGGCTGAAACAAATTATATTAACAAACAACATTCAACGGGTTTTTTATCCTGTGACTTTGGCTTTGACCAAAAATGACTTTTCGTTTAGAGTTAACACAAATAAGATTAAAAATTGGAAATAATTTACTATTCTTACAGATACAGTGTTCTCGGTGTTTGTATCAGTTTGCTGGCGCTGCTTGTCGGCATCTTTTGACTCCGGTGTTTTTGCCAGTCCTGGGCACTGAGCCGCAATAAATAATTCAATGACTTCAGAATTTAATAATTGAGCAATCAAACGTTCTCTTACTGGTATTATCGTGACCTTAGATTTCTTGATAGCCTAAATATATACTTCATATTATATATTTATATAATATATATATTTCAATAAAATCTTAGTTTTTTTTACACAATCCTTTTATACATGTATATCCTTGATCGTTGATTGGGTGGACTTGGTTTAAATTGTTGTAGTCATTTTTTAAAATTAATAATGATCAAATGGCAAACATTTCTGTAGTACCAAATTAAAGTTGCAAAATTTAAACACTAAAAACCTTTTTGCTTTTTTAAATATTTTAAAAATATTCTTAATGTACTGCTTGTTGTTTGTTGTTGTTATTTGATAAATAACAAAATCGTTAAACTTACTCTTTTTGGTCCTTCCTTGTCTTTCTCTGGCTGTTTAAAAAAAATCCATTAAAATTATTTCTTTACCTATCTGCTCATCACTACTCACTGATTTCTTGTCTGAAATCTTAAGATCTTCTTGTGGTATTTGCTGAAAGAAATGCCTTCGCAAGTTTAAGTAAACATATCTTGCAATAAATTTATTTCAAAACACTTACACGATCCATACTTAAACACTGTTCCCTTAGTTTTTGCTAATGGTTGAAATAATACATCCTTTTCAAAAACCGTTTGATAAATAAGCGATACATCTCAAGATACTTACCAGTTCTTTTTTCTGATCTTCGATTTTCTTTAAAAACATCTCCTTAAATAAAAAATTTATATTTTTTAAATGCTCTTGTAAATCGTACGTAAACATATACCTGTTTATTTTTGTTATTCAGTGATTGGTTCTGGAAAAGAAAAATTACTGGTGCATTTTAAATTATGAGTCGATAACTTATAGAATCATACTTGTTTTTTTAATCCTTCGTCCTCTGAATCAGGCTCGCTGTGCTTCTCTGGGCTCTTCCTTTCATTTTCAACATTTCTAACCTGTTTTTCCCCTGACTTCTACCAAAAAATAGTGTTCCATTTATGTTGATGATGGGTGTTGGTCTGTGAGTCGGTGAGCTCATGCTGAACCGACATAGGGTCACTTTTCTTCCATTTTTTGAGTTGAATTACTCAAATACGTTTTGACATTGTGCCACTTTAGTGAGGAACTTCTGAACTTTTTGTATTTATGAGGAAATGAAATTCTTCACTGAAGATGGTGCAATTCTATAATGTGTTTGAGTAATTCAACAACCCTTGAGTGACAACAGACCAAATAGGTACCCTGTGCCAGTTCATCATGTATCGCATTTGATATTATACTTAAACTTACAATTCTCTCAACGATCGGGTCCTAATAATAATATAATATCATAATAAAATAATATTTAAAAAAAATTATAACTACTCACTGATTTCTTGTCTGGAATCTTAGGACTTTCTTTCCCGTTTAGCTGAAAAATTTTGCACATTTAAAATATTAACAATTAAAAACTAATTATCTAGTGAATCATCATAATTTTTAATATCATACAATACGTACACACTTCAAAAACATTCCCCTTAAATGTTCCTGGAATAAATAAATAATTAAAACAATGAATTAATAATTGTACAATAAAAAAAACTTTACCAGCTCTTTTATTTGTTCATTGATTAACATTAAATTCATGTTCTAAAACAAATTTTAAATATAGAAACATAATCCTCTATTGTTAACTTATTGTGTACCTGCTGGGCTTTGATATCTGGTGAATGATTCTGGAAAAAAAACTAAAACTTTAAACTGCAGGTAACAAAATAAACTAATTATACTTGTTTTCTTGGTCTTTCGTTCTCTGGCCGATGGTCGCTAGTTTCCTCTAGGCTTTCAGACGAACTCTATCAAAATAAAAAATAAAGTTTTGGGTTGAATTCTTCTACTATTCTAAAGATAAACATACAATTTTCTCGATATCCGGTATCTCATGACCAGCAATCTAATAATATAACAATGAGGTTATAAATAAATAAAACATTAAATCAAACTTTTCTTTAGCCTTACACTTTTTCTTTTGTTTTCTCTTCTGTTCCTCAAATTTGCATTCTGAAATTTTGTAAATGTAAATAATCATATTTGGGATATAACCTTGGATATGTTGTTATAAAGTTTTTCCTTATAGTGTATGATTACATCGAATTTGAACGTTTGTTTTATGTGATCACATCACATGAAAGAGGACGTTTTGTATATTCAAGTTAAATATCAGGGGATGTTTTGTGAAATCCTATAGCTACATTCAAATTTCAGGCATTGTTTTGTACGATCACATCATCTGTTATCGGATGAATTGTGTGATCCCACAAAACTATATGGCTTTGTTGTGTGATCCCATAGCTCCAATCAAATTTGAGGGATGCTTGATTTCATCCCTGCCAGAAGATTTTAGAAAAAGTAAAAAAAAAATTTTTAAATATTTGTAAAATCATTTAATAAAATTTACCTTATTCTTCTTGTGTGTTGGCCTCCTTAGGACTTCATATAAATCCTGTTGAATGTCTTATCTTAATACTTTATTATTTTGAGGTGATTTAATATTTATTTACCTCACTGCTTGAATCTTCCTGAGGTCTCTGAAATCCACCCAAAAAAGAGAACAATACTTTTTTAAAATAGGTTAATAATATAAGCCTTATATACAAGTATTATACATTACATACAAGTTTAACTTTTAAAAGGCATAAGTTAAGAATTGTTTAAATGAAATTCACCTGTTTCTTTTTTCTTTTTAGAAGTATATATTCTTCTCCAGTTGAATTGCTCTCCTAAAAAATATATAAAACCACTCATTTGTATATATTTAAAAAGAAGTTTTTTTTTGTCTAATCTATTCAAAATTTACCAGCCAAAATGCCTATTCAGTAAAAAAAAGCTCAATATAACAAATAATATCTGATCAACATTTATTATTTACTTCATTACTTTGCTAGTTTTTCTGAATAACTGGAAATTGTTTTAATTTTGTAAATATATGGCTAAAGTATTTGTTTTAATTAATATTTATATAATAAATGTAAAAACAACATTATTGTTATTTTTTAATAAGAAACAAGTCTTTCTGTTTTAACTTACACTGTCAACGGTATCATCATTCATATCCTGAAATAATATTTTATCATGATGAATATCACTCAAAATAAATGCAAAAAGTTATCTGACCTTATATATAAAAAGAAAGTTATTATATTTTATTGTTATAAGTTGTAGTTATATTAAAAAAAATACCATTTTCTTCTTTGGGTGTACAACCTTCATTTTAGGACAATGTTTTTTCAATGTCTGAGGGGAAAGTAAAAATTTTTGACTGTATTTGTTAATTTTTTTTTTACATAAAAAAGTATTGATTTAAAAAAAACCTGCTTACCATTTTCTTTTGGTGTGTTTTTCTTTCCTAACAAATGATACTTTATTACTTAATGATACTTTATTGCTTTACTTAAATTTATCTCTTTGACCATACAATACCTTTTCTGGAGTGCTTGGTATGAAGTGGATAATTTCCTCAGATGAATCCTGATAAATTTACAATTATTGCATGCAATATATATGAAAGCAAATAATGTAAGGATAGTTTAGTTTTAAAATAATTAAATAGAGAGTAATAAAAGATATATGCCAATACACAGTAAATGTGTAGTTCCCGTGCAAAATGTATACATTGTTTATATGAAACAGAGGCTATCATTTTCTTATTTATTATTTGATAACAAAAAAAGGCAGACTAACTCTTACGGAAATAAGAGAAGGGTCACAATAGATCTCTTAATTTGCAGTGGAAGCAAGAGAGTCTGTTGTCACCATTGACCCCAGAATTGAAAAAACAGCAACATTAAATGCAACAAAATAATTAAAAATTAATGTTCCTCTTGATAAACTTACTTTATCAGATTGATTATTATGCCCATCTTCAGAAGATTTCTGAAACTATTCTTATATTTATTAGAGAGAACAAGTTGCTATCGCTCTAAATATCATTTTACACAAATTTATATAAACATTTCCTTAAACACTACTCACTTTTTTGTTCTTATAAGCATTCATTCTGTCATGTGGTATTGAACCGCTCTGAAACAAATCGTTCGACATTTTTTAATATTGTTTGGGCGATTGGTTATAAAATAACTTGCCTTTCTTTTCTTTTCATAATCTGTAGGTGTATGAGGTTTGATTGTGGTTCGGGGGTCCTAAATTATTGAGAGTAATCAGTCATATTACAATTGATATTACCATTATTTTACAATTAATTAAGGTTTTTAATTGAGATGAAAAAAAGTCAATGGCACGAGCGGGATTCGAACCCACGATCTTCGGCTAGATACGCCGCTGCTCTACTATTTGAGCTATCGTGACCTCGATCCACTCGGACATCAACTTCCTATCTCAACCCCACCTTATGAGTTTTCCCTCCTTTTTGCCACGTTTCAAATGTCGTGTAATCGGATTGGATTCTCGACGACAAATGAAATGGCCACGGAGAGCTTTAGTGAAGTGTACTTCATTAATCATTAAATTCACTAATTTTGTGGTCCGCTTGACCAATTAATACATTACAATTAATTAAGGTTTTTAGTTGAGATGAAAAAAAGTCAATGGCACGAGCGGGATTCGAACCCACGATCTTCGGCTAGATACGTCGCTGCTCTACCACTTGAGCTATCGTGACCTCAATCCACTCGGACATCAACTTCCTATCTCAACCCCACCTTATGAGTTTTCCCTCCTTACCATTACTATTGATATTATTGATTTACTTACCTTTACTCTCCTTGGAAAGTTGTCAAAAGTCTAAAAACAGACCAAAAGTCATTCAGGCTCAATATAAATTTAATTTTAAACTTTTTTTTTTAAATATTACATTATCATTTTCCCGAGAGGACAATTCAGCTATCTAAAGTATAAAAAATATATTGTTAAATTGTTTATATTTTTATATAATTTTGCTTTATAGCCCACCTTTGGTTCCATCTCGACTTCTGAGGAATCCTGAACAAAATTGTAAATTAATATTACAAAAATAAAAATAAAAGAAAGCAAATTATATTTTATTACAAACCCTCAAAGGATCTGAATCATACATTTTTTCTTCTCGTTCTGCTGGTGAGGGCCACTGAAAAAAGATTAAATGCGTTTACTAAGTTAAAACATAATTACGGCTGGAAGTGACTTACAAGTTTCTTTCGACACGAGTTCCTTTTCTTCTTATTAATTTGTTAACATAAAGTATTAATTATCAATAAAAAATTTGGATTAAAAACAACAAATTTTGTCTATTGTCAAAGAATGCATTGGCAAAATATAAAAATGCCTATTCTTGTTCTCTTTTGTTTTAAATACTTTAAAATTGAACTTGCCTTTCTATTCTCTTTGTCCGTGTGCTGTTTATTTGCTGACCGAGGACTCTAGATGAACAAGGGTTTGTTAGTAGGAAATTCTTTAAATTTGATTTACTTCTTACCTTGACTTTACTGACAACGATTTCAGATATCTAAAAAAAAAGTAAAACGGTAAAATTAAAAATCTTATTTTTAGCGACAACTATCTTACCTTTGATTCTCCCTTAACGTCTGACGGGTGCTGACGAAATATTAACTAAAATCATAAATTAGAAAATGAATAATTAAATGTTAGCACAAACCCTCAAAGATTCCAAATCCGAAAAGTTGTCTTCTTTCTCCCACGGTGATGAACACTATTTAAACATTAAGGAAAATGTAATCATTTATATTTTATGGGTACGCCATAACTTGCCTTCCTTCTATTTTTATAGCCTGTCGGTGTACGTTGATTGAGTGTACACTTATGGTCCTAAATGAGTGAGATTTTTATAAAAAATAGATGTGGTTTCTAAAATGATTTGTACCATTACCTTATCACACCTTGCACTATTTTCCCGAAGAGTCTAAAGACAAGTCATTCAGAAATAATTTCAGAGAAACAAAGTTTGATTTAGTATTACCTCATTTAACAGATTGTTTAGCTCCGAATACAAAAGAGCGACCTTAAACATAAAAATAATAATTTATTATATAATTTATATAATTTTTATGTACATTATCCTACTTTTGGTTCTTTCTCAGCTTCTGTATAAGAGCGCTGTAGAGGAAATAATTGATATCAAAAATAAAAACAATAAACATTAAGAATTTAATCCAAACCCTTAAAGGATCTAAATCAGAAAAGTTGTCTTTGTCTTCATGTGACGAACTCTACATAAAAATGAATAATTTAATTAACAACAAAATTTAATTAAAATAACAGAAAATGGAACTTACAGGCTTATTTTGGACTGTATGCCTTTTCTTCTTGTCAATATACAAATGAGAATATTTCTTGTAATTTGTTTTTTAAAAATAGTAAATTATAATATTCTTTCTTACTTTACGGTTATGCTCGGCATATATTAGTGCAATTTTCTGAAGCTACAAATACACAAAAATAGCATGTCCATCCAGCATGATAAGCATAAATTTAATGTTTTAATATAATACTCACTATGGAAATTAAGCGATCTTCCAACTGGCAGGAATCTAATCTATTCTGTAACCAACAGTGGATATAATAAAAATTGTGATTACTAGGCATTTATTACCTCTAAGTGTGTAGCTTTTGGTTCATTTCCCTGAAAATATAAATATAATTTTTTTTTTAATGGTCAAATACAAACATAGTTATATTTATTATTCTTAAAATTAGACCTGCAGAGGAGATAATGATTGTGACAAATCAGTTTGAATGTCATCACGTTCCCTGTAGACATTTGGCAAATAACCATTCTAGAATATAATGTATATTTTACTGAAAGTTTTGAGATCCTGAATAGCATCTTAATTCTAATTAAGAAAAAAAGGTTTCCTTAAAACTACAAAGACAAAAATAGGGCATTTAAATCTATAAATATAAAAATAATATGACAATTATAATTAAGATATTCTTCGGAAAAATGAAATTTATAAAAATCTTACCTCTTTGTCGGACATTTGGCTAGTATCATTTGTTGATGAATCAGTCTGGAATGAACATTCACAATTTAATTTTTGAAAATACTCTTAACATTGGAATTGTAAACAGTTACATACTTCCGAATTGAACTTTTCATGCGTACCGTTCGTTCCTTTTGGTGAATCTCTTCTGTCCTGGAAACAAAACTTCATCTTTAACATGATGTCCAATCAAATTATAACAACAAAATTAGAACTGTTTTTTGATCGGCAAATGTCGTTGCTACATCAACTTACGTTAACAATTGGAATTTCTATTGTTGGCTTGTTCTTAAAATTGTGCAACTGGAAATGTTAAATGGTTGTATCAAATGGCAAAAAATTTTGATCTCATTCATTTATGTTAAAAAAGTAATTAAACTGTCCTCCTACCTCATGATATGCAGAGCTAGTTGTATCCTCAATATTATTCTATGAAACAAGACATAATTAAAGCATAGAAAATTTTCTTATATTAAATTATTCTATTTATATATTAAGGAAATTCAATGACTTTTACTAATCAAATATTTAATTTTCACCTTTCTTTTTGTGCCACTCTGATCAATCCCTTTATTTCTTGACTTCTTTACTTTTGGGACCTTAAACAAATGAAGAAGTTTACATTTTTAAATGCATTCTGCATGAATATTTGATATTANTATATATATAATTACCAAATATGTTTGATCCTTAACATTTCTTATGAGATATTTATCTTCCTTCTGTTGAAATAAAATTATAAATACAGTTTATAGAAATTTACTTTACATGTAAAGCTATTATTTCATTTAATTAGAATGATTTTACCTTCTTATAGTATGCTTTTCTGCGTTTTTTGAGAGACGTGCCAAGCTTATTAAAACAAAAATAGAAATGTTTTATAATAACACTAATAAACTTAAAATAAAAATATTTTACAGTGTCTTTGCCTGCATGTTTGTCCTGAAAAAAAAAAAAATCTGTTTAGTTTATATTTATTGTAAAAGATATTTTTTTTTACCTTGTCTGTCCTTGACCCTTCCTGATCCTATAATTTCACAATTATAGTATTAATCAGCTTTCTACAATTAAAAACAATACCTTGAAATGTGAATGTGCTGCAATTGCTTCTGCTACTTTCTGCAAAAAATCAATATCATGTATAAACAATTAAGCATGTAATATATCTAAAAAATATCATACAATAAGAATCTCATGGCAGAGGCAGTCTTTTTCACAATGTATCTGTAACGGCTAAAAGGAGAAAAATGATAATTAACGTCAATTTATCTGTGACATAATTTTCTGGAATACCATTTTTAAAGAGTAATCTGCGTTTGAAGGACTGGCATCTTTCTGCTGTATAGATATTTTTTAAAAAATTTAAAATTAATTAATTATTTTTAATATTCTGTACATTTACCCCGTGGTGAGGTTCTTTATCTGGTCCTGATGTCTTTCCAACCATCTAGATGAAATTGATTACTGTTTGCTGAAATATTATTAAAGATATTTAATTTTACCTCTTGATGCAATTCATTAGTCTGTAAAGGTGCTGTGTCCAACCGCTAACAAATATAAACATTTTATTAATCTAAGCTTTTAAGAATATTTTATCATCAGTAGATTGTACCTCTTTAGGACTTTTTTCTACTTGTGTATTTTGTTTCGGCGCCTGGAAATAAAACTCGTCAATTCGTTTCTTCGGCATGTGTAATTATAAACTTTTAAATAATCTCAAAAATTGCCCAGAAAAGAAAACAAAAATTATGTTTATTGTATTTTTTCTTTTCAATTTGTCAAAGTTAAAAAATGCATCTATAGCATCAAAACAAAAATGCTCAAATCAATTAGTCTTGTAAATCAACAGAAACTGATGGATAATTAGTAGAAGACTTGTTTGTGAGATTTAATAATTGTTAAAGTTGTTTGTGTTTTTGGTTTCAAATTGTCAAAGAAAATGTAATTATGTATTTTTTTTAAAAAAGTTTGTTAATGGGTATAGTGAATTTTTTGAAAAAAAAATACACATGTGTTTTTTGAAGCAAACAAAAGTGCAAACATTAAATTTGAACTAATTCAGACTTAGTTATGAAATCAATTGTTGTGCTAGTTCATTTTAAATCCCACTAGAACCAACATATTCAATAATAATTAATACAATTTTTTTAAGGTACAATTGTTTTAACAATTATAAATTAATTTTAAAAAAATAAAAATTCATCTATGGTATAAAATATATCAGAAACTAGTGAGTTCATGTTTTTCTTCATTTTTCATTTCTAGAGTTTTTGATAGTTTTATCTAAACCACCAATATATTCTTTGAATTCCTTGTATTATAAGAGTGAATATGGATTAAAAGATAATTTATTTGCAAAAATATACGCACCTAAAAATATAGAAGGATACTCTACTACAGACTCTTAGCCTAAGGAGGTAACTAACCTTGCCCATGATTGAAAAGGCTGTTTTACACTTATCGCTTATTTCTGACTTTTAAGGTCTTAATATTAGTGTCATTGGGGCATAGAATAACATCATAATCAATGGTTGAATTTAAGTACGCAAGGAGATCAGTCGCAAAAATTTTAAATTATTTGACAATTTAGGTTTTATTATTTTGATAGTGTCCATCCTAATTTTGTAGAACTCAATAATAAGTTGATGGGTAGGAAATAAATTGTCTTTCTCACAATTGGTGTGGAAAAGACAATTTATTTCGTTCCCATCAACTTATTTAGGTTTTAGGCTTCGTAGCAAATAAATCAGTTGAGCCTTTTATACATAAAAACTCAATGTGATCTCTCCAGTCAATTACAGACATTTTAAGTAAAAAACAAATGTATTATTCACGTATGAGGACTAAACTGTTCACAGATAATCAATATTTGGCGTTATAAAAAATTTCAGAATTTATTTCATTTGCAACTTCTAATAATTTGTTTCAAGACGTGTAATTAACATGCAAAGAGGTTTGTAAGATTTGTGCAAATATGACAATCAAGTTGTTATTCAGAAACAGATGTGGTGCTGAAATTGACCCTTGGGAAACACTAATTTTCAAAAGGATATCTGAATATTTACCATCGAATGATATCACTCGCACTCTACCCAAAACTCTTATTAACATTTCCATAGAATTGCAATTTTTAAACAAAATCGCATGGGGGGCATACAGTCAAAAGCCACAGATTAGTTCTAAGAACAGCTGCATATTTATCTTTTTGAAAAGCATCTAGAATTTAATTTACTGGAATCACTGTCACCATTCATACATTGATCATTAAAGTCAATAATTATACATATTTTAATTATTATCGTCTAATTATGGCATTCTCTTTGTTTTACTTCTTTATTTATCAGCAAACCGTTAATAAAATTAAATTATGAAAGATTAGTTTTATAAAACTGCTATTATAAGAAGATAAGAAAATTTAAAACTGATGTTTCAAAAATTCAGTTTTTCTATACTCACATCTTTAACTTCTTTAATAACTTTAAAATGATCGTTGATGATCTTTAATACGTTTTTCTGAAACACAACAATATCACCACATATATTTATTCAATGGTTAATTATATATTATTATTTACTTTTAAAAGCTCTGAACACATAGAAAACAACCCGTCGCAAAACTGTAATTTATATTATGCTTAAACAATATTATATTATTTGGTGATGTATGATTAAAATATAATATCCTTACGACACATTCCTTCTCGGTTACTTGATTTCTTTTATCTTGGTGATTCTAAAAAAAAATAACAAGCATATCCATTAACAATATTTGAAAATCAATAGCAGCAGTTAAATGTTTGTGCAACTGGATTAACTTACTCCTTCATAAAAAAAAAAGTACATTACTAACATTATTATCATTATTAGTACAAAATATTTTTTTTACGTAAGGTCTTGATTGAGATGAAAAAGATAAAAAGAAATAATCATTTCACTAACAGCTCGCCATGGCCATTTTTATAAGTCGTTGAGAATCAAATCCTGATTATACGATGGCTAAAATGGCAATAAGATGTAAAATGCCAAAGATCGTAAGGTGAGATGGGGAGTTACTACTGTCCAATAAGATCGAAGTCACCATAGATCAAGTGGTTGAGCAGCGGCGTATTGATTCAAAGGTCGTGGGTTCGAATCCAGCACATGACTAACTTTTTCATTTCAACCAAGACCTTACATAAAAAGAATAATTAATTGAAACAATTAATATGATCAAATTAGACCACTAAACATAAATGGATTAATGCAAACTAAGCTAATATGATTTATACCTTTACCAATTTCTTTTTTTACCTTTTCAGAATGGACGTGAATGTTAGGCTGTAAATAAATAAAATAAATGTGTTAAAACTCATCCTCATTTTGGGATTTTTTTAGTTTTATACCTGAGAAGCAGATTTAAAAACTTTGTCTTTAGGTTTTCTGTTTGCTTTGGACTACAAAATGATAATTGTATTAGTTATAAACCATATATAAGATTAAGTAAATAAGACCTTTTTTAAGTGGTACATTGTTCCATGATTGATGTCAGCCTGAAAAACATTAATTATAACTAATCAATAATAACAATAACCTAATAGATACTCACAGATTGTGATCTTATTTTTTTATTTTTTTTCTAAATTGAAAAAGATGGCAAAATGATTAGGAACTCTACGATATTAATATTATTATTATATATATTACATTTTTATGTACTCTAATGCAATACTTTCGAGATTTGACCTGGAATTTAAAAAAAAAAATTAAAATAACATCAATAGCATTTTGAAAGCTAATCTAGTTAGCCAAAAGAAATGAACTTTCTTACTTCAAACATTTTTGCAAGTAATTCCTTAAATATAGGATCCTGAAACAAATGATCCGATTTAAAAACAAAATTATTGTACCCTAATTTTTCCAGAGAATGAACAAGATTGAAATGAAAATAATAGAAAAATGCTTCAAAGCAAACGACTCATACGTTCATCAATTCAGTGAAAGCTTCATCTTGCCCGACAGCCTAAACACAAATAAACAAATCAATGCATTCATTTTCAAAAATTTAACTTTCAACAGAAATTTTTACTCCAAGAAATATAAATACGAAAAAATGTTTCAATTCTTACAGTTTTCGTTTTCCCCTGAAACAAAATATTTTATTTTCTATTTAAAAAGTTTTGTACAGAACATTTTTTATCATGAATACTGAGAAAATACTGATTTTGAATAATTGAGCCGTAATAATTCTCACAGAAAATATAAGATTTTTAAAAAATCTTAAGGATATCCTTATTTTAAGGATATTTGGGCATTGAGCTTATCATTAGTTTCTATCGTTCTAGCTCCAACACATTCATTACTTTTAAAAGTTAATTCTTTTTTGGTTACAGCTTTTTATTTTTGTGTATTCACAAAACAATAATTGTGCAGCAATGAAGAAAATGCCTGTTAATTTAACAACCTTTACTCTATACCATCGTACAAGAAGATTTAACTTTAAGAATTAGCATTGAGCAACGACATTTTAAAGTTTTTATTGATTTTTCGTTTACAGTATATATGTGCTTACACAGACACAGTTTTAATTGTGGGCTGAGGTTCTGGCTATTCTTTCTTTTCACTGACGTAAGTCTGCACGATCGAGTTATTCGTACAGTCTTTGTCAACTGACGCTTTTGAAACTATTTTCAACTCGGCGAGCAGTACATTTTTAATTTTAACTGGCTGCTGTTGAGATGGCTCTCCAGGATTTTTGTCCATATTAAATTCCTCGTCAGGAATGGCATTTTGCTGGAATAAGAAAAGAATTTAAAATTTCCAAATTCAAGTAAACAGTTTGTTGCTAAAATGTTAATCAAACTGTTTCTAAGTTTGCTTTATAATTATAATATAATTGCTATGTAGGTGTAAAGAATGTTTTTGAATTATTATAACTAGAATATGGCCATTTTTTTTTCATGTGTACTAAAAATTCATCACAATTGTATTAATTATTGTATGATAAAAATTCAATAATTTTGTATTTTTCAAAATAAATTATTATTATACTAGTGCAATATTTACCTCATGTATAATTACTGGTTTCTGCCCGTGGGGGCTTTGATCAAGTTGGTCCTATAATAATAATGAAAAATCTGCTTATGTCATTATAAGGAAGGAGAATAAACTTTAAAAAACCTTTTAAGTCAATCAGAACTGATTAAATTATTGTTTAAACTTTGTTATGCAAAGTCATTAAATAATGAATGGTTGGAGTCAGAATGTAATTTAAAATATGAAATATAATTAATATATAGCCTGTGCTGGTAATATTTACACACCTCGTCAGCCTGGTGTGATTTGTGTTCTTCATGCGGCTTCTTTGATGTGTGTACCTTAAAAATTGAACCAGGTAATCGGTACAAATGACAACTTAGACACATCAGTAACATACAGATCCCTAACGATTGATTGAATATGTAGTTTTTAAGTTTATTATGTTTATATTTTTAATAGAATATGAATTTTTTATTGAACATTGGTTATGAGCTAATCAATTACTTTATTTAATTGTATTTACCTGGTCTTCAGTAGGTTCACCCTGTATTGATTCCTTCAAAATTGACATACATTTTTTTTAATCATTCACTTTCTATACTTATAAATAAACTATAATTACTTGCAACTGAGTTTGCTCATTTCTTACATGTGAAGACGGGGATAGACATTGTCGCCTGAACTGCCTGTTAGGGGACTGGAAAATTGGAAAAGTTAGAAATCAAATAAATTGGATAGTGTCAAATCATTTTTACCTTGCTAAGAGATCGTGGATTATCAACCTTCGTGAAGAACAAAAAATTAAATTATAAAATTCAGTTTACAGAAACGGTACTGATACATACTGAAACTGGGCGGATTAAAGCAAATTCACTCTGAAACAGACAAAAAATGTATGAGATTTTATCTAAATTCATATTCTATTTTTAAGATCTCACTTCGGAATGTTCCTTCCTGCTTCTACTCAGTGATTCCTAGTATATTATTAATTATCAATCAAATGGAGTATATCTGACTAATACGCTTTCATATAATGTATTAAAACCTTACCTCATCGGCAAAATGTTCAGTTTGAATTAGAAAAGCCTCCTGAAATTTTAAATGTACAAAATAGACTTTTAAAATATTTAATATTGAGTCAAATATTAACAATATCCTAACTTCTGCTTTATATTATTTAAAATGTTTCCATAATTTATTAGCTTGTTAATTAGAAAATATTCATGACAAATATTTATGATGAAACAAAAGTAAAAGTTAATATAGTTAAAACATGTTGAGTATAAATGAAGTCCTCATTCAGATTTTTATTGGTAATTACACTGCATTACAAGTAAAGATATAAACGTTTAAAAATGAAAAAGTAAACCTGATGCTGGGAATTTCTTCTATGTTTTAGCTTCTCACACTCCTAAGTAAAAGAAAAAATATATAAACCAATGCAATAAATACTTTAACCGTTTGATACAAACCCTGTCTTCATATTGCATTTGCTGTTGACCACTCTCTGCTGGTTGATTCTCCACATTGGATTTCTTCTCCTAAGATGTATTTATTGATATTTCCATTATAAAAACAAAAACAATATCTGACTTAAGTTCTGAAATTAAACAGGTACCTTTGAATTTGATGGCCCTAGTGTGTTTTTAGGCTTAGAGACAATCAGGCGGGAAACTTGTTTGGGGTTGCCAGTATTTTCTGGTTTTTTTGATGTCTGAAACAATTGAAAAATAATTATTTTAATAAATAAAATGTTAATCAAATAAAAATTCTTCTGCTTTTTATTTATTTTTTTTTTGTTGAAGTGTTCCAATTTTTATTTTATTTTGAAAGCGAAGCTTGTTGGAAAGCTTTCAAAACAAAAATATAAAGGAGTATTGTATTAAGCAAAACACCATCGCACTTTCATTCATTATAAAACAAAATTAATGAAGGCTAAAGTGCACAAGTATAATGGACACATTCTTAGAATTTTTGAACAAATATATAAAAAAGAAAGAAAAGAATTTAAAATCTCTTAAAACATTAATTTGTTTTTGTTGTTTAGTTGTTTATTAAATTATTATATACTTACACCAGCAGTTCGTTCTTTAGGTTTGTGAGATGAAGAACTTTCAGGTTGCTTGTTTTCGTTGGTTTTTTTTTTATTGATGGCATCATTGAAGAGGTCATCTCTGGAACCTTTACCTCCAGCGTTATTTGATTTTGTCATTACATTTTCTCGGTCCTGTAAGTTTTACTAGTGAAAAATATAGTCAGTATACTGAACCGATTCTCGTACCAATACTTGGGCAGACACGGGATTGTATTCATTGTCGATAACCAACCTCATATCTACATCCTCCCTAAAAAAGAATACATGTTGGACAAACATTCTGCTGTCGTGATAATAATAAATTTTACAATTCAGAATCCCTTTCAGTATGCACTGGTCTGACTGTGATACCAGGATTGTTTCCATCTTCTATGACGACAAACTCAAAATTTTGTATTATCTTCTTTTTGTTCTTGCCTTCAAAAAATACTTGAACCATGAGCTGAAAGGAGAGAAAAAATATGATAAAAATAATAAAAAAATCAAAGCATTAAGAATCAATCAATTTATATTATTAATATATTCTATTTTTATGTTGTATTAAAGCTAAGAGAAAATTGTTAGAACGAAATAGGCCATTAAATTTCTAAGAATTTGACATTGCCTAATTTAATGCAAATTTATATTTATAACTTATCAAGAGGTCAACAATGCATTAGTACTTTCTCTAATTATATCTATCTATACTTTATATTCAACAAACCACAACAGATAATTTACAAATCTTTATGCAAGTTTTTATATACTTTTTTTTTTTTTTTTTTTTTTTTTTTTTTTTTTTTTTTTTTTTTTTTAAATGTGAATCACCTATTGCATAAGACAGTACAAATTAGTAAAAGGTTTGATACTGAAAATACTCCCTTATTATATACTTCAATAATAAAGCATCTAGACAATTTTTATGATCCATGATAGTTTTTTGTTGAGGTCTGTGGAGTTATGAAAGTGTTTTGTTTGATCACCTTGATAATACTGATATTGGTCAATCTTCTAGGATAGGAGAGCTTTAACTTAGAAGCAAAATTTCAACTTTTATAGCTCAAATTTCTAAACAAGAATTTTTTATATTAGTAATACAGGCAGGTATTTCATATTATTTTATGTTGATATAATTTCTTTTATAATGAGATTTAAAAAATTGACAGAAATAAATTTGGCGTCAGATATTTCTGCCCGGCCATTTTATAACAATATTTGGCCAACTGTATTTCAGAAATGAACAAAGAAATTATTTATTCACTCTTTTAATTCACTTTCTTCTGGTAAGCACTACCATCTAGCAACCACGTTGTGTAACATCGCGTCTTGGTTGCTGAATTCTCCGCTAGATTACCTAGACCCCGTGAGGGCTAAAAGAAGAAACGTACTGCAGATTGCCGTCCCATTACCGTTCTGTTGAACCATTCTATTAATTTGTACTGTTGGTGGTTGCGATTTACGGCATAGTTTTTCATAACGGTAGGATTTTGATTGCCAGTCGTTAAACAAGTGTTGGATTTTTAGCAAATTCATCCATGATGCCTATGACTATAATATCCTACTGCCTTGCATAGACACTCGCGCTTTACGTCCCCATGGTACAATTTGTTTTTCAAAACGACTTTAATGTAAGAAAGATCTCGATGGTATTTTAAGGAAGAACACTCGTACCTTCTTCTGTTGCTGTTCTGCCATTGCTAGAGGTCAAAGCATTCCAAATACCCCGAAGCGCTCAGCCCTGTCTGTGTGAAGCACTTAAGCCTGTAATTTTTATGTCGGCAGTTTGAGCCTGCCTTATCGTGTACTGTGTTTCAGCTGATCTAATCCATCGTACCAACAACATATGTCGGGATTTTTCTAATTCTACTTTGTTGGGAAATTTTCTTTGAACATTCTAACCCTCTACCTAAGTCTTATAACTTCAAACGCCAGCAGTCTTATATTGGAAAAGGAGTCTACGATATTACAATATGCAACAGCGTTTTCCTCTTACACGATCTATTTACAAAGCATATATACTTCAGCGTTGTATATAGGCATTTCATTTTACATAGTCAAGTTTCTATTTTTTTATTAGTAGCTTTAGATATTATGAACAAAGGGTTTTAGTGAAAGGATTACACCATTTTCTTTATTATTAGCTTTCTATAAAGATTTATCCGGTGGAAAAGTATGCCGATGTATTTAGTCCTGTAATGTCTAACTGCTGTATATGTATCCCATACTCTCGTGCCATCTTTAAGGTAGATGATATTTGAAAACAATTATTGAATTTCATCCCCGTGGGCCTTGATTTACCTGTAGCTGGTTTACTTTTAAATCATTGTTGCTGATTATCAAAGCATAAACACGATTTGTTTTGCATGTTGGTAATAATACATTTTGCTGATAGAACGTACAGTGTTTGACCTTGTGCTTTAACACCACCAAACGAGTCATGCTTAAGCTGCTTATTAATGAATAAAAAACTGTAATTGAACAAGACAATAGTCTAGCCAAATCCACTGTCGGCGTACTAAATTACATTAAACATTGTTGCAAGAATTGTGGGATTTATCCGAATGGTCTGCGGGATGATGAGCCTGTAGTTTGGCGACCGTTTTTGCCTGAATGGAACTGATCACGGCGTAATGCTGATAGTCTGCACTTCTGCAGTATGTGGTGTGCAAAAACAGGTGGACCAAGATTCCAGGGACATTCCAACTGAAACCAATTGTTCATATAAGTCATTAATCGTAGGCTTTGTTTTGTTACAAAGAAGAGGTATATGTGATTCCAACTGCAAATCAGCTGGTTCGAACAATGGAGACTTAACCACATCTACGATAAGTTGTTTGTTTCACACTGAAGATGTTCACCATCACATGGTATTCATCACTGAATCATTCATCACATAATTGAGCCTAGTTGAAATCGAATTAACGGTATGCTTTAATGGCACATCATCTACTTTTACCCTTGAGTTTAGCATATGCTGAACCTTAAGTCATAGGCAATACTATAGTCGATAAAGTTGGACGTAGTACCCAAAATCTGACCCAACCAAATTCACGTTGCACATCATAACTGCTTAAACGGAAATGACCCGCAGTACTACGCACCTACACTAGTTAACGTTGAAGCGTAAACCGTGTTACTGTTAATATTTATTTATTTGTTAGTGCACAGCTAGCCTTCGTTTCTTCTTTTCTTTCTTCTTCGTTTCTAAACTACCGCGGTGCTTCAACTATGCTCTAAATAGGTACGCTAAACTGAATCCGTAGACAGCTGGGTTAGCAGGCTCAGCTCCAAAGATGGTCACGACAGTCTGTTCATACCAGCGGTTCGTAATTATAGAAAACTTCCCCATATATGCCAACACATTTCCCGAACTAAATGTTCTTCCCGTTTTCCTAAACATGTTAGAATATAATATAAACGACGTTAAAGGCTAACTGGGATCGGAGAAATTAGCAGCCTTGATGATGGTTTTAAGTGATGTACATTCGGTTTGAATCATAGCATTGTTGGAAGATGGAAGAAGTCAAGCGTACGTGGCCGGGGACTTAACGTTCCCAGAACAACTGGCCGAAGCAGCTGTTCCATCGCTACCGAGATTCTGGAGGTTACTCAAGAAGGCTGGATCAGGTCACAGCGTGTCTCATCTCAGAGAAATGATCGTTTTATTGTTTCGAATGTATTTTGTAATCGACATTCTACCGCTGTTGAGTGTTTGGAAGTGATGGACGAGTTGTCAAACCTGAAGTTTAACCATTTTTATTCGTGTCCATACTTTTTTTATGTACTACGCTAAATAGAATAGCTAGTGTTGGGTCCAATGATTACACCAAAGGAACAATCTTCTGACATTCCGTTTAAATTAAAAAAATTCATGTTATTTATCTACTGCGTGTTATACAAGCAGCGGTAATTTAGTCTTAGGTATAATCGATGACTGTGTGTAGATTTGCTCATTGATGACTAGTATTTCCGAACAAATTCGTTTTCTGTTTACAGAGGTGTGGTTAGGGAAGGTTAGGGTTCCGATATTTTACCGTCCTTGCGTCGAAAGGTGCAGCCGTCCCTGTTCGAATATCCGGCAAAGTCTATCTTTTCGTGAACATTGAATAATAATGATGAAGCATAAAGAAGGGCAAAGCTACCGAGCCGGCCTCGTCGACCTGTCGCAAGGCGCGCTGACGTTAGGGACGGCGTGGAGTGGCCGGTTTGCCCCCACTATACACGGAGGCCTCGTTCGTACTTTTCCGGCCGAACCCGACACCATATTGCGTCCTTTCTTCATAACAAACTTGTAACGTTGTTTCGGTCCGCCGTGCCCTGCTTGTTTTTCGACCTTGTCTGATTATCAGGTGAGTTGTTCTAGACTTTCTTTTACATTTGTCCGAATTTATTATGATTTGACAGTCTCGTTTTTCACTTTTCTCTGTCGGCTTTTACCGATCCCCACTTCGGCTGAGCGTCCGACCAACACGTTGAATTTAACCTCAATCATTTATTTTCGCCTTTCCTTTTTTTATGGTTCTATTACTTTTAACCTTTTCTTCTCATTATTCACCACTCTAAGCGAATGTTTAAAACTAAAAATCAGTATATTGATACACAAGTTACTGTTTAAGTTACTAATATAATTTAATTTTAACCTTTCTCAAGAAAACATGTTTTTAGGTTAAACCGTATCACCGGCACATACAAAATAATATTCACACAAAAAAATTTTTTTTTCTGTTTTTCGTTTCAAATTACACAAAATTCTTTTGTCTGAATATTGGGATCTATAACCCATAATGAAACCAATCGCAGAAGACTGGTATAAGACCTCCCCTTATCTGTCGATGAAGTCATCTTGCCAAAGCAAAATTTAGCCTTGTCACACATACCTAGGCCTAAATCACTATTATACTACTTAACGCAGTGCATAAAAAAGTATACAAACAAATATAAGCCGTTTTCGACATTTTATTTTATCGAAACTTCAAATTTTGGGTTTGGTGTAAGGGAGGTAAGCCCTTACCTTCCATGAAGTCATATTGCGAAAGCGAAATCTCGCTGTCCCACAACCATGGGTTATACCCAAGCATAAATTATTACTAAACACATACAAAAAACCTTATTTGTTTCCTATTAAAAAGAATTTCTGAAGACTTGAACTTGGGTGTAAGTCCATAACCTTAACCATCGATGAAGTCATTTCGCCAAAGCGAAATATCGTACTCACACAGCCAAGGCTTATACCGAAGCCTAAATAAAAACTACTAAAATGCGAAAGTTGGGATTTTTTCTCAGTGGGTTAGTCAGGGATCTTAAGTACTATCTTTTTCTCCCTTTTCATTGATGACCTTTGCTCTATACTGAACTTGAAGGGGGTGTTCGAATTGACATCTCTAGGCCTTTTTATATTCTGATGATGTTTTGTTTTGAGCCGAAAATCGTGTAAATTTACAGAGGGATATAAAAACATAAAAGATATTTCGAATAATATAATCTTACTATCAACCTCATCAAATCCGAGGTGGTAGTTTTTAGAAAGGGTGGTAGACTTGCACGTGTTGACCTTTTTCTCGCAAGGGATGACAGTGAAATTGTCATTAATGTCTATTGCCATGTCTATTTATGTCATCTTTGGGGTTATCAGCGGCACGATGTATTTGAGAAATTCAGAGATTTTAAATCAAAAAGCTCTTTGGCCTCACTACTAGTTACATGTTGTAAAGAAACATATCTACAGACCTATTGATTGTCACACTGAGGGTTTACTTTAAGCATATCCGGAACCTATCTGATTCTCGCCTTCCAAAAATTGCCCTTGAAATAATAAAAAGCAATACGTTCTTGTTATCATACTGGCTTACCCCTATTCAGCAAATATTACCCCGTATAACTTCTGAATCAATAATATCCCTGAATGGAAGATTAACCTTGCCACACTTCTTTTAAACGTTAGTGTGCATCATCAAGAGGAGTCTGTGTGGCTTGCACTGGCATCAATTCGCTTTCAACTGTACAAAGACCTTGATCATACGGTTCCTTATTACCAGTTCATTTCTGATTTTAACTGGTATCTGATTTAGGGTGATTTACTTTAATTTCATATTAGTCTGACCGTTAGCCAAAATGTATGTTGAGTTTTTATCATTTACTCTCCGCTTACTCGGTAGGAGATGTATATAAGATTGATGGGGTGATGCAAGACAGTTCACTTACTTCCGTTCCATGAATATGATATTGGTTTGTCAACACCGTTCAGTCGAATACCCGGACGAGATCATTCTTTTCGAATGGCATCTGCCACAAAAACATTGACCTTGTGACAAATGACACATATTGCTCTCTTAGTAATCTTGTAACAGATACAAAACTAGCTTTCCTTCTTTTTGGTTCGAAATCCATCTTTTCGTCCAAGCCGACAGAGATTTCCATTTCGTACGCCTGATGTCCTGGCGCAGTAAACCAACTCCACCATCAAGGATACCGCAGCCAACTTTAATAACGTTTTCCGATCCATATTAAAAATGGGGGAATGTTGAAAATTAGGAACAACTGATCTTTTCCTGTGGTTCAAGTTTCAAAACTTAAGGTTACTTGCTTGGCGCACCCACCGGAAAAGTATGTCGGTTTGTTGTACAAGATTTTTATTAAGTTAACTTGTAATATAGGGACACTGTTTCTTTGTGGTTGTCAATTAAAACTGTACCTTCAATTTTTTTTTATCAAAAAACCTACTCGCTTAAAACGGCCTATACCCTTAACTGAGTATTTTTACGCACGGAAGTACTTCGAACTTCCAGAAAGCATGCACTACGAAGGCGTAAAAAAGATGCCGCAGATCGCTGTTCTGCAGGGTGATGTGAGGTTCTACTTGAAGGGTGATGTTCTATTTGAATGTACCTCAAGAGAAAGTACGAGCTTGGAATGATCGGGATCTTTGATGGAGCCGTGAGTTGAAGAGAATTCTCCCCGGTGGGACCTCAGAAGGGGAGACTCCAGTTGTTCATTAATCAATACTCGCCCTCCTCCCGGTGCTAAAAATCAACACTAACATGACTACAGCGCTTTAAGAAGAGGAACTTTTACCAAAACCGTTTACTGCAAAAATACTTAAGTGGTTAATATTTATTAGTCACTTACTTTTATCCTTTTTCGTTGGACTTGGGTATTGCTCCTAATTGACAATCAGGCATTAAACATTTTTCTCTTTCGTCCAAATATTGAATTCATGATTTTATTAAAAAATCATTGTAATTGAACTCAGGATTGCTATCCACAAATACATTGGATCCGTCACCGATGCACCCGGGAATTTAAAATTTTTGCAGCATCTGAAGATATGCTGGTTTATTTACAGTTTGTCCTCTAGTTCGAACGCAGAACCGCTAGAGTGGCAAACACGAGTCAAACGATCTTACCTCTCGGCCACCGCGGTCCTCCACCTATAGGTCATAGAAGTCATTGCGAGGTGCTGGTGTTATGGTACAACGACAGAAGATAAAAATTATGGTACAACGACAGAAGATAAAAATTGTAGTACTCTTCAAATGGATAACCTCTCCTAAAATTTATTGTTGGCTTAGTTCTACCGCATCTACTTTGTTGTAGTTATTGCAATGTACTAAAGCACTACAAAGAAACTAGTTTAAAATTACTATCTTATCTTTGCGGGTCCTGTCCTCCCCATGAGTTTATGCCAGAAGTTACTTTCATTTGAGTTGCAATATTCACCAGCAAGCTACCTAAGCTTAGGTTCCAACCTTCCTGCTTGTGCCCAATTGTCCATCCATAGTTAAAGATTACTTATCACCTAATGAATAACCTCTCCCAAAATTGGTTTGTTCTACCGCTAATACATTGTAATTGCACAAGCAGATTTTGTAAAGAAGCAGAGGAGACATCAACACGCCAAACTGTGGCGCTACATTTTTCCGCAAGAGGAAGTGCTTTGGGATGTACAATGTAACGTAGAAGAAATTCAAACACTGAAACCGGGCCTACTAATTGTTGAATTTGGACTTACCTGTGTAATATAGGCACAGAACGGGGGATATAATACAACAGCTCTTAAAGGCCGCGGTATAATATACACCTCGACTAATACATTAATATCTTCATTTAGACAAACCATTGCGAGGTACTCATGTCATATAGAACGTAGTTTAAGATGTTACTGGTATATGGAATGTCCTCATCTAAACTTCATCTCTAGTTTAGTTCTACCGCTAATGCCTGTGGCGGGAGGTTAATTGGTAAAAAGTAGTTTTCCATATTTTGTACGTTGATTACGATGCAGTATCATCCACCCTAATATTGGTGACCCCTGCCCAAAAAACCTAACATTAGTTGTTGGTAGTTGAGTACTACCGAGTCATTCCGGTTGTGAAAACTAACGGATCTGGAAGATGGCGTTCGATGAACGTCAGGCAACGCCATCCAAGCCGGACGACCACGACTTGAAGTCGCAAGAATCTAAGTAAAACCCCGGTTCGCACAAGTAGGGGCACAATTCCGGAACGCTTAACTATCCAGAGATCAGTCGAAGTACGATTTGGTAGTGACGTCGTAGACAGCAAGGTGTTAGGCCAGATAATCGACAGTATTCTATCCCCTCCAACTCAAAAAGAAAATACTTAGCGGATCGCCACATGTTGCCGGCTTGGTATAAAGAAACAGTTAAAAATTATGGTATTCTTCAAGCGGATAATCTCTCCCAAAAATAAATTGGATTTACTTTTAGTTCTACTGCTAATGCCTCTGGTTGGAATGCATGGTATGGCAGAATGTTTAAACTGTTCTATGGTTAGGGATCTAGGTATATTTTATTGTTTTGTTTTTTGTATAGTGTCCCTATCGCTTTCAATTTAATTACATATCATGTCCAGCGTTGACAGCGAGGGAGTGGTTATCGGAGGTATGGGCTATCGACCAACAACAACCTTGCGGCGGAACAGGCAAAAAACGGCATCGACCCACGATATGACCAGGGACCGGATTGATCTTTCAAAACCCTGGCATCTGGCAACACCGCTTACGCACTTGCTCATCCGGCAATGCCGGTTCTACTAAAAGGTGGGGGAGCCAGGCAACAACCCAACGCTCACTGCTCAGCCGGCGGCGGCGTTCCAAAGCTACTCTTGAACCTCGGAACGCACGCTTTTACATTGGGAGAGTGCACGTGGGTTTCCATCCAAACCGTTATAATTCATTTATTAGGCTTTTCCTTTAGATTGATTGATACCTTTATTGGTATGAGCGGCCGATGTTGATTTTTTTAACTGTTTTTTACTGTGTTTTTTTTCTTTAAAACTGAATGTTATCCGATTGAGTCAGCGGTGCAATTTTGGGTGGGAGTTCGGGTTCCCACCGAACAGGTTATCGTTTATACACAAATCAAAATAGGCCGGAATCTTATGTAGATTTGTCTTTCAGATACGCATGAATCAATGAGAGGATGTAATTTGTGTTATTATTTTCGTTAGTTTTAACGGCGTCATGCAGAATATGCCGATGACGCTTCTTCTCGATTGCTGGGAGGAAGGCTTGAGCATGACCCAGCTCAAGTTTCAAGAAAAAGCCAACAGCGAGATGTCGGAGTTCGAGAGAAAGATCAGCGAGGTGTACGACATGGTTGGGTAAGTTGATTACAAATCTACATTCTTCAAAATTATTAACAACATACGCAAAGTTAGCAATTGAGTTTTTTCTATACAGAAACAATTGTTTTATATTTATCAAAAAAAGCATACCGGTGTCAAAATGTAAATGCATCAACCTACCATCAAGTGCCAGAACTGAGAATCCCAGAAATGCTCTACCCCCTCCATTTGTCAATTCTGCCACTACCAGATTTTTCTTCAGTGACACATACCAATCTAAAAAAATAAGTGCCAAATACCAAATTTGCTCTAAATCATTTAACATTTTTTATGTAATTCTCACCTTCAGCATTATAAAAAAATTATCAATTTTATCAATATTAGTATCACTGACATTGACAATTCAATAAATACGCATTCAATGATTGGGATCCGATTGTTGGGAATTTTTTGGAGGATTATTTGCTTTCATGTAAATTCCAGCATCAACGATGATTAGGTCATCCCACAATTATGAAAAAATCCTTTAAATTTCGTACTATTAACAAATTGTAACCCTGCCTTCAGTAGTGGTCACTATTTTTCTTTTTAATAAATGATTATTTCGAGATCATGAGATGCGGTTTGGTGTGACGTAGGTTTGGAAAAACATTTTCTTTATCCTGCCAACGTTTTGATCTTTATTGAGATCATCTTCAGTACACAGAAAATAAACACTTTGAGCCCTGAAGATTATCTCAATAAAGATCGAAACATTGGCACGATAAAGAAAATGTTTTTCTAAATCTACGTCACACCAAACCGCATCTCAAGATCTCCAAATAATCATTAATTAATGATTACTAAATACCACACATTTTTAATAAATTTTGACTAACCGTAAATATAACAAATACTAAAAATAATCGTATTCTATCAAATGTAAAATTTATAAATCCTTCACTCTGTAGAATTAAATAAAAAAATAAAGCTTCCTATATTTTTTTTTTTTGCACATGTCTCAATGTTTGAAGCACAAATTTGTTTGGTCCTCTATAATGCCCTGACATTGGCTCTTCTGACGATTCGTTCAGGCAACGGCCTGATTTCTTAACTATATTTTGAAATACATAAAAACTGAGGATAAAATAAATTTTGTTGTTAACCATTTCTTCATTGACGTAATAACAATCCATAAATCAAGGCGCAAAACAGTAAACAACTTGATATTATGACATTTAAAAAATAAGTAAATATACTTATAAGCACTTTAAATAAATGTTTATAATACAAAAATGCATCAGATTTGTTTCCAACAAAATCTTGTACAGCATTTTTCAAGTACAAATAATTTTAATGGTTTATCGAGTGTTAGAAGAGATGCTGAAAATTTAATCTTACCTAGAAGATGATTAAAATTATTATTAGAAAATGCTCTTATTTTGCAATGAAAATTTGAATTCTTACTGAAAAGGTCTTTATTTTAAAAAATGTAATTACTACCAGAATACAAAGAGAAAATAAAGGAAGAATTTCCAACTTCTTGGAATATGGCCATCCTCGGTGATAAATTGGAGGGTCAGGACTTAATAGAGTAAGGAAGGGAATTCCAGAGGTTGTAGAAACGGATAACTAAGGAGTGACTAAATGCGGTCGATTTGTATGCAATAGATTATAAATATAGGAAGGGCACCAAGACACCACAATACATACTTACCTACTAACAATTTGTACTAACATTACATTCAAATAAGCTTATTTTTTTTGTTAAGGGTCAATAAGTTGGTTTTGTTCGATATTTCAGGAACTATTCTCAATCTTTTAATGCCGCTGCACCTACCACTCCCACCACATCAAGCCAGCTGATTCTTCCGGTAATAATATGAAATAATCTATACATATAATAAAATAATAATTATATTATTGGTTGAAGAATGCCCAGCAAACGCCCCATCTAAATGGATCATATGTTGTCGTCGAGCCAAACAACCAGCTAAAGTTAGTTGTACAACCCGTACCTGCAGTGTCGCAAACTGGTCGTGAGTTTATTTTTTCCTTTAAACTTATTCATTTGGCAATTTATATATATTTTTATGTTTATGTCTAATTTCAAATTTTTTAGAAATTGTACCAACCAACTCTACCCCTGTGAGATTGCCTTCTACAGTGGGCCTTGTAAGTCTTAATGTCTTCAAGTTAATTTTTATGCATGAACATTTAATAACATACACATTATTTAAATAGAACATTTTCACATCACTACTTTAGGCAGAATGTTTATTAATATTGTTTGTAGAGTATAAAACATCGTTCATCATTCCACAGACCTAAGCAATAAATCTCATTAGTTAGTAAGATCTCGGTATAGTACGCAGTTTTCATAAATCTAGATGTAAATTGTGTTCAATTTAGGTCTGTAGTAGGATTGAGCCATTTGTTAAGGTTTTCTCTCCCTTTCTCTCTCTATCTCTCCCTTCTCAAATTTTGTATTCTATGTTTACATTTAAAAAATTAAAATATTTTAAAACTAACCTTTGATTTTAAGTTAGTTTTAATTAATTATTGTTTATTTTAAACTAAAACACTTACCTACTTAAAAAGAGATAGCCCTGTATTGTATTTCAGAATTCACATTGCTTTGTTTCAAGCCCGCACTAACTTTTTTTGATTAGTAATTAATCTAGTTTTATTGGTGGTCATCTCATTCATTATTTCTTATGTCATTAGCAAAGCTTTAATTTTTTTAAAAATCTTTTAAAATGTAATAAAGGGAAATGTCTTTTCTACAAAGGATGAGTTCAACGGCATGGTAGACATCAGCGTAGGCAGGTGTAATGTTACTTCAATATCTTCTGGAACTGGAAGGAAAATCTTGTTTAAGGCAAGTTTATAGTGATAAAAGTAATAATTGTAGTCATGTCAGGTTGAGATTATACAGTATTTAACTTTCAGACTGGTATAATTATCCTTTTTTTTTTAAAGATAGTTCCTACTCACAATAGGTTGTTTTCCAACGATCTGGATTTCGAGCCCTTAGCTCATCATCAAGTTGAAGGATTTCTACAACCAGGTCTCTGGACATGAATTGCAAAAGTGAACCCGCCGATACTTCCGCCAACGCGATGTTCCAATGAGAAGCTGGTTTTTTAATGGCGCTCAATTTGAATTTATGAAAAACGGGAATTATACTATAATTATATATTATAATGGTAAATACTGTAAGAAATTAATTATAAATTAGTGATTAAAGATAAAAGATAAAAAATTAGAACAATACCTTAATATTATTAAATTATTATAAAAATAATAACAATTAAAATAATTAATTTAATTATTTGGATGTTTAATATTATTTACGTACATATTTAAAATGGGAGGTAGATAAAAATCTGATATATTATTAATGCATTTATCACCATGTACAATTTTACATTTTTTATTTTCAAATTTCTCAAACCAATCTAGTTCTTCCCTTTGTTGAAACTATGTAACACTGTTGTATTTGAATTGAAATTATGTTTTGATTCTTTTAGACGGTCCTTAAATTCCGAAAAAAATTTCGATTTAGGCAAGTGTTCTTTTACACTCATTTTTATTTCTCTACCGTTTTGTCCTATATATTTAATATCACAATCATTCCAATTAAGTTGGTAAACCCCGCTTTTTGCCAAGTTGTCTACCTTGTCTTTAGGCTTTGAGAGGATGTTTTGAAGTGAACCTGTACTTCTAAAAGTTATTCTAAAACCTTCTTGTTTAAAAATTTTACTAACTTTTCCCGATAATTCACCAATGTATGGCAAACAACGGAAACCTAATGATTCATTTATGGTGGGGTGGCTTAAGTCCTATTGTTGATTCTTTTAAAGTTAATTTTTTTCTTCTTTTAACTAGCAACCTATCAATAAATATTTCTAGATACCGATTGTTTTTTGCTAAGGTTTTAATAGTTTCTAATTCTTTTTTATAGTTAGCAGGTGTTAATGGAAGTTTTAACATATGGTCTATGAGCCAAATGAAACCAGCAGCCTTTGGGACCATGGGTGGGAAGAATTCGCTGGTATCATAGTGTCTGTAATTGTGGGTTTTCTATGTACGTCTATTTCTATTAGGTTGTTTATTTTGGACAATTGTAATGATTGTGATATTAAATATACAGGACAAATTGGTAGAGAAATAAAAACAAGAGTAAAAGAACATTTGCCTAAATCGAACAAATTTTCGGAATTTAAGGACCATCTAAAAGAAACAAAACATAATTTCAATTCAAATTTAAAACAACAGTGATACTACTACTAAATACAGTGATCGTTTCAACAAAGGGAGAGATCTAGATACGTTTGAGAAATTTGAAATTAAAAAATGTAAAATTGAACGTGGTGATAAATGCATTAATAATATAACAAATTTTGATCTACCTCCATTTTAAATATAAATATAAATAATATTAGACATCCAAATAATTAAATTAATTGTTATTATTTTTATAATAATTTAATAATATTAAGGTATTATTCTAATTGTTTATCTTTTATCTTTAATCACTAATTTATAATTAATTTCTTACAGTATTTACCATTATATTTACTTGTGTTATAATTCCCGCTTTTCGCACGTTCAAATTGAGCGCCATTAAAAAACCAGCTTCTCATTTGAAATTGGTTGCGTTGGCGGGAGTATCGGCGGGTTCACTTTTGCAATTCATGTCAAGAGATTTGGTTATAGAAATCCTTCAACCTGATGATGAGCTAAGGGCTCGAAATCCGGATTGTTGCGAAACAACTTACTGTGAGTAGGAACTATCTTTTTTTAAAAAGGATTGAACACCGCACTCACTCCATCATTCATCATTTCTAGCGGTATAATTTTTGTTGGTTTTGTTCTTTGTTAATCAATTTGCCAAATCTTTTGTGTGCCATTGACTTCATGTGTGTTATTTATGAATATGGCTCCAAGTGTTGAAACATTGGAAAATATGTTTTTATAAACTAAACATTTAAAAATGTGTCTTCTGTCTTCCTGGCTGACTCCTCAATGAAAAATTACCTATATTTTATAAACATATTTGATCAAATTGTTTTATTTAGCATTCTATTAATCTTCAATTGAATAATTTGAAATTGAGCCTCAATGTTGTAATAAAACTGTTTAAATTGATTTAATTGAACCTCAGCTCTTATTTTTTATTCTTTTTTGGTTTGGTCTGTCAGACGTGTTTCACCATCTTTTTGGTTGTTGATTAAAACCAGTCACTAAAAATTACAAAACACAGACCACCCAAATTGTATAAACTACATTTCAATTAGTTTGAACATCTCCGATCATCCTGCCCTTCTATCTCACTGGTTTGGTTTGTTAAATGTTTCATCATCTTTTTGGTAAACAGTCACTAAAATTGAAAAAAAACACAGTCACCGAAATTGTTTTGCTTGTCAGATACATTTTATTCTTTATTATTAAGTATAATACGGGGAAAATTCCCAAGTAGTACAGTCTTACATAATAGTTAACGTAACAACATTTATATATGAGTAGTAAGAAATATGTATAAAATTTAAAAGCAGCATAACATATGCCAAGTGCAAAGTTAAAAGTAAATCTGGTACATAACACAGTACAATTCAAAATATAAGCTTCATAGAAATAGCACAAATTATTTATTGCCACATATGACAACTTTATTCAAAGTTTTCATAAAGGTATCACATTCAAGCCCAAAACCTCTATGCTGTCAAAATTATCATCAAAAGCCCACTGATAAAAAGAGATTGACCCACACTGTCTGTAACGAGTTTGATGAAATTCAGAATATTAACATCTCTTTCCTTCTACTAGGAACTAGGAAATTTTTTTACTTAATAACTCCAGACACTAATAGATCCCATCCACCAACTTCCATAAGCAACATATGCCAAGGACCAAACTACGAGTTTCAAGAGCCATGAGCCGGCATTCCTGAGCCCAAGCACCATATTCCTTTTCCTCCCATCTGAGCCCCATTTTAAAAACCATGTATTTCACGAACCTTTTCCAATTTGATTGAATAAATTTGCAAATTCCAAGGAAACCAAACAGAAGAGTCTAAAATATTCTTAATAATACCAAAAAAGTTAATTTTAATGGTTTTCAAATTGGTAAAGTCTGAGGTGTTGTCTCTTTTTGCCATACATCCAGGTTAGGGTCTTTATGACATAACATAACTAAAATATAGTTGTTTTAAATTATGATCCTTTTTTTTAGCTTCATGATTTGTTAACTTTTTCATGCCACAGACTGGAAGAATAAGAAATTATTATCATCTCCAAATATTGGCCAGATATCCAGTGGTGTTAAGTTAGTTGCCCTTAAAGTGTATTAAATTGTAATTATATTATTAAGTTAAGAATTGAAGATAAATAACAAATTAACGGGTTGATATTAATAACTAGTCTTGCCCAGTATGTATGAAATTTTTATGTTGGTTATAAGAACCCGTAGCTCAGGGTGCTGGTGGTTTTGAAAAAAACTCATTTGCAAGTATATGCTAGATTCGAACCCAGGACCTTAGAGTGGTGGGCACCATATCAACACCTTAACTGTTGCAACCACCATTACCCCTCTATGAAACATTAAATAACCATATTAGTTTTTATTATACCCAAGTATTTTCTAGGTGTATCTAACTAAATTAAAAATATCAAGTGTACAGTTTAAAAAAAAAGTATATATTTTTTGTTGCAGCCGGGACCAAGATTTGCACCAACGCAGGTAGTGTCAGCTAGAAGTTATAGTCCACTTGTAAGGCCAGCGAATATGCCTGTACAAATAGGTAAATAGTAATATTTGTCCTTATGTGCACTGAATAAATGCAATTATTAACACCTACAAAACTCAGTATTTTATTTATTTATTTTTTTTTTTCTAAGCTGGTCAAAAATCAACATTAGTTCAAGCTAGTTCATCACCAATTTCCATTGCTCCAACAACAGTTCAAACTGCTGCAACACCACCAGTTCACATTATTCCTAAGATTACTCAAACGCAAGTTCAGGCTGCTCCAGCAGGACGGGACTTGCAGATCTTAGGGTTACAGAACAACGCAGTCCCTCCTTGGAACCGGCCGGTCAAAAAGAGAATATCAAACAGTGAGCCTCAATTTCTCTTGAATATCTTCTGTAAAAAATTAACCAATTTTAGTAAATTTAACATTACATAATGTACAATATGTATGAACTAAGAATTGGTTTATACTTTAACCTTATAGTAATGCTTGTTTCTTTCTTTCTGTTTATTTTTTTCTAATTTCTCTTCTACAAATATGAAAACCTTTCACCCACCTTATCAACTACTAACTAATAAATTTAATTTCTAGCTGATGTTGTGGATTTGACTTCAGAAGACGTTACAGGAGATGAATCCTCTCACATAGGAGGGATTTTGCCCGAGGATGAAAACCTTTCCAGAGATGAGACTGAAAAGACATTTCCTTCATTGGTTGTTGTTGCAAGAGCTTTTATATCCACAAAAAGTATAAGCACAGCTAATGAAAATTTGGCTAGAAGTCGACTTGGTATCATTGGTTTTTATTATTATATTTTGAAGATTTCTAACAGAATGTTGATGTGTCAATTTATCATTTACAGATTCCAAAGTAAAACAGGTGCTGGTTCTTGGTCCTACTGCTTTGACGGAATACCTCCTTCAACAACAATTGATAAAAAGTAAACAGACATGTAGAACACATAATACACCTTGTAAATTAGGAATGTATAGCGAAGCATCGAAGCTGCCCAATTCAGGAGGATATGTTTGGGTCAGCGAGTGTTGTCCTGACGTCCTGACATCTGTAACATCAAAACAGAATGATTAAATTACCTTAAAAAAAGAATGAAATAAATGTTACAATTGCAGGTTTTTGCCGGATCCATATTTGAAGGTGCGCCTCACCCTCCTACGCTCATTTTAAAGCTCATTTATCATTGGGCCTGCCAGACATCTGTACAAAATGTCTTGCACTGGGTAAAGGTCAGCAATATTTATGTTAAAAAAATGTACACCTTTCTCCGGTCGGTTTGTGTGGCTGTTGTTCACCAGCATTTCCCCATTTTAGGAGGCCCTGGCAAAATTGTTGAAGTAAGTAATAATGTAAATGAATCATTAAATTTAACCTTAAATCTATCGTACTTTCCAGGTCGGTTTGATTAGCTTAGGAACAGGTACAACATCAGGGAAGAATATATTAAAACGGGTAAAAGTTGAAGTATTAGGTATCTATGATCAGACAAAGCGTTGGATTAGGTTAAAAGCACTGGATCCTATACCGGTAACCATGAGATTTTTTAAAAATAATTACATTAAGCCCTTACAATTAACTGTATCAAATTAATTTTCAGGATACTGAAGCTTACAAAAGAAAAAAATTTCTTCGGTGCTTACAGACTTTAAAGCAATACATCGACAAAGATTCAATCATTGTGACTGACATATGTGCTGATGATCCAGCATGGCAAAGCGTTGGATTCACGCATGTCGAACAATCTAAACAAACAGGCCTTTCGAATAAAAATGTAATGAATTACATTAGGAATATAATACCGAGAATGTTTCAAGTAATTATTTCTAAATAATTTTAACTGTTTGTTTATCACACAAATACAAGATCTAATAAGAGTGAAATTTTCTAGAATACTTTATCACTGCTGTCACGACAATTGATCCAACAGTTTTTCGATGAGCTAGTATGGAGGGAGGCATGGGGCTTCGTATCTTGCAAAGCCTATGCCAGAATTATAAGGGATATTGTAGAACTTACACGACTAGAAACAGGTAGGGGATAAAAAATAATCTATTAATAAATAATAATAATAAAAATATAATTTGTAGATATACCACTTGTTAAGATTCTAGTTAAAATTGCGACGAATCCTTTTAAAAATTGGCAATATGATAAATGGGTCGTGAATTGTTCTTCATTGCAGGTACAATATAAAGATAAATTTGTTGTTTAAAAAATATATAAATTACATTTTATTTTGATTTTAGGACTCCAATTTGGCATTACAATCAACAACGTCTTTAAATATAGATTCACCTTTTATGGTAATATGATTTATTATAAACTTATAAAACTAACTTTAGAAAAATTAATGCTAACATGCTATCTTTAAAGCAGGATTATACAGTAAATGATCCTGAGATTCAAACTGAAACACTCCAAATGACAAATGCAGAACGTGTCGGAAATAATGTATATCTCGAATCGTATTATTATGGCAGCTACGAAGGAGAGAATATTAGCAAATCTAATCCTTTATACATGGAGGTAATAAAATCCCGCTTTATTTTGAAAAATCAAACCGTAACAGATGTTCTTTTGTCTAGTGTACTCTGTGTTTCAAAGATTTTCGAGATAACGCCCAGTTCTCAGATCATCTCATTTTGCACGCACTCAATAAAAATTTCCCAAAGTGTGAAACGTACAAGGATGTTTGTAGAATATGCTTAAAAGTGCCCAATATATCGATGAATGCTCATGTGAATGCGGTAAGAAACTGAATTTTCAAATTGTGTCTCAGTTTGTAGGTGAAATCAAACCTGTTAATAATTTTCTAATTTTTAATCAGAACCACAAAGAGCCGATGAATCAGCTGAGGAGTTGCAAAATCTGTAATATACAATTTAAGCAAGAATATATGCTCATCAGTCATATGACTTCAAAGCATAATGAGCTCGAGTTACCATACACATGTGAAATTTGTTACTTCCGAACCTCAATTTTTGAAGACATACAAAATCATTTTTCAGTGGTAAATGTGGCACTTTTTTTTATAGTTATCCTCATATTAAATAACTTCTGATTTTAGGCGCACAAAAATATTTCATGTGCCCAGTGCCCGTTTTGTCTCAAAATAGTCAACTTAGTCAATGGTTTAGGCGAAGACTTGTTACACAATCAACTTTATTTTATCAAACATATTCAGGTAAGTACTGATTATGACATGTTTTATATGTTTTATAATCTGTGTTTATTTCAGAGGCATCAACTTCCGTTTAGGAGGAAATGTGATAGATGCGCATTATCTTTCACTAGTTCAGCAATACTGAAGGATCACATAGAAAAAAAACATACAGCATGCAAAACATTCCAAGGTAATTAAAATAAATATACAGTACATTTCATGTATATTTATTTTTTAAACGGTAGATACTTTTCAGGTATAACAAGGTATAAAGTAAGTTCAGGGAAAGGAATTTTAATGTCAGTACCATCAACACAAGTTCCAATCACTTTCCCCCCCGTGGACGATTACAAATCGTACAAGTACCAATTCCAGATTCCAGATGATTTTAGCGATAATCTGACATTTGATGAAAACTTGACATTTTTACTGTGCCAGGAATGCGACGGGCCCCTGTCCTCAAAGCATTTCACGTATGTGGAATTTATGATTTGAAATTGGGCCAATTTTCAATTTAAGTTTGTTACAGACGCGAGCCGATGGTATGTAAAATCTGTCAAAAGTACAAGACACACTGTTCGTATGCATTGTGCGAACACGAACTCATTTGGCACGTGAAAGACACTTCCAACGGTGTTGATTATTCATGGTTCGAAAAGGGCAGCTTCAGTAGCCCTTCGATGCAAAAACCTCTTCACTGCACCCAATGCCTTTATACTTCAACAGATGGAAATGAGATGGGTAACTTAAAATTATTTTAACCTTATTAATAAATCACATCTCATTTTGCTCAATAAAATATATTCAATATGTGGATTTGCTATAGATGGATAAAAATTGTTTACATTGACTTTTTTTGCAATGTTCCTTTATACATTTTCTAAACTTGGAATATTTTATTTTTACATAGCTACCCATATCATGACAAGCTGTCCAACAGCATTTTGTACCAAGGATAAAAGGAAGGCTCAGTTAAAAACAGGCAGTGACTTTATCCCTGAATCAGTAAATAAGCGTAAGTTAAGTTTATTAAAAGCTTGACAGTTTAAGAATGTAATTTCTTAAAATTTGTTTTCGAATAGTGTTTTTATCCGAGACAAAAATTCAGTCAATCAAGCTATCTTTGTAGTTAGTATTGTTCAGTTCAGCGCCTTAAATTTCACTTATGACACTTTTCTCGTGGATTATTTTGAAAAAGACAATGTTCTTTTCCAGGTAAAAGGAAAAAGAAAACTCCTCTTACATTAAGGAAGAGAAGAAAAACACAACCATCGCTATGCTCCGATGAGGTGAATTTTTATTTACTGGCAGTGATGATAGTCATAATTTAATTTTTTTTTAATTTTATCTTTTACCAGTCTTCAGATGATTCGACCATCGATAGCATAAAGTCTTCCAATTCTTCACAAGATACATAGTAAATGGTGAAAGGGTTCAATGCAGCAGACAGAAAGGAGAACAATCTAAAAGTCACACCCCAGGCAAATGTTGACATTTAGACAGCGTTTCAATTTTGTATATATGTATAGGTTGATGTCTATTCCTGTTTTATAAAATATGACAATTTTCATTGATTCCTCATCAACATGAATGAAACGCTACTTTATAAATATAAATATGTATATATATGATTGTTATGAATATACACTACTAGGGAGTAAGTTTGATAAATAAATTATTCATATTTTTCCTATTATTTTTTCCTTGGACCTTTATTCTTGTAAACAAAATAGTGAAAACAGAATTTTTTAAAAGTAAAAACAATAAACAAACTTTTAACTGATCTGATGACTACTATATAATTACAGTCGACTCTTGTTGATTCCAATTTCTTAATAATACGATATCCTCAGGCACCAGCTTATAGGGTATAAAAGACCCTCTGAAGGTGCTCTTAAACAATTTTTAAAAATTCACCATCCCTTCCAACATTTTTTTCAGCAAAATAATGATTTAAAAATGGGATATTCTCTATAAGTAGTGATGTTTTTGAGTTTCATGAGTAGGTGCAAGAGTGGTTGGTATAAAAATCTTCAAATGTACCATATAATTTGCACTAAAAGTATTACAATGCACAGCATGAATGACTATAATTAACTTTTTTAACCTAGGTATATTTTCCTTTCTGGTCTAGTACATATTCATTTTGAAAGGAAATAGAATATAAAAATCTCAGTCGCCAAATTTCTTATAATGTCATGAATAAATAATGCTCATGATCTGAATTAAACCCTTAGACAGGTAGGGTGACCAAAATTTTAGTTACTTGGCACATTCGCCAGTATAGGGTCTCTAAAGTATAAGACGGTGGAGGATGGGCAAAAAAAAAGATTGAATTAAAATTTACAGTAACATACAGTACAACGTTTTTGTAAACTATCACAACAGGAGTTTATCTTAGCAGGGTTGATTCTTATTTTCCACTTTCCAAAGTTATTTTCTATTTTCTTAATATTCTTGTCTGTTCACTACAACACTAACATGCCAGTAAGAAATAAATTGCTGCATCATCAGCAAATAACGGCAGGCCTGCTAACTTAGAAAAACCATTTGGGTATATCAAGAATAGTGTAGGGCCTAATATTGATCCCTGTCATACCAAATATTGTGGATGGATAGTTGAGTTTTAATTTTCAACATGGATTGAACATTGCCAATTTGTTAAGTGTAAGGCTAAAATGTACTAGATAACTGAGAAACTAGTATCAATCGTCTGTTTTAATTCCATTATGCCAGACCGTATCAAAACCTTTAGTTATGACTTATGATCAAAAGTACAACTACAGTGTACTTTTTCTTATTGAAATTGATATTTAATATAATTAGCCATTCTTCATAGCTGGGTCTGTATGGACAAAGCGGGCTGAAAACTGAATTTACTTTTTTCAAAGACTTTATTTACTGCACTCAGTAAACTTCTAAACAGTAATTCTGAGGTTCCTTTGGGTTTTTTACTGGCTTGTACAATATTATTAATCCATATTTGCATTTAGTAGTCATAATTGACCGTATTTATTATTTAATTAATTATACTTTTAATCTAAGGTCTTGGCTGAGATGGAAAAGCAAATGTCACGAGTGCGAAGATTGTGGGTTTGAATTTCACTCGTGGCACTTGATTTTTCATCTCAACCGAGACTAGATTAAAATGATTATTTTAGATGATTTCCACATTTCTGCAAAGCATATTATAGATAAAAGACAATTCAATGTATAAGTTAAATAATAATAATAACACTTTCGTAGTTAGATTTTTAAGATGTAGTTATTAGAAAGAAATATATATTTGTAAATATGAATTTATTTAATTAAAAATTGACAAATTTTATTGCTCTGATGATAAAAAGTTCATCAAAAATTATAAATAAAAGTATTCTTTTTTGTCCTTATTTTGAAAAATTGATTGTCAATGATCGAATCAAAAGAATCGACTTTCGATTCTCAAGCACATCATCAGTCTCTGAAGAATAACCTCCTTTTAGACTTTGGTGCACGTGTTTACCAGTTTCGGCCAATTTGTCCAGTCTGTGGTGGATTTCAGTCAAAAAGGGCAAATTAACGACTACTCAAAATGACAATTTACAATTTCAAGAAAATTGCCGTCGTGCCGACGGCAAAGGTGGGTTTTTATTATTTATTGTTTATATTAACAGTACTTTGTCTCTTTGCAAAGCTTTGACAGGAGAGAGTCATAGAAATCCCTAATCATGAGCTTTGTCTTTGTCTCTTTCCTAAAACCCATAGAAAATATCCATAATTTTTTAGTGTGGTCAAAGTTTTTAGTGTATGACATTGAAAGTGCACTCCCAGAAAAAAAAGTTCTATTTCTATTTACTTATCTACAAAACTTGTGCATTACTTTAAACTGACAGCTAATGCCAAATCATGCATAAATTTGAAGGTCGGATGTTAAATTAACAAAGGCTGCACCCTTTGCTTGATTCGTCATTTTATTCATTTGAAAAATATTGCTCAAGGGTTAATTGGTTTCGATGGTTTCAGGATTTTATAGACATTATGCTTTCAAAGACGCAGAGAAAAACGCCAACAGTCGTTCACAAACACTATAAAATATCGAGGATCAGATCGTTTTACATGAGAAAGATCAAATTCACCCAGCAGAATTTCCATGAAAGGCTGTCTCAGATAATACAAGAATTCCCTAAATTAGACGTGAGTTTTTGTGTCGTCAATGTCTTAGTTTGTGCAATATTCTATATTTATTTGTATTTATTCAGAACATACATCCGTTTTTCGCCGACCTGATGAATGTTCTGTACGACAAGGACCATTACAAGCTTGGGCTGGGCCAGTTAAATCAGGCGAGACATTTGATTGACAAGTGAGTGGTTGTTATTTATTTAACATTTCAAAATTTAATTTTTTTGTTCTGATTTCAGCGTTGCTAAAGATTATCTCAGGCTTCTTAAATTTGGTGATTCGCTGTACAGATGCAAACAGCTTAAACGTGCAGCATTAGGAAGGTAGGATTAAAACTTCCATCTTAAAACAATGCAAAAGTTATTTAAAATACTATCAATAAATTTGTAGAATGGCGACTATAATGAAAAGACAGAGTTCAAACTTGGATTATCTAGAGCAAGTGAGACAGCATCTTTCCCGTCTACCTGCTATCGATCCTTACACAAGGACAATTTTGATTTGTGGGTTTCCCAATGTCGGCAAATCCAGCTTCGTCAACAAGGTTTTTTTATTTAATATGAAATTTATTCCCTTGTTATGTTCTTCTTTTTTTTATAGATCACGAGGGCAGAAGTTGAAGTCCAGCCTTATGCATTTACCACCAAAAGTTTATATGTCGGTCATACCGACTACAAATACTTAAGATGGCAGGTGATTGACACACCTGGAATTCTTGACCATCCGCTTGACCAGAGGAATGTCATTGAAATGCAAGCTGTTACAGCTCTTGCCCATCTCAGAGCTGCAGTCCTTTACTTCCTCGATCCTTCTGGTCAGTGCGGATACGCACTTGACGAGCAAGTCTCTCTTTTTAATTCGATTAAACCTCTTTTCACCAACAAGGTACACAATTTAAAAAGTAAAAAATTTTACTCTTTCACTCATTTGCCTTACTTTCACAGCCGGTAATTGCAGTATGCAATAAAAATGATGTGCTGAGCCTTGACGAACTTTCAGAAGAAGGCAAAGAATGTTTAAAAGTGTTCACTGAATCAAACATTCCTATACTGAGCATGAGCACAGTCACTGAAGATGGGGTCATGAACGTTAAGCAAAGGGTAAAAATATAAAAATCATCTATCAATAATATAAAAAAATTAAATTGAACTTTGTTTTAGGTGTGTGATGAACTTCTTGCATTCAGAATTGAAAATAAAGTCCATGCCAAAAAAGTCGATGGTATTTTGAACCGTTTGCATGTCGCTTACCCGACACAGAGAGATGCCAAAGAGAGACCGCCATTCATACCAGGTATTTTATATTTTTCCATACTTTTTTCCTCCAGTGGTGTCATGTCTACCATATTAGCCAAGTTGTTCTGTAATGAAATGCAGTTTTTGGAGGATGGGAAGTCTGATGCCTCATCTGCCATCACATCAGTTCCCTTGTTTGTTAAACAAAGATTAAACACGACATTATAATAGTTTTTCCTTGTGCAGATTCTGTATGGTTGAAGAAACTTGAGAAGGCGAAAGCACTTCAAGAGAAAGAAAATATGGAAAAGGAAGGTGTCACCGAAATGGAAGTGGTTAAGAAGAAACTGGAAAGAGACTTGGAAGTCGATCTCGGCGATGACTATATCCTGGACCTTAAGAAAAATTACGACCTTCCAGAAGAATATAAGTATGATATCATTCCTGAAATCTGGGAAGGACACAACATTGCAGATTATATTGATCCAGATATCTTCAAAGTACTTAAACTCTTTCAAATTTGTCAGAATGATGTGTTGAACTTGTTAAAATTTCTTTTTTCTTTTTTTAGAAATTAGAAGAACTTGAACAAGAAGAGGCTTTAAGGGAAGAGGCCGGATTTTATGCATCTCCAAAGATTGAGCTTGACTCAACTCTCAAGGACATCAAAGAGCTTGCAGCTCAGATTAGAGAGAAGAAAATACTAATGAAAAATGAATCAAGAGTGAAAAAGTCGAGCACGAAGTCAAAGATGCCTAGGACAGCAACTCCATCCGTTAGGGCTAGGTCGGTGACCAGACTCGCAGACGAAATGAGCACCCTCGGTGTTGAGCTCGATAAGAATGACGAGAAAGCCAACTTCAAGAGGACAAGGGGTCGTTCGCGCTCCCTCACTCAACCTGCTTCCAAACGTATGAGAACAAGTTCAGAAGGTGGTTACAGAAGCGTTTCTAGAAGTGTTCCAAGAAATATTTCCGGAATTACCAGCTCAGAGGTAATTATTATTATTTTTGAAAGCATTTTTCACAAACTATTACTGATGGTATTTATATTGCAGACAAGGATGAAAGTGAAGAAAATAGCGCACAAAGCGATCGCAAAGAAGGTTGGCAAGAGGGGTCTCAAAGGAGAAGGAGACAGGTTCATTGGTACAAAAATGCCCAAGCATTTATTCTCCGGCAAACGTGGCATTGGCAAAACAAGTCGTCGTTAAGCTCTACTTTTTATGTACTTGTACATACTGGAAATATTTATAACCAAGAGGTGTTTGGAAGATTTTTTCTTTTACCTTTTTTAATTAAATATTGCAAAAATATTTAAAGGATTTAATTAATTTTCTTCTGGAATAATCTATTATATTATTGTTATCAAATATCTTAATAAGATTTATTTACAGAATGATGTACTTAATCAAATTGAACCCAAGAATTATCAAGTTTCGTCTTGAACTCACTTCTTCCCCAAAAGGCTCAAACTCCTTTCTAAAAAAAAGAACTTTTTTTTTTAAGGATTGAACATCACTCCATCATTTCTATAGCTGAAACTTTCCCTACAATAACTTATTGTTGATAGAATTAAAGTATTAATCCAATAATTAATTTTAAGTTATTCACCTGAATATTTCAGACTGTAGACAATTCATTTATTCATATATAAAGTAAATAATGTAAGTAAAAACTATGGTAGTCAAGTGGTCAATCTTGCAGTTTCACTTCCCACCATTACGACTGAAATTTTCTTTTCTGTTCTCTTTCACCCAAAAAATATAAAAAGCATTTTTCAATGTTTATGGTGATTTATTTAAGGTCAAAAAACAGAAGCAACTTTTTTCAATAATCTTTGAAAATAATCACGTTCCCAGGCAAATAATTTTCAAAATGAGTCAATTTTGTTTAAATATTTGTTGCATCCTAACTAAATTCCTGGCATTTTCCCTAATAATTTGAAAAATATGAAATTGTTTTGATCCATCCTTGTTGGCAAGTTATGAAAGTTCTCTACTTAATCAAATTTATTGATTATTTTAGCTTCCGTCATAAATCACTTTAGGAAAATAGATGTTCTACTCAATAGTTGAATTTATTCTGCGATTACGTTGTACGTCCCAAAGAATTTCGTCCTGCGAGCAAGTGTAGCACTAGTATAGGCATGGCATTGGGAGACTTTTCCTTGCAGAATCTGCATGTACCGTGTTGCATTATACCAATCTTCTTCGAATGCCTATTTAGACTGCGGTTCTGTTGGCATGTTCGTTATGGCTCTCTCTCTCTTGTAAACTCTCCCGAGATATGGCAAAAAAAATTTTCTTCAAAAAATGGAAAAAAAGGCCAAATCGAAAAACTGTCTTCACAGTAACATGCCAGTGCGATACTAAAGGCCTGTAACACTGACTTGATTCCAAAAATACCTACACCAAGTTTTGTAAGTTCTTTTTGAGGCCATAATGAAGAAGATTCCTGTTGGGATTCGAAGTGTCTTCCTACTTCCTTTGATGCATTCTGTTGTTTCTTTCCGAAACTCACCAGGAGGTTCTTGGATTGTTTGTCCAATGAGCACATTCCACTGTTCCTCATTTTCATTTTGTTTGTTCAGGTTAACTAAGTACATCCATTAACTACATGAACGTTGATCTGAATGATACTGGTGTACCCAAAGGGTTCTGAATATTTGCTCCAGTCCAACGCTGGTAGGCCCCTGTACCACCTTGCATTCTAAATCCATCAGAGTACCAGCAGATGGTGCGTACTCAACATACAGGGCCTTTCCCATTTTTACTTTTTATTTAGTACTTAGGTCTGTCCAGAAAGGAAAAGAGATAAACAAATCATAAAAAGAGGAACATTAAAAGTTAAGATTTTTTTCTCCTTAAAATGTAAAATAATCACAAACACAGATTAAAAAAACTTGAAATTAAAAGTCAGATATATTTCTAAAGTAATTTTAATCATGTTATCACACTTTGAAATAGTTCTTTTTATAAAATAGAATACATCCCAAACATAAAAATTCACAATAACGTTTTCTTTCTCTTATACTTAATTAGTACAAGGGCATTATAAAATTTGCCCCGACTGACATCAGGTAACACGTGTTCAAGATTTCGAGCATATTAAGAACACACTATCGTAGACACGTTTCAGCATAGATTTGGGATTTTGTGAATAGAGCGTTCTCATGCCCGTTTTTTCCACCTGATAAAATATTCAAAACATTAATACATATTTGTTTTATTTAAAAATCACATCATTACCTCGATGACAAATCCTAGACTTTTTATAATTTCTGTAACAACTTCAAAACTTGGTTCGATCGAATCTTCATTCAAAGAGGTCGAATAGTGGTACTGGAGTGGGCCCAAGTTGATCCATACACCTCCTACAAAAATTTAAAAATATTTTATAACTATAAAATTTAAATGAATTAAGTACAAATTACCAGGCTTGAGTACGTTGTAAATCTTCTCGATAAAAGTATAAATGTTGTTGGCGCAATCGATAAAAAAACAAGTTGCTACGCAGTCCCACTGTTCGTCTGAGTTGTAGACCTCCAAGAAATCACCGGCTACCATTGAAAACCTTGAAGTGCCGTACATTTTATAAAGCTCAGATGGATCGACATCTGGAAACCTAATGGGCGCCACTTGGTCTTCTGCACTCATGTTGTTGTCGCATTGATGCACCCAGGGGTAAAGTTCATAGATTTCAACACCTCCGCTTCTACAAACATTAATTTAATTTAAACATGATCAAAATATAGCATTCAATAACGTTACCTGTTTAAAATGAAATTCGATGCAAAGAGCATGAACAAGGAAAATTCATTTCCTTGGCAGGTGAAGCCTCTCCTGGCTATTTCAAAAGCGAGCCGTCCTAGGCCTGCCCCGGGAACTAATACATGGATGTCCTCCCTTCGACTTTTTTTACAGATTAAGACAATGTCGGCTGAACGAACGGCTATATACTTACCACGTATCAGCTGGAAACCTTTCTTCAATAGCTGCAACTATTGGTTCATAACAAAGGAGCCTTTCCTCGCTCCCGTCTTTACTCCAGTCCCTGTAGAATTGCTTCAGTGTTATCTGCACCTTGTCGACATCGGCAACAGTGAGCTTTGGTCTGGAAGGCTGGAATACACGTTTCAATTCATCTGTTAAGGGGAAAACTAATGAATCTTCTCTTTGAGAGAGAAGGTGGGTGAATGGCCTACCGGGTTCTGTTCCCAGTCATGTTGTACGTTCTCGAACAGTTTTTCAATGTCCTGAATTATTAGCCTGATGATCCTCGAATTCTGGTCAATGCACTTTACCAACTGTTCCAGCTTGTTTCTATATTTTTTCAGCGCTACTTGTTGAACTTGCGGCAAAGTGTTCAAATAAGCCAGCCTTTTGTTAACAATGCTTCTTGAAAAGTTTCTATAAAATTTTCAAATATTTACTCACAAATGTAAATTAACCCTCTGTATTTTTACTCCATTTAATTTTGGAAGCACATAAGAAACAAAAATTTACTATTAATTATTTTGTTCTGTTTAAAAATTGTAAATAATTTAAATGCACTCCTTTCTTTTGCTTTAGTCTCTAATATTTGTTAACTGTAAATATCTGTTTCTCCATTATACTTATTAATTGTAAATAAAGTGAAACTAAAATGTAATTTTGTTATAACAAAGGTATGTACAGCATGTAGTATTTTCGGGCCAAATGAAACTTTTTTCTTTTTAATTGAAAATGGTGCTCACCAGGCTAATATAAATGTCAGCACTGGTAAAACCATGTAAAGCAAACAATAGCGAATTAATGGCCAAATTAGAGGAGAAAAGTGAGCACCTGAAATTCTCACAACTTTGGAGTGTATGGTTGAAGAAAATGGTGGACTGACACTTAAGGAAATGAAACATCTCTCAACGATTGCAGTTAACGTAGGACTTACTGCAATTCACAATGCACTGGTTTCTTTGAAAATAACTTAAAAAAAAAAAAAGCGCCATTGGAAATCAAGCAAAGAGTTGCTTTAACCTATGATGAATGGGCATCTGCAAATCATTCTCTCCCTCATTTATCGATGAATGTTCACTTACGAAGAAGCATAGCATATTAAAGAGCAAACACCCGCGCATCATCACAATCCCAACAGCATGCAGCCAGAATGTGACACTTATGTTGGCCTCTAACAATCAAGGTGTTTATCGCCATACAGTAAAACTACTGGAAATTGCAATGGAGAGAAATTCTGTGATTTCGTACAAGAACTTTGCAATGAACTCAATGAACTATCCCTTAACAATTCGCCACTAGTCATGGATAACGCCACTATCCACAAAATAGAACAAGTTCAGCAAATAGTGCTTTCTTTTTCCCATCTAATTTCTTCCTCATTCACCTTAACTAAACCCTGCAGAACTTGCATTCTCGTACATTAAAAACCTTGCCAAAGGACTTGTGGCTACTTCCGGACCAATTACAAAATCTGCCTTAAGTTATTCATCACAGCATGAACTCCCTCACCCAAGCACATCTTCATTGACTTTATGTTAAAGCTACCAGCAGTTGCTGTGAGAATACCCCTACACTAAAACCATTTATGTAATATGTTTCGTGATGTGCGAGTTGTACTGTATAATACAAGCATATTGACTTTTTTATTTTTTTTTTTATTTCAACAACCCTCACAAAACCTCAGGTTTCATTTAAAAAGAAAAAAAGTTTCATTCGACCCGAAAATGCTAATATATTAAAAAAATAAGTAAATAAGAAATTTGAAAATATTAAAAACAAGTGGTTAGAGAAGTGGCGTATTGAGCCGAAGGTCATGGGTTCGAATCCTGCTTGTTCGCACTATTTTTTTTCATCTCAACCAAGTCATTACATAAAAAGAATAATTGAAATTATTTAAACATTAGAATTTTGTTATGAAAATTATCCACGCAGGTGTCTGTGGTGCAAGTTAAAAATTGTTTGAACAACACAATGAAAACAAATATGTGCAAACAGTACCAACACCTACATAAATATAAGTATTTTTCTACCGTGTCAACTCTTTTTATGAGTTTAAAACAGATTTTTATTTAAGAATCAACTCATTGGTTAATTAATAGTTATTGACTGTTTTATTTATTTAGAGTAGATTAACTAATTTAATTGTATTCATATAAATATGATTGTGATCAAAGGAGGCGGAGACAGCAAGGCCTTGTCCTTTGATCTGAAAGGTTCTTTTAGTGACAACGAAGCCGGGCCTTGTCACTAAACGTTAATATAAGACCACGACAATCGCAGTTTACACGCAACAGGCTTCCTATTAGTTATATATATATACAAAAATCTAAAATGAACCTACTTGTATGCTTTAAAAGACTGGATGATTTTGAAGAAGTGCTCCCTCTCTTGAAGGCTCTTTTCGTCGAGTTCCTTATCCATTTCCCTGTCTGCCGAGGCTAGCCGAAAGGAGGAAATGTCATGAAAAACGCAAGGCTGAAGACAGGCTGCACAGAACGAAAGGCGACTGTCGAGTGCGGGCGCCGTCTTCGCCGGGCGTGAAGCGTTCCGAGGGAGGAGCGTTCAAAAGCGCGCAACAGAGAAGTCCCAGTGACGAACCAAGCCCAAGAGGTTCAGCTTCAGACTTCAGAGACAGATATTTTGTCTCTTTCCCCCCGAACGCCAGTATCGGTGCCAAAACAAAACACCAACCTAACAGGGATTGGATAATCGCGGGTGAAGCGCTAGCGTGCAATAGAGGCAAAATTTAAAAAATTTCCACCTTTGGTAATTTTTTTAATGAATGAATAAATGAAAAAATAACTTTATTTATAGAAAGAAAATACATTTATATACTTAAGGAAGTATAACAGAAATTAAAATAAAAACAGTTCTTATACAGCATTGATTATTAAACCGTCTGCTGGAGGTGGTCCTCTGATCATCACTTGCTTAGAAAATAATATGCAACAAAGATAATAACAAATATTAAATAAACAAAATTAAATTATATTTAAACTGTTAGTGCTTCTCAATATAAAATTAAAAATTTAACTTCTCCACGAGCTCTATGCCAACACAACCAGGTCTAAGTCATCTTGGGAATTAAGTTTTGCTATAAATGGGGTCTCAAATCTCTAGTAGTTCCAAAAAGAGAACTCAAAACTCTAGTAATTTCCAAAAAGAGTCAAAACTCTAGTAGTTCCCAGAAAGAGAACTCAAAACTCCCAGGGAATGGGATACATCCAAAAAAATGAAGATGTCTTTCCTCGCGCAGAAGTTACACAGTGGTAATTTTTTGTAAAAAAAAAAGAAGCATTATACGTGTTTTAAAAGTAAACAAACTTCACAGAAGTTAAAAGATCTTCGGGTGGAATCGTTTTTATTCTAAAAACAAATATTAAAAATTGTCATTTTTAGTTTTAAAAAAAATTAAATTTACTTTTTTGGGTAAAAGGTGTAAAAATATAGCATATCACATAAACAAACAAACCTTAATAAACCAAAATATATTTAGTTTATATCGATAAATAAAACGATTTTTAGTATATCCACCGCCGAAACGAGTATAGGAAATTTTCATACATTCACAGATGTGCAACAAGGCTGCGTGTTAAGTCCGCTACTCTTTGCGTAGTTTCATAATGATATATATAACTGCTTGTAATAAACGGAGGTTTACAGATGAGATTTTAATACTGATAATAGATAAACGTAAGGAAAAGAAACATTATACATTAAATGTGTCGGTTTTGTGAGCAAACAAATTTGCCTTTTTTGTGGGGTAAAGTAATAATAATATACTATTTCCTTTGCTACTAATAATATAATAAAGTATAGTAATATACTATCTCCATAAGCATTTAAGTAAATTGTACACTAAAAGGAGTTATAACTAAGTAAATATAATTTGTGATGTAGGAATGGCAATTATTGTCTAAGACAATAATTTATTTCCAAAGAAAATCATTGTTGATATTTTACTATGTAATAACTAATAATATAATATATTATTATAATTTTAAAGATAGCAACTCCTCTGACTATGAAGTGTTGTAATCTGTAATTATCGAAATAAATTGTAAAATGTTTAGTTATGAATAAAGACTTATATTATTTATTATTGTTATTATTATTACAACGATGTTTTTTTTTTTAATAGAACAATTCCTACGATTTAGCGCAGCCAGCGGAATCGCCAATCGGCGAAATTCGTCTTGCCGCTTTTCTGTTGACCGTAACCTACGCGTGAGAGAGGAAATTTTGTATTTTGTGGTCTCATCGCTGATCACACCTCCTGTCTGTCCGTCGAGTATCGCTTCGCGTGCCAAGTTTTATGTTTTAGGACTTGGTCTCTCCTCTTCGAAGATGGTAAGTCGGCTGGGGGATTTTGGTCCGTCCCGTATCGCGTCGTGTCTCACCTTTTCCCGTTTGACAGTAGCGGCGTTTTCGCCTCCACCGGGCTTTACGCGAGAAAGCACTGGCGGTTCGCTTTTTGAACTTAATTGTCAAGTTAAAATTTCAAGGAAGTACGAGAGTTTTCGAAAAGCTTTCAACCATTTGTTGACATCCTTTTACACGATAAATAGAGCATAAACTAGAATTTAAAGAAAACCCTACATTATTGGAAAGAGCAGTAATTTGTTACAGTCAATTTTCTAATGACTTGCAAGACTTGTCTAAAATCATTCGGTTTAAATGTTTCGATTTTCACCACACTGAACTACCCTCAACAAAAATTGTCACAATTAAATGAATTGTGATAAAAAAAATTTGCTAACTAATGTTAAAATAGCTTAAATAAACTATCCATAGATGCTAAAAACGATGAAACTGTACCTTGATCTTTTGTCCTTAAGTTTTTAACTGGCAGCCTGTTTCCTTTATCAGCTAAAAAATTTCAACATTGCATCCACATCATAATCGAGTTATTAGATTTATGTTTTATGTAATCATTGGCCTGTAAGAGGTTCGTTTGATCAGGTCCGGTGGTATCATGTGTTCGCTTTTTCCTGACAGTAGAAATGTTCGAGTATTACAGTTCTTTTGATCTATAAGTCAAGCTAAAATTTCAACAGTGTGCATCTACCTACACATAAAAAATAAATAAGTGGCACTTTACTGGGTGAGAGGGTATTCAGGTGTATGGCATGAGATGATAGATAAATTGGCTAAATCTACTTCATTGGGTAACTTCACCGTTGTCATGCAACTTTAATTTTTTTTTTAAACCAGGGTTGCTAACCGAAAATTCACAGATGTGTTGCGAGCTCCTAGAAATGGTGCCAGGATAAGCTGTGCAGTTTTCAGGGGAACTCCTCCATTTCCTGTTATCCATAAAAAAAAAAGTCGTAAAAAGTAGATTTTTACACTAGCTTAACTCTTGGTCATTGATCCATTTTCTATACAGAGCCAGGAGTTAATAGGAAACACTCTTGTGGCCACTCGGATGTTGGCTCGGAAACTGTTCTTTAGGAGCTTGCTATTCCTTCGGCTCCCTTCTGGTATTTACCTTTTTTAATGCTTCAGACCATACCTCGCACCTGTAGAGCATGATTGGGTGATAGATTTGCTGAAGGGCTCACAATCTTTGTGATCTCAATGTACTAAGAGCCAATGGAAATTCCTGAGGTCTTAACATCCCAGCACGAAAACCTAATAATTGCTCTTTAGACTATCACCAAAAGTAAAGTAATTTCTATTGTACAGGAGGACTTAATTTTATGTTTCTCGATTAAAAATCCATGCGCTATGACCTGATTCCAGCCTAAAACTTTCTAGTCATGCCTTGGTTTGATATAAAATGTTTTTATGTGTTAAGTAAATTGTCATCTTTTTTTTTCTCAATGAAGAGTTTGTAGGTTCCTCGTTCTGATTATTCAGTATTTATATGGGTGAAAGGGATCTAATTTTTTTTACAAGTCCCATTCACCAAGATATATTAGAAATATATTATCTAGCTCAGTTGTCTTCAATCAACCTGATATTATTATTGCTGGCTTTATCCCATATGAATGTTTCCTGCAGTGTGATATTTTTTTTATTTCATTATTATTTTTTTGCATTAATAGCACAGAGAAGATTAAGAACAAAATTCCAAAACATATGATGATCAGAGATGATCAAGCTACATAAGACTTAGATTAAGATTTGATTAGGAGCTGGCCTCTTTACAGGCTGCGCACCATGAACAGAATTGCTTTATTGTGAATTACATAGCTGCCTAGAGACCTTAAGACTTTTTACCAGATTTCAAAGCTTTCTAAACAACTCCCATGTGTATTCTTCAGGCCCGGGCTTTTCCTCTGCCAGTAGTAGAAATCTCAGCTTATAACTTCACACCAACAGAGGACATGTTCTGCTGTTTCTTTCTGGCAGTATCTGCAAAGGCTTGTTTCTCCCATTCTGAGCCTTTATGTATGCATGCCTCCAGTCTGTGTGCCCTGTTAACAGTCCAACTATTATACTAGCTCAAGTACACCTTAGATTTAGTAGTTCAGTTGTTAGTTTTTGTGATGTCCTTTGTTGAACTTTTTCGCATGCCACTAACCTGGGGTATATTTTCATTGATTGGAGGACATATTTTTAATACATTGTCCATCGATAAACTTTTTTGGCAATTGGTAAGTTGGTTCAGGGTCAATAGGTGTCCTCATCTAACTTTCCTTGGCCAATTTATTCCTTTTCGTTGTCCCTATACTACAATCCCAGACAAGAATGTCCCCAATATCTGAAAAGACCCTAATGCTATCCCAAATTAGTGGATTTTACTACCGTTGCAGCAGTTGCTCTCAGGGTGCCACCTAGCTGTTTAAGTAGATGGCTATTTTCCAATTGCTAGGGGCATCTTACTCTCATAATTGGTTGGTTTCTCAAATCCCATCATAGTCCTTGATATTTTATTGCAAAATGGTCAGACCCCTTATTCATAACACCCAAAACTATTTAATTTACTTGTCAAGGAACATGGGGGATAAGTTATTATAAATTCTGAAATTTCTTTCTTTTCATACTTTGTGAAAAGATTTTAGGTTGTCCAGTGAGATACTTCTATTGATTAGTATTTGTATGCTGTAGTCTGTCTGAAAAATGCCTGGTAATAAATATTCTTAGACTTTGGATGTGCAATTCAGAACCATCTTTGATATGATATTCAAATTCTGAGCTCTAGCTACATTTTTTGTATTGTGTTGAGTGCATATCTAAATTTTTATTTATCAAATATTTATTTAGAATAAATAAAAAATACCTTCTTATTTTAGTTTAGAAACCAGTATGACAGTGATGTTACTGTTTGGAGCCCTCAGGGGCGACTTCACCAGGTTGAGTATGCAATGGAGGCAGTTAAACAAGGTGCGGCGACTGTTGCTGTTAAAAATAAATCACACGCCATTCTTGTCGCCTTGAAAAGAGCAACTTCTGAACTCTCAGCTCACCAGAAGAAAATAATACCTCTGGATGTCCATATAGGCATGAGTATCTCTGGGCTTACTGCTGATGCAAGAATATTAGGGTAAAATATTCTTATAATAATATATAAAATAATAATATATAAAATATTAATATTAATTTTTTTTTTTTTTTTTTTTTTTTTAAACATTTGTATTTGTGACAGGAGACACATGAGGACAGAATGTATGAGTTATACATATTCCAATGGAACACAGATCCCCGTCATTCGCCTTATGAATAAAGTTACGAACATGATGCAGCTGTGCACCCAGCGTTACGATAGGAGGCCTTTTGGGGTCGGCCTTCTTGTCGCCGGATATGATGTATGACAAACAATCAAAGGAGAATTAATAAACTGAAACCTGATAATTTTAATTTTTATTATTTCAGCACGACGGCCCTCACATATTTCAGATATGTCCTTCAGCCATTATGTATGAATGCAGGGCGATGGCGATTGGTTCAAGATCTCAGAGTGCAAGAACGTACTTAGAAAAACATTTAAATGAAATCAGTACTTGCCCGAATGAAACTGAACTCATCAAACACGGCCTTCGAGCATTGAGGGACTCGAGCCCCAACGATGTAGACTTAAATAACAAGGTATTCATCAATACGTTCAAACACTTCTTAGAGAAATTAAAGTAAAATTGTCTTGCAGAATGTAGCAATTGCTATCGTTGGGAAAGATAAACCATTGCAAGAGTTCACAGAAGAGGAGACGCAGGTTTATCTAGATATGATATTGAGTGAGGAGAGACGAGGAGGAGGCCCTGCTGTGGGTACCGCTGCCCCACCAGGTGACGCTTCAGGACCAGCCTCCAGCATAGGCGTAGATCAGCAGCCTCCAACAGGCTCTGGGGGAGAAGATGCTTCTCAGATGGACACCCAATAATAACTATTACGTTTGGCTCACAAGCTTTATAATATTTTCTACAAGTTGTCCTATTTTTAATAAATGTTGTGAGATAGTGTGGACTTCATTTTTCTTTGCTGTTTATTTTTTTCCGGTTAAAACAATAAGGTATTTTCAAGGTAATTAATATTAAATTACATTTTTAAGGATGATAAAAAATGAGGTTACTTTTTGTTTATTGCTTTTTTAAGATCTTAAGCACTTTTTAAATTTGAAAAAAGTTTGTTTCTTAATATATTTATTTAATTTCAGTGCAAACAATCTAATAAACACAATGATATCAATAAATTTGAAATGACTGTTACTCCAGAAAAATAATTGTTAAATACAAATATACATTTATACAATGTTTCGATTTGTTTTCCAGTTATGGTGTAATTACATAAACTTTTTTTTAAGTTTCGTTGTCTTGAATATGGCAGGATGGCTATATGGACAATAGTACCCATTCATACTGACATGCGATTAAAAAATGAAAGAAAGTGGTTTTAAAATTTTATATTTTTATGCACATGATGCCGCCTTCATTTTTTCATTCTCATCCTCCTGACAAGCCAAAGAAGCAAGGAACTCCACTATCGTTCGTGTCGGCCTGCCAGTCATACCTTTCCTGAGGTATGACCAGGTTTTCCCATCGGTCCTATTGACGCCGAAAGTGTCCAAATGAATCCAGTCAACCGAGGGGACAAACTCGTGAAGAAAAGCTGCACAAGAGCCTGTAGCTCCACATGCTCTGTACAAGTCGCCTGTATCTGCTATTTCATGGTCAGAAATCTAAACAATACATTCATTATTATTTTATATATTTAATTCTTTTTTTAAATATATGTAGAATTTAATTAACCATTAGATGGTAATATTCCCAAAGCGGCAGTCGCCAGATTCTATCACCAGTGTGAACTCCGGCTATCCTCATTTGCTCATAGAGTAGATCATTGTTGGTGAATACGACTGTTGCCCCTTGGCCCATAATTTCACCCGTCTCTCGGCAAAGCATACCGACATCCACGATAAACCTGATAAATAGTTTTATAAAAATTGCTTAAAATAATATTTATTATTATTTACTTGGGATTGTAGGTAGATGAATAAGTGATGGCATCAGTTAAAGATATCCTTCCATCAAAATCAGTATCGTTCACTATTATTGTCTTTCCGTTCCTCGATCTGATAACATCTCCCGGTTTGTAAGCGCATGAGCCAGGCATGTTTTCAAACAGGGGGATTAACGCTCTAACATTTATCGGGAGCTGAAGTGCTGAAGCAGCTCTGCACACTGCCACAACCGTGCCTGCTCCTGACATATTGCTCCGGCTATACTTCATTTCCTGTCTGTTCTGAAATTTTATAAATTTATTATTAGAATCTTATTTAAGTTAATAAGAATGTGTGGTGATTAGTGACCGTTAATCGATAATTATTCAGAAATCGTGAGATGCGGTCTGGTGTATGATTTCTGAATAATTAGTTAATAAGAATGTAGTATTAGTAGCGTACTTTCAAGCATAATCCACCACTGTCGAAGGTTACACCTTTCCCAATAAGAATAATTGGGGCAGTATCGTGGTCGCAACCGTAGTAACTAGCTTCGAGAAATACCGGGGGTTCACATGAGCCTTTAGCCGCTGACAAAAATCCTTCCATATGCATTGCTTTCGACCAATTGTGCACTTTCACTTCAACATTGACATTAGCTTTTGCTAAGACATCAACTGCCATCTAAAATCAATTCTCGTTTAAAACATAATTTTTTTAAAAGCTGTCTCCCTTACTTGAGCAAAACCTATAGGCGTAAGAAGGTTGGAAGCTGTTTCAGATAATTGTCTAGATAAATTTTGTGCGGCGGCTTTCTGAAGGCCTATCTGCCAACTTGTGTAATCACAGTCATCAAAAAGCTCCAGTCTTGGTATGAATCTAAAAGAAAATATTGTTGAACGCAGTTATTTTAACAGTTAGAATGAATTTTTCACATTTGTTGTTCGGGACTTTTATGCTCTTGATAAACCCACATCCCCATAGCAGCACCTTCTGCGCTAGATTCTGCGTGGCCGAAGCTCTCGATATGTACAGTTCTTGCATGCAGCTCTTGTAGTTTTCTAACACCTGAACCTGCAGCGATTCTTATTGACTCTTTCCACTCATCCATCTGTTCACGCTCGTTGTACCCTACACATTCTTCGCCTAAGCCTACCACAACGACAACATTAAATTGTGGGTCTAAGTCATAAAAAACCCTTGTTTCTCCGAGGCGAGGTATGGGTCCAGCCTTTCTCACAAGCTCGTCTAATTTGCCACCGTGGAGTTTATCATATGCTTCGGATGTTTTTGTTTTAAACCCCACTCCCTCTTTCTGAGGAAAATGGTGAATGCCCAATAGCAAACCAGACATTTCATCTAAAAATAATTTATTTTGTGTCAAAATCCACTTAACAATGCGCTAAAGATCCACCAAAGTAAGAAACAGTGATTTTATATAGAAATTTATTAAAATAATCTTGAAATATAGCTATCAATTTAAAATATTTATACCTTGGTCCATACAGTTTGGACGGAATCTGGCCGATTGCACAGAACTTACACTGAATTCACGGACAAAATATTTTTTAATGATCTTTTGATATATATTCATTTTGAAATTATAAATATAAACTAAAAATATAAAATTGAAAAATGGCCACAATTTCATACAATAAATAATTAAAAGTTAAAAACCAATTTTTAGTACAAACAAATTTTAAGACAAAAAATTTTGACCGTAAACAAAGAAAAATAACTAAAACAATTTAATTTGAAAATAGCCAAAAACAGATCCACATGGTAAATAAACACATTGTGTCATTTAGACAACTGTATATTATAATATACACCAGAAAATTAATTTATAAAGTTTTGCTTTCCTTTTCTACATATATAAAAATAAAAAATAAATCAATTGTATGTGCTTTTATTGTAATTGGATTGAGCAATAACTAAGCCTGGTTGTTACCAACAATTTAAATTTATCAAAATAATAGCTTTACTATGAAGAGTACACATTTTAGATAACAAACTCATTTTTTATGATCGTGTCCTCCATTAAATCTATTTAATTTTTGAGAACTGTGGTGCTGACCAACTCATATTTGCAATACTAGCAGTTATGAGCTCGAATCCCTGCATAGCCCAGGGCTTTTTAGCTGGTAATAATATGAAAAAACTATTTAAAGTAGTTTTATCGCTCTTCCCTGACATTCAACGGGTAAGTAGACGTAGGACTCCTGTATAAATGAAAATTATATTTCAAATAATTAATTTTAATTAATAATACTTCTATCCTTTCTCTCTCACAAATAAAATAACTTCACTGAAGATGGCAAAATGATCGAGGAGAGGGAGACAAAAATGATTAGTAAGAATCAAATTATAGGTTCATCATCCCGTAGATCACAGAAGGAAATTTCAGGATAAATGAAATAATAAAGTAGAACTATAAATAAGTACAAAGCTCAGTATTAAAAATATGCCTCACCTTCAAAATTTTTATGATTAACTACTATTTGCATATTTATTGCTGTTCATGTCTAAGCTTTTCAAAATTTATCAACTGCCATAATTGTAATTATATTTATACTATTTACATTTATCTACTAAGATACACAACAAGAAAATATTAAATCACAAAATTGTGGAATTTGAAGGTAAATGAATGTATAGATCATTATAATTTTGCTGGTTGAGTGTGTTATTTAATCTACTACATTTTGATTACTTGCTATAAAACACTTTTGTCAAACAACTGTGATAATAGTCGTTCCAGGATGGTCAGAGACAATCAAACTACAATAAAATAATTGGCTTTCTTATTTATTACGAATTTATTTTTAACACAATTGAAACATGCCTTTCCCTACATTCTCGCTCACTTCTTTTTCTATTTAATTCTTTAAAAGCTAGCTTTAAAACATTCTCTCCCCGAACAAGCGTGACAATTGAGGCCCCTATTGTTCCAGCCAGCATAACAAGATCTGTATTTCCAACGTACCGCTAAATTTGTATAAATACAAGCCTCTTCTCATTAAGAATCAGCCCATTTGCCAGTTTGATATCTCATATGAATGTTTGATTAGTGGTAAAGTATGACCGATATAATTAAATTCATTCTCCTCTGCCGTGAGTATTAACAGAATTATTATTATTTATAAATTATCCCTTTGAAAGTTTGACAGGGACATTGATGCAGCATGAAAATCCATTTTTTTAAATTATTATTATTAACTTCATTAAATATTTCATACATAGGTGTGCACTGCAACATAATACAAAAAAATGTACATTTTTATTTTATTCCAAAATTTCCATAAAAATAATATTGATATATATATATATAGGTAGTTTAGGTACAAAAAGAAAATAACAGAAATTTACAAATATAACAATGTACAGATGCTAAAAGCCATATTTAGCCTGAGTTTGTTTTCTAGTCATTCTGTTGTTAGCCCATTGATTCTGGAGTTCAAGCTCGTTAGCTTTGGCGTGTTGCGCCAAGTAAGTGATTTGGTGTTTTCGTTTCGACATGTGTGTCCCTTCGAATTTCCTCTTGCCAGGGTTCGGCGTCTCTTTGGAAAGCTCCTTTACAAGCCATTGTTGGGCATCTCCGACAAGAGCAGAGCCGTCGACGTCGATAAATTGCTCCGAGATGGCCTTGCGCCTGTCTTTCGTCCCACACAGCTTTGCCAATATTTCATCGTTTAATTTGACCTCTTCAGCCGGCTGACCCGGCTCACCTTCCGGAAGCGGCACTTCATCCAGGGGAACTTCCTCGACTACAGGCTTTTCCATCGATTTAGCGACTTTGTGTTCAATTTCTGAGAGTTCTTTTGCGATCTGCTTCGCTGTTGTCGGATCGACTTTGATATCTGTTTCAGGGGCGAAGAAAAACGAACCAGCCTCGCCTTCGTTGTCACTTTCACTATCCGATTCTTTCGTCTTGACAATTGGCTTTGGTGGTTTCGGCTTCGGGACTGGTTTAGGCCTCATCAATGATGTCGGTTTCAACTTCATCTTCACTGCATTCGAGACCATCTCACTCTTGGGCTTTGGCAATACGGCGAAGAGGCCAGAACCTTTCTTCGAAGGTGGCATGTTTTGATGCTTCTTGACTTCAGTCTCTTCAGCAACAACTGAAGGTATAGGGATTCGGATAGGTTGAATCCTGTGCTTATCCAACAAAGACCACGCTATGTCCAGTCCCACGTTTTTCAAGCCTACACTCTTCGGCAAATTGGTCACATCCTTGGCATCATCTTTGATAACGCTTTTTGACGTGCTAGGAATCTCTTTTTTGTCCTCATCATTCGCCTGTTTTGCAGGCTGTTCTTGTTTCTCTTCTTCCTCTTCGTAATCACTTGGCTCTCCATCGCTGAATTCGTACGCTACCAACGACATATTGATTTAGAAATTCGAAGTAATTCTTCCACAACACATTTCTTCTTGGTATAATCGTGTCTCTTATTTTAAATACAAAAGTTATTATACAATTACAATAAATAGCAAAGGCCCAAATTATTAACACAAGAAACTTTATTCATAACCTGCTCATCAAACAACTAAAAAGTGAACTACGGTTACAACAGCATAGGTTCTATTTAGGAGAGGGAGATGACGTCACAAAAGGAAATCCCTATTGAACATGAAAAAATTATTACTTTAACATAAAGGGCTGTTGTTTAAAAATACTCATAAAAAATAATAATAATAATAATAAATAAAATAACCATTAATTTGATATTTTGTTCGATCGATCTATTTTCTAAAATTCATTGTTATTTAACAAAAATTAAAATCTGGATGAATAGAACAATTTTGTTTACGAGCTTTTTTATTATTATTATCAGATGTTTAATTATTGTTAAATGATAGAGTATTACTAATTAAAATAAAGAATATGATCTCTTATGTGGTTATGTATTTGAAGGACCAACATCTCGCATACACATTTAAAACTTGCATTAATAATGACAAACGATGAGTAATTTAAATAATGAATAATACAAATGGCGTGATAGTAAAAATAAGTATTTAAATAAAAACAAATATTATTTGTAGATCGTAAGATGCGGTCTGGTGTGAGGTAGATTGAGAAAAACATTTACTTTATTGTTCCAGACCGCATCTTACGATCTCCAAATAATCATAACTAACGGTCACTAAACATCACACATAAACAAATATGTTATGCACTTTTTATTGTTCTTTAATCCTGTCTATTCTTGAACTTAATTCTCCATTTTGATCACCAAGTTATCTCAAATATCGGGTTGTCCGGAAAATAATGCAGGATTTTAAGTTTTCATTAAAAAAAATCTATATAAAATATTCTGTTTACGTTTACAGGATTACTCATTTGTATGAATGTCAACACTTCAATCCTCTTCCAAATGATATTGTTTGTTTACCTCTGTAGCATTCCGCTACTTGGAAATAATTCAGTCATCCTTATAATGTCAAAGCGAGAATTTCGTACGATTTTCTTTTACGAGTTTAAACTCGGCCGAAGCGGAGCCCAAACGGCTAGAAACATTAACCAAGTCTGGGGCGAGGGTTGTGTTAATGAGTGCACTGTGCAAAGGTGGTTTAAAAAATTTCGGGAGGGAGATTTCAGCCTTGAAGATGAAGAAGGTCGTGGAAGGCCTTCCTCTCTTAATGATGATGTTCTGCGATCAGTGGTGGAAGAAAACCCCAAAACAACTGTTCGAGAACTTGCAGAGCAACTCAAAGTCAGTAAAACGACCGTCGCTGACCACCTCAAGGCGATTGGAAAAGTGAAAAAACTCGAAAATTGGGTTCCACACTCATTAAACGATCGCCAAAAAAATCAGCGCTTTGATGTTTGTGCATCACTTCTTTGTCGAAACAAAAATGACCCATTTCTGGCCAGAATTGTTACATGTGACGAAAAGTGGATTCTCTACGATAACACTAGACGTTCTGGACAGTGGCTCGACAAAGGAGAAGCTCCAATACATTTTCCAAAGCCCCCAACTCATCAAAAAAAGGTAATGGTTACGGTATGGTGGGCTTCATTTGGTTTAATACACTACAGCTTCTTAAATCCTGGCGAAACCATCAATGCTGAATCATACTGTAACCAAATTAATACCATGCATCAGAAATTGGCAGTAATGAAGCCCTCTTTGGTCAATCGGAAAGGGCCCATTTTGTTGCATGACAACGCTCGACCACATGTGTCACGTGTAACGTCACAAAAATTATTGGAGCTTGGCTATGAAACTTTGCCTCACCCACCCTACTCTCCGGACCTCTCGCCTACTGACTACCATTTTTTTAGACACCTGGACCACTACTTACAACACATAATATTCAAAAATCAAACGGAACTGGAAAATGCATTTATTGACTTTATCAATTCTAAAAATTCTGAATTCTACTCAGACGGAATTAATAAGTTACCAACACGTTGGGAGAAATGTATTGAGAGTATGGGAAATTATTTTGATTAAAGAACATTGCTTTAAAGTAACTAGTTTCTTTTTTTTTGTTTAATACCAAAATCCTGCATTATTTTCCGGACAACCCAATAGTAACATAATTGAAAAAGTAAAAAATAGATTGTTAAGATATTTAGCCTATAAATGAAAATAGGGATACACAATAAAATTGTACTGAGACAACCTTGTAGATGTCTATTGATAATCTTAAAAATTGAAGATACATAAGTGATAGTCTGGTTTTGTATAAATAATTTAATAGTTTTTCAGAAACCCTGAATTATTAGAATGAAAATATTTTAACATTCCTAAAAAATTGACAAGGACGACTAAATTGTTCTTTTCTGCTCCTATAATACGTGCTTGTAGGCCCTCGAATTCACTTGATACGGACATATTTAATAACTTATATTATACTTTTAAAATGTATCTTCAGCCATGATGCAAAAAATGTGATTTATTTTTACGATTTATAATGTTGTAAAGTGATGCTATGCCATAGTTAAATATTTTTTTTTCAATTAGGAACAACAGTTTTAATATCTTTTTACCTTAACTGGCTTATCTAGCTGTTTTTTTTTTTATTAAAAAAATCTGTCTACTATATATATTTTATATTTCACGCTTTTGAAGATCAATTTCCTTCAACTTCAAATCTAAACGGGATTTTTTTAATATTATATCTATTTTATTTTTAACAATGGTGTTAGGTGGGATTATTCAGCCAGAAAAGAACAAGATGTTTGTCACCTTTTTGTTCTTTTTTAATGGAACATTTTGCTCCTTTTGTAAAGCACCCCTCACTGGTTACATCTGGAACAAGATGTAGGTTATGTAGATTTGTCAAAATAAAATTTAAAAAATGAACCATCTTCCACCAGTATAAATTATAATAATATAATCTTACAGTATTACAGACTATTAATTCCAATTGTTTATACTAGAGGATGTTGAGCCATTTTTTAAATTGTATATTCACAAGTTTTTTTACATCTTATTCCACACACTTTGAAAAATGGAGCAAAACGTTCTGAAACGTAATGTGTAAAGAATTTAAAAAAAAATCTGGGATAAGGCCAAGAGGATAGAAAACATCCAACCAGTACTTTTGTCAAGCTTTGGATAATGTGGAAAACTTTTTTTTAAATTGGTCTTAACCTTGACTTTTTAAAAAATAAATAATTTTACACTTTTTTGTCGGATTTTTTCATCTTGGTTTATTATTATTTTTTCCGGCATAAATTGAAGATTTTGTTAGAAACAAGTATTAGTTGACTTCATAAATGTTCTGGTTAGTTGTATAGTAGAACAAGTCACAGAAAAAATTATATATTATAAAAGCATAACCATACATTTTAATGTAGTGTCATTTTTGAGTTTGTAGTTCATTTTCCCATTTGAACTTTCAGAATGCATGATTTCTGGTGGTTGGGTAAAAGCTGAGGAACCTGACAAAAGTCTTTACTATTACGATTCTGACCATGACACAAAATTAAACGACAACATACATGCTGATGATATGAACTTTGTTCCCGTAATGGTGAGGCGTAATGATTTCTTCCTCAAGGCGTCTAAATCAGTGCCGAGAATCGGCAGGAGGAATGACTTCTTCTACGCCAAGACACACAAGTCTGTGCCCAGGATTGGAAGGAGGAATGATTTTTTCCTAAAAGCCTCAAAGTCCATACCGAGAATAGGCAGAAGAAATGATTTCACATCAGTTAGTTTTATATTGTTTTAAAAATGTTTTATTTAATTTTTTTTAAATATTGATCATTTACAGCAATCGGACAAGGAAGGAATAATGGATTGGCCCTGGTTTAGAGAACACGAGTACATACCAAAAGTATTAAAAAAAGATACAAGTAAGTAATTAAAATGGTTAATTTGGTTTGGTTTTGTTTTTTCACTTAATTTATTAAATATAATTTTCTTTTAAGACTATGAACACCTTCAAGAAGGGAATAAAGAAATACCAGAAAGTCGACAACAGCCTTTAGTTTAGAACAAAGTTTATATTATTATGAAATAAAAAACAATTTATGTCTAAATATATAATTGGTGCTTGATACTCAAAGTATACTGGGATACATATATTTCTTAGTTTTAATCTTAAAACAATGTAGTTTTTAGTTATTTTAGTGTATGAATAAAATCCTACTAATATAAAAATTAAAAATCATTTTCAATTCCTTACTCTAAACCCTCTAACCATCTGAAATTGCAAAACAAAACTGATTCTAGAAATAAGAAAAAGTATTACTTATGGTATTGTATTACTGCATTATAGAAAAGTTCTGAAGATGTATGGAGATTAGAGAAACACAATATAATTTTCAACAAAAGTAAGTTTTACTGAAGGTTATTTAACAGGAATATAATATAAAAAAACAAGTAAAGTAGAACCAAACATTTTTTATTATTTTATTTGGGTATTTTTTGGAGGCTTCTATACATACCTAAGAGACACCGCACCCAACATACACTATGGAACCCAAGCCTCTGTGATGCATAGAGTATTTAGCCTGGAGGCCATCCCAACTGCCTCCCACCAAGAACGTGCAAATGGAGATGATATACGGACTGAGCACCGTCTTTCCCGTTGTTCACAACAAGTCTGAAACCATTGTCTAGTCCTTGTTCTTTGGCAACCTTGCTAGCAACAAACATAAGGTGACCCAGGAGCTGAAATAATTTTTGAAAATCAAGGATCAATAAGCAGTGATGGAGGATTATTCATAAATTTGTAAGACAAAATTAAAAACACTAAAGGATTGTGAGATTTGCATGTTGCCTGTGGGCTGATGAACCTGACATTTGTCATTACTGATAATTTTGGTCTGCCTAACCTCGCTGGGTTTATCTGACAGCATTGGCATGTCTCTATATGAAAAGACAATGAATGAAATGTAAACATAACAACACAATTAATGACCAAATTTCAAATAACTGAAAAAGCCCAATACACTTCCAGCTTATTTTTCAGTTTATCTGAATTCAGATAATTTATTGCACTAGGTGCATTCTCATTATGCATTCAACATTTATTTATTTTTCCCAAGTTACTAACTTGTTATCTTTGCAACAAAAAAAATTTTTTTTTTTAAATGTACCTTGGTTGTTTGGTCTGTCTAACAAGTTTTAACTTTTGCCATCTGTTTGATTTTTTACAGACCAACCAATGAAGATGGCATAGAGCTGAAGACATTGCCAGACTAAAAGGCAGGCCAGAATGATTGAAAACGTCCAAGCTACAGGTTCAAAACCCACACAGACCTCAAGAGGAAACTAATATTGTGGGAAAACCAATAAATGATAAAAACAAATTATGAAATTACTAACAATAATGTCTGTACAAGAATCATTTCCAAGCATTTGTATTACAGAGTAAAGGACAAATGCACGAGGAAACCCAGACAAACATGATACAAAACAACGAAATACAGATTCAAGACCCAGCAGTTCTCAAGAGGAAAACTCAAAAGTATTATTAAAAGGCAGCGATTGAGGAACTAAGAATTCATCTGACAGCAAAAAGAAAACAGATTTTTTTTTACAAAGTTAAAATTACTGACAAGGCTAAAACTATCAAAGAAAATACTTGAAGATTTTGAAAATAATTAATTTAAAAAGAGCAGAATGGAAAGATTAAAAAAAAAAAAAAAAAAACTTAGAGCTCTTCTGTGGTATACTGAAGTCTGATAGGTGGGAAATGTTATGAGAATGGGCAAATGGGGCCTAACTATGAGCTTCTTAAGGCCCTCAAATTATCCTTCAAGCCTCTCAGGGCACAGAATGTCATGTTCATCCAACACAAACTAATGTCTTCCTTCTTTTGACACAAGTGATAAAGACTGACAACAATCGGAACATTTTCCAGCCCAAACATTCGATGCTTGGTATTGCGCTACTGGATTGTAGGTTTGAAGTTCTGCCACGATGCCATGAACAATCAAACATCCAACGTTGGAAGGTAGTATTGTGTAGTGCCAGCTTTATGTCAGTATTTGCATACTTCTTTTTAAAAATTAAATAAATATAAAAACCATACCCCTTCATCTTCTTGGGTAGTGTCTGACAACGTGGCAACTGGCTTTTTCGGGATGACTAAGAAATGGACCGGTGCTTGCGGGTTGACATCATGGAACGCCAAGCACTGCAAAGATAAAACATATGAACCCGGACTCATAGAGCTAAGTCTTAACGTCGAAATACCTTCTCGTCCTCGTAGATGAACTTTGCCGGTATCTCTTTTCTTATTATTTTGCCGAAGATCGTATCACCTCCTGGAAGAGCTTTCTGAGCTTTCGCGACTTCGTCCGACATCCTAGGTGTGAGGGCGAATGTGCGGCGGGACGATCTGTTGACCGTTGGCAAGTTTTTCGACAAAGACTTTCCAACTGCAATGGTAAAATGGAAAACTTTAGACACCATTGGTAGTCGGATGCCGAATGGGAAAGGTTATGGTTCTCTGTTTTTCCCCGCCACGTTCAAATCTATTTTTAAAATATTTTTTATAGGCTTTTTTCTTATTAATGACAGGATTTTGAAATACTCAAAATTAAGTATAAAAAACTTTCTACTAGAAAATAGTAGTGTAAAACTTAAAAACTGATCTAAGCTGATTATGACATGACATTTATGACTTTATCAAACACTAAGATTCTTCTTGTTATCCATTAAATTTTGAATAAAAACTCCTAATTTTGGTGATCTATTTGTAATTAATAATTATCAGAGTACAATTACCAATATTTTATTATTATTTATTGAACTTAGTAGTGGTTTGAAATACATTCCGTCTCTGACGTTAATTCCTTGTAGGGAGTCACTTTATACTTCAAATTTCAAAGTTTTTTAGACTCAACTTCCTGTTAATAAAAAATTTAAGAATATTTTAAGCAGAAGATTATTTTTATTTTAAAATTGCCTGGAATTTTGAAACTAGTAAACTTTTATTTTTAGTTGAACCTCTTGCCAGAACAGAACGTTGATCAAGCACGACAGCCGACAGGTCATTGTTATAAGCAGCATTAGTCATCACTTGACCCAAAGGACAAACAAGCAAAAATGGTAATTCTGTTTTTTCCTTTATCTAATTGAATAAATTGTGTTTTTTATTTTATTACCATTTCTGAATTTCATGTGCTAATCCGTTTTATCGTTTCTAGGCGTCGTACTCGGATGATCAGTTGGCAGGTGAGTTAAACCAGGTCACATCTCATCATTTGAGTTGCGACACACCCAATCCCGCACTTAGTTGACCATATTAGGTATCAAACTCGACTTTGTTCCATTTTCCTTTTTTCGACCGACCTCGGTAGAGTCAGTCGTCACCTCGCCATCCCAGTAAGTGCAACAAACAAGGGGGAAAATGATTTACGGTTTTGAAATTGTTAATAAAGTCATGACTTCCATCGAGGGTACCGAGTCGATTCGCTTTGGGTCTATCATATTTGCATAATTAACACTATTAATTGGTTTATTCTAGAGTTTCAAGAGGCGTTCCAGCTCTTTGACAGCAGGGGTGACAACAAAATTCATGTCTCGCAGATCGGAGACGCGCTCAGGGCCCTTGGTCAGAACCCGACCGAGTCTGAAGTCAAGAAGTTCACCAACCAGCATAAACCAGGTATGATTTATTAATTCACACTTGAAAAATAATATCAAAGTTAAGTTATAAGTTATATATAAGTTTATATAAAAAAGTAACTACAGTGGAAACCCACTAGTCCATACTAATTAGCATTGAGACCAGTCTAGATAAGCAGAATTTTGGATTAGCCGATTATCTGGAGAGATGTAAAGGCAAGCAGTAAAATTGTTCTTACCAACTCTGCTATTAAAAGACATTTTTTAAATTATATTTATCTTATTTATTTAGAAATTGAGATGCGGTCTGGTGTGATGTAGGTTTCAGAAAAACATTTTCTTTATCGTGCCAACGTTTTGATCTTTCTCAATTCACTAGTTTTGTGGTCCGCTTGACCAATTAATTAAGGTTTTCAGTTGAGATAAAAAAGTCAATGGCACAAGCGGGATTCGAACCCACCATTAATTGGTCAAGCGGACCACGAAACTAGTGAATTGAATAAGTTTAAAATGAAGTATACTTCACTAAAGCTCTCCGAGGCCATTTCATTTTTCGCCGAGAATCAAATTGATTACACGACATTTGAAAAATGGCAAAAAGGAGGAAAATTCAAAAGGTGTGGTTGAGATATGGGAGGTTGGTGTTCGAGTGTTTCGAGGTCACGATAGCTCAAGTGGTAGAGCAGCGGCATATCTAGCTGAAGATCGTGGGTTCGAATCCCGCTCGTGCCATTGACTTTTTTATCTCAACTGAAAACTTTAATTAATTGTTTCGATCTTTATTGAGATCATCTTCAGGGCCTGGGATTTACAAACATTGTTTACATATAACCATTACATTTTGGATGTGGAAAAGTGAATTTATACAATACAAAATATATTTTTTATATATTCACTCAAAGTATTTCTACTCTTCTGTCTTCTGTGTAATTGTGCCATTCTTGCGTGTCGTGTCGAGAGTGCCAGTGAGATTGAAAATGTAACAAAATCTGCAGGAGAGTTTAGATTGGGCGAGACCACAATAACTGACCATTAATAAAATTTATATCAAAGAATTATTACCTCATGTTTTACTTCCACACTATTCACATTTACAACAAATTAAATTTAAAATTAAATCTGACATGATATATGTTAAAAGTAAAAAGCAAAAATTAGCTTAAATAATATTTATTTATTATTATTTTACATTTTAAGTAACTGTATGAAGCAAATATTCTATTATATAGTCTTACATTATATAGTAATGATCTTGTAAAGTAACATATGACTATCGCATATTTTTTATTTAGCCTATAATTTATTTACATTACATGCATAGCATTCCTTTCATATTTCATCGATTTATTTGTTTATGGATTTTTCCAGATGAAAGAATAAGTTTCGAAGTCTTCTTGCCAATTTACCAGACGATTTCAAAGGGTAGATCGAGTGACAGCGCTGAAGACTTTGTTGAAGGTCTCAGGCATTTTGATAAAGATGGAAATGGGTTTATTTCGTCAGCCGAACTTCGACATTTGCTTACGACACTTGGCGAGAAATTGACTGATGAAGAGGTCGAACAGCTTCTCGCAGGGCAGGAAGACTCACAGGGAAATGTCAATTACGAAGATTTTGTCCAGATGGTCATGTGCGGCTAAAGTCAAGATTCAAAACACAAATATATTATACATTTTTTTCTATTATCTGTTTATCTATTATGCGCTAACTTATTCCAATTGTACTAAACATTCTATAATTTCAATTTATTAATTTGTACATTTTTTTACTACTTGCCTATGATGTTTTGAATTTTTTTTTTATTTAAATGTAATTAAGAATATTTAGAATTCTATGAATAGATTATTTATAGTTAAATGTCTCATTTCTGTATAACTACCTTTTTCATTTTTAGATATGATAGTTTGTTTATTTTTGGCCAACAAATGGTTAACTATGGTCTTCATGTGGTAGGCCTTCTTCGTTTTCTTTGTAATCAGAAATCTTAATAATCCTGCAATCAGTAATGCTTAATAGTTAATATAAATCATAATTTTGTTATAATAATTAGCAGATGTTTTTATTTGTTAGTGCCGGCCAAGAAATAGCCACAATAACATTTATCTAATAATAAACTAAAGCAAGATCCTCTCGAATGACCCCACCCACTGACGCTGCCCGTGTTTCTTTTATCATATTTTTCTCTGTAAGCTTAGCTTCAGAGGGCCTGATCTTGATGGTCTGGTCTGGGGGAAGTGATATCCTGGCTTTTGCCGCCTCGTCCCAACGTCGTGTCTGGGTCCTCCGGGAACCCAGACAACTACCACTGTTTTTCTGAGGCGCTCCAGCAAGGTGTATTTCTCTAACAAGAGCACGACGAGAGGGTCTACAGAGAACCCGTCTCGTATAGCCCAGACAGTGCTCTTGTAGAAGGCAAGAGCCCTTCTCAGTCCATATCACCTGTAGAGTGTGCCAAATCACGTACAGCTCTGCTGTGTATATGCTGCAATGAGGGGGCAAGGACAGAAGGTGGTCAATCCTTTGCTATACACAGCACATGCCACACCATCGCCAGTCTTGGACATGCCTGTCAAAACCAGTGTATCTATTTAACTTAGACCTGTAGAGGTACGCAATTTAGGCAAGTTCACCAGATCATGCTTGCTGGCTGTCAAGGTGTTGACAGGTGACTTCTGTGAGTCCCTGTACTAGCGCAGGAGCAGGGTTCATGGACAACAAAGGAGACCAGATCTCCCCTTCCAGATGAGGTTTGTAACATGTAGTGTTTTGTGCGTGGTACTTTGCATTTGTTATCCTCGGGTTTCAAGGACCTAGGACGTGTGCATCGACCTGTGTATTGGTGGTGGTTGCTGACAGGGGGCCTGGATGTCCCCCGATGTGCAATGAGTGCTTGGAAATCCTCATCAACCAGCAGGGGTGCACCAGCCACCAAGTCCCCCTTGCAGCCGTCTAGTGTGAAGCATGGCAGCATTGTGCCCATACTGGGGCACCATTTCCAGTACATGATACTGCATTCACCCAAGAACCTTCCTAGGGGCTGTAGCCCTAGGGTATATATAATGTTAACGTGCTTATGGTCTTCATAGTGTAGGTGTATGTGTGTTATGTATGTGGACGCAGTTTACCCTCATGCCCGGGAGCCACACTGTTAATACTACGGCTTGAAAAACATAAACTTGGCACATTGTTATTACAACTACATCAAAAGAATTGATTATATAAAGTTTATTTTTATAACAACTGTATCAAAAGTATAAATTATAAACTCTACATTGTTATTACAACTGTATCAAAAGCATAAACTAGACAGTAGACACACTGTTACGTCAAATTATCCTAACGTCATGCTATAGTTGGGAAGTATTTGAAATGCCCGTTAGGCGATGGTCCTCGGAGGTTTTGAGGCCCTCGCGCTCTATTTGATATTTCGACCGTTATTCATCCTATAAGGTTTTACTTGTTAAACTGTTGAGCATCTTGAATCAGCAAGATAATAACTAGTTTTGCCAGAAACATTTAACAAACTTTCATCATGGAAGTCGTAGAGATACCGACTGAGAAAACTGAGCAATTCAACACAACTATTGTAAGTCGTTTTTCGAATTCTAATTCTGACCATGTTTTATATGTGAAATTTAAATAAATTTATTGCAAGTTACCAGCCCTTTATTTTGATTAGGTTGTTATTCGATTTTTTGTTACTTGGAGAAGAAAAAATAAATAGTCCATAACATAGATTGGTTTTTTTCCAGAATGTAAGTCTTTTGGACGAAGCGGGAAGAAATTATATTGACAATATTAGACAGATAATGAACGAGAGTGTAAAGGAAAATCGAGGAGGGCCAAGAGAATGGACTATCCAGGACTTCCAAATTGGAATGCCATTAGGCAGAGGTCAGTTCGGCAGGGTGTATTTGGCAAGAGAAAAGAAAACTAAATTTATTGTCGCTCTAAAAACACTTATAAAGAAAGAACTGATCAAAGGACCAATGCAACACCAGGTATGAGAAAGCTAATCAATCGACTGAAACCCGTTGGTCTAAAATTATTTGCTTTTAGGTTTTACGTGAAATAGAAATACAGTCACATTTGATCCACCCTAACATCCTCCGTCTGTACACGTACTTCCATGATGTACAACGGGTTTATTTGGTGCTCGAATATGCCGGCAATGGTGAGCTTTTCACTTTCCTCCAGAACCAGAGAAATAGGAGGTTCAGCGAGCGGCGTTCTGCAAAGTATACGTACCAGGTGGCCGACGCGTTGGAATACTGTCATAAGAATTCTGTCATGCACCGTGACATCAAACCAGAAAATCTTCTTCTCGATGTAAATGACAATGTTAAAGTCGCTGACTTTGGTTGGTCGGTCCACGCCCCGTCAGACAAGAGGAGGACAAAGTGCGGCACATTGGATTATCTCCCGCCGGAGATGGTCGAGCACAAGACTTATAACAATCATGTCGACCACTGGTGTCTAGGCATCCTTTGCTACGAATTCCTTGTCGGTAATCCCCCTTTTGAAAGTGAAGACGACAAAACGACTTACGAAAAGATAAAAAAAGTCCAAATACATTACCCCTCTTACCTGAAACCCGGTTCGATTGATCTCATTTCTAAACTTGTTAAATACGATCCGAAAGATAGGATTTCTTTCCATGAAGTGAAGACACATCCATGGCTAGTTGAAAATAAGAACAAATTTTTAATGGAATGATTAATTTTTTCTAATTAATTAAGTTTGTAACATTATTCTATTCAAATATTTATTAAAAAAATTTCCAAACATTTGGCATAATATAAGCCTTTTATTCAATAAATTGTCTTTTTATTTATTTATTTTTTCTTTTTGCTGTGCTGTATTCAATTTTCTGTTTCTATAGTTTTAAGTTGATGTTTAAAAGTGTATTTGGCATCTTAGTTCTTTGTTACTGTTTATTAACTATTGTATGTTATGAATTTTCAGTTGTCTTTAATCTGATTACTTCAGTAAATAGATGTGCAGTCATAGAATCTGTAAAAAATTTTAAATTGAATAAAATAATGCAAATTATTTGTGAACATTCTTTTGGATTGTATACAACCGTTTCTTCTTAACCTAATTAATTCTTGCATTTGAATGTGTGGTATTTAGTGACCGTTAATTAATGTTTATTTAGAGATCATGAGATGTGGTCTGGTGTGACGTAGTTTATAAACACATTTTCTTTATCGTGAGGGCATTCTCAACATGACACCTTATAATGACACATCTACACAGAAAACAAACACTTTGGACCCTGAAAACGATCTCAATAAAGATTGAAACGTTGGCACGATAAAGAAAATGTTTTCTTAAACCTACATCACACCGCATCTTACGATCTAAATAATCTTGTATTTAATTATTCGGAGATTGTCACTAGGTGAGAGGTCACTAAATACCACACAGTTGTATTTGAAGTTTAGTCATTTCTGATGCTTTTAGTCTTATCATCTCAGTTTAGTCGAAACGCTGCTGCAGATCAAAAAATAAACAACCAAGCTAGGTTTATCATCTTATAGACAACAGGAAATCTCACAATTTTTTATTATTAAATGTATGAACTATTTTTAATACATGCATCAAAACAATAAATTTATTTTCGGATTGTTATTTTTATGGTTAGTTGGAGTTCTTTCTGTTTTTGTTAGTAAAATAGAATGGTCGTTAAATACTGTATGATATTTAGGATGTTAAGATTTTAAATCATTAAATTTTTACTCAAAGTGGCAAAGGACTATTTATCTATTTACTGTACAATTAGATGTACTTAAAGTCTAGCATAACATCAGTATAACAGATTGCATAGTAATTGTATTCTGATTTTAAAAAAAAAGTTCTTTTTATAGGAATATGACGCATTTAACTAATTTCAAACTGTTTCTCAAAACTGAACAGAAAAATAATTAAAAACATGAAATTGTTTTTATTTTGTGTACAGTATTAGTACACATGTTTTTTGTTTATTTGTTTTATACCCATTTTGGTCCTCTTTAATGTCTCTTTTGAACAGAACGCCTCATTGAAAGTAATAAAAAATTATGATTTTGACCAAACTGAAGATAACAAGCAAACTAGGATCTCTTAAACGACTTGGGACTAAAGAGGGGAGCTCAAAATGTGATGAGGTATATTCCTTTTTTTAATTCTGGGTCCCCTGGCAATTTATATACTATCATCTTTGAGTCTGTAATTGATCTTATTTTATAACCATAATGCGGAATTTGGCACTTTCCAAGGTGACATTTTGTTATTTTTTTAAAGATATGTTAGTTTCAGTAGTTCTTTACCCATTACATGTTCGGTTGGCACAAGTGCGTTTTCCTTTACTAGTTTCTAGTCCTTTTCTTCTTCAATTCTCTCATTAGGGTCATCTTTTGTGTTTGGTAAAACAGACATTGCTGGGATTTTTGTATGGCTTTCATCACAACATCAGAATGTAAACATATTGAGTATCATGAAACAGATCAATCTGTGCAGATTGTCGTTTTTCAGGTCTGTTAGTGACCAGAGACTTACTGGAGTAGTCAATAAATTATTTTTGGATTTAACCCTCCAAATGTTATGTTTTAGTTTTCTTTTTTCTTTGATTAATTTTTAGGGTAGATTCTGCTTGTCTATAAGTTTAAATTTCTGGCTTGGAAGAGGGTATTACTTTATATGTATACTCATCTTTGAATTATGCAAGATTCAACTTAGATATTAATTGTCCAGCTATGCTCTATAGAGCTTCCACTTAAATGTTGTGTCAGCTAGAGCCTGCATTTTTCTCGATATATTATGCATGTCATAGGTGAAATAATTTTATCTGCTTAATTGATTGGTTTAATATTGTATTTTTGTATAGTATACTTTAGTAAATATTCTTTTTATATTAATTACCGAATTAGATTGTCTAAATGTAGGAATTTTTTTAAATTCTTCAAAATTTTTATATCGTGAACATAGCCAACACGACAATGTACAAAATATAAAAAAGTGAACGTAGACAGAACCAATGTTAGTTCATAAGCCTTTTTCTTGTTTATGACGACAGTCGAAGTGTGTTTTCAGGTAAGTAACCTTCCAACTATCGGTTGTCACTTTGTCAGTCGCTGTCATTGAGTTGTTATCAGACAAACAATGCTGGGCACGTTTACCGTTCTGACCTGTTTTTTCTCAAAGCGCCTTGTGTTTTAGGCCCCTGATATGCCTCAGTCGACAAAGTACGGGGCCAATTCTGAGGACTACAAGCGGATTTCGGTTCTGGGCAGGAGCACAACCGGTTTGGCCACCGTCCATCTGGCCGTCCACAAGCCCTCAGACAGTTGGGTGGCCCTGAAACAGTACAACTTAGACGAACTCGACAGGGAGAATGCAGACTTGATAAAGGTAAAACTTGGCTTTTTTCATTTGTTGGTATACCATATTTTTAACAGATTGTTGTGCTAGTGAACTAATAAAATGTATGAGGCATGATTATGCCTTATGTAGTATGAAAAATACATTGCATACTTCCAAACCTACATAATATTGTTCACTGTTTCTTTAATAACTTAAATTTATCCAATAGGAAGAAATCATTTTAATGCGTCAACTTTCCCACTCGTGCATTCTCTCTTCTTTTGGCTCCTTCGTTTCTGGAAACAACGTAGTATGCATACTGCCGGTGATGGGCTTCGGCTCTACAGCTGATCTCATAGCCAGGCACTTCCCAACGGGTCTCCCCGAGCAAATCATTGTCACCGTTTTGAAAGCAGTTCTGCAGGCACTTCAGTATTTACATTCCAAAGGAATCATCCATAGGTGAGTCAAGCTTCTGCTAATCTTTGCAACAAGAAAAAAATTGGCCCAACATATTATAAATTAATTGATGATATATAAAAATGGAATTGGAAATTGGCTTGACAAAAGTTGAACTTTTTGATGATCAGCTTATATAATTTTGAGATTTTTCAGTGTTGTTTACTGGTTGATGAACCTGAAATTTAGTTACTGATCATTTCAATTTGGCTATCCTCATTGGGTTGGTATATCTGACTTATTTTTAGCATTTTGCCATCTTCAGTGTTGGGTCTTGCTATTTAAACTTCACTGATTGAATGTGGAATGTAAGAGAGAAAAATTGGCGAGCCAGAATTCCTTCAGATCATTCTATGAAAACCATTCTGCCACCAATGATACAAATCCTGTGATTTGAAAGAGTCCACTGTCAATTAAATTAATTTTCAATTTAGACATATTAATTACCTAATAATTATTATTTAACAGTAATAATACATAAACTACAGTTTTTGAACTTGACTCTCCTTGTTCTTGACTGATTTGGTTTATTGGTTTTTCGGTTGACCCTTGATCGGATGATTGGTCTCAAAACAAAAGTTGAGGGAAGAAAAAGCAAAGTTCTGAGGCAGGATGGCCAAAAACCTTATTTCAAGGGTTGTACAGTCTATTATGTGCAACAGCCCGCACACATTCCCTGTGAGTCCTCAGGTGCACAAAAGTCCATCCTGTTGACTTAATTCCAAATTTATGACAACCTTAGCTTGATGAGCCGTCTGCGATTTGCAAGATCTTTCCCTTAATAAATTTTTTGATTATTCAGTTGATTATTAGGTTTCTACACCCTCTAAGTTTGGTCTAAGTTAATCGATAATTATTCAGAAATCGTGAGATGCGGTCTGGTGTGATGTAGGTGTGATTTATCCCTTTCTATATAATCCTGAAAGATAACTGACCGAACCATTGCCAACGTTTTTTTTCCCTTCGTCGGCTCTTTTCACCTCAAAGACCTTATACAAAAATGTCTTTTCTATACCGACTTCCTTCCCCACCCTTTCAAAATCCAACATATATAACATATAAAAACAGCAATATCTCACTGGCACTCTCAACACGACATGCAAGAATGACACAATTACACAGAAGACAAACACTTTGAGTGAGTAGAAATACTTTGATTGAATATAAAAAAATATATTTTGCATTGTATAAATTCACTTTTTTCCACATCCTACATGTATTTGTTAAATGTAAACAATGTTTGTAAATCCCAGGCCCTGAAGATGACCTCAATAAAGATCGAAACGTTGGCACGATTAAAACGAAGAAAATTTTTTTCTAAAACCTACGTCACACCAGACCGCATCTCACGATTTCTGAATAGATTTTGTAAATGTTCCTTTGTTTCATTTGGGTTCCTTCCTTCTAAACCTTACATTACCTTTGCTTTAACAATTATAAAAAATTATAAATTAAAACGAGGAAAAAAATTAAATGATAGTCGGTTGATGAGGAGGTGGTGTCTCGAGGACTAAAGTTATGACTCACATGGTAGCCAGGGTAGTGATCCCGAGGTTGTGGGTTCGAGTCCAGCTCTTATTACTAATTTTAAAAATTAGCTTAGATAACTAACTTAATAATTAGTTATTAACTTTTAACTTAATAATTAATTCCCTAGTTTTTGTGGTCCGCTTGACCACCTCTATGAGTCACGATAGCTCAAGTGGTAGAGTAGCGGCGTATCTATCAAGATCTTGGGTTCGAATCCCACTTGTGTCGCTGACTTTTTTATCTCAACTAAAAACCTTAATTAATTTAATAATTAATAATAACCCTTAGGATAATTTTAACAATTATAGTTCTGTTATTTACTCTAACTTATTTACTTTAAGTCACATTAAAAAGACACGGCTTACTAAAACCTAAATCAAAGTTATATATTCTTCAAAGCTTAGTAATAAAAGTCAGTTAAATGGTTTGCTTCTCTATTCATTTCACGTGTTTGATGCCTTATATATTCAACAAAATTGTGTATATATATTTTTTTAATTGTATTTATCCCTAATAACTAAACATGTATGTTTTCATTTTAACTGTAGTGGGTGGTGATTCATTGACAAATAAATGTTATGGATGTTTGCTGTTTGTCTAGGGCAGTTCGTGGAAGCCATATCCTAATCTCTTCAGACGGTTATGTCAAGTTGGGTGGATTTCGTTATTCCTGTGGTTTGGTGTCATCTGAAAGGTGGAATCGTAAAGTGCACTCTTTTCCACCCAATTCAGAGCCTAATTTAAATTGGCTTTCACCGGAGCTTTTAGAACAAGTAATTTATTTTGTTTCTATTTTATTTGAATCTATATTTTATGGCGATTGCTCTGTTAGAATCTTGAGGGGTACAATGAAAAATCTGACATCTACAGTGTTGGTATAACGGCTTGTGAATTAGCAAATGGAATCGTACCGTACTTTGGTACCTGCAAGACCCTCATGCTGACTGAAAAAGTCAAAGGATTCCATCCCCAGCTAATTGATGCATCAACATTTATTCCCAATGGCCATGGTAATGTTTGTTTTTAAACTTTTTATATTTTAGATTTTTACGCTTTCATTATAAAACTATTCTGGTTGGTATAATTGGATTTGTTTGCTCTTTAGGTGAGGAAGACGATGAAAATTACAAAGAAGACAACGACGAAGTATCCAGGGTGGTGAAGACAAGAAAATTTTCTGACATGTTCCATTCTGTTACTGAGTACTGTTTAGAGCGGGACCCAAATATCCGGCCATCGCCGAAGCAGATCTTGACTCTACCTTTTTTCAAGACGGCTCTATCGCCTCCTTCCCTTGTTCAGACGCTGAAATCGTACATTGACCCTGCTGACTTTCCCTATCAAATCCAAGGTAAAACTTGAATCAACATATTCAAAATAAAACCCTTCAATTTTACTAATTGTTTGGCAGAAGAGGAGAACGCAGACCAGGTAGCATGTGAGTTGATGAATAACCTGGAACTGGATCCTATCAAATGGGAATTTTAATAAATAAACTAGTTAATGTAAATATAGTTTATTATATTTTTCTGTAATTAATACATATACAACATTTGATACAAAACATTATTTTGTAATAAAACAAAAACAAATGTATTTTGTAAATAAAATTATTGTACATTTAGTCATTTAATTGTATTTTTTTATTCAACATCTTGTGTGGGCAGAAAAAAACAAAAAAGCCCTGAGAATAACATAAATAAATAAGTGAACAAAAGTCTCAATTTGTAAGATTACTTTCTTAATATATTCCAGAGAAATTTTTACAATAATATTTATAATTATTTTTAAATTGATTAATACCAAAACATGGAAAGTTCTTCTGGAAGTTCAATACGTGTGAGGGGAAAGCCTATAACTCTTTTTACGCTTTTTATCAGGAAATGTATGAGGATTGAAGAACTTAAATTTTTTATTCGGTGTGTAAGAATGCTGAAGAATATTTTCACTCGTGTAACGATTAGTCTGGTTATAGTTTATCTGAAATTTACCCACCTTTTATTATTATTACTACTGAGCCATCATAACCATGAAATTTTAAAAATTAATTTTACTTTATTGTTTAAGGTGTACTTTTCAGGAAGAAAAATGTCATGGTTGACTTTTTTTCTGAAAAAAAGGTGAGAATCGCTATCATCAGACCCACTTGAGCTATTCTTGGCCAGGAAATCAAAATTTAAAACATCAAATGATTTTTTGTTAGAGAAAAATTCCAATTGTTTGTCCGATCTTCCGACATGACAGTATGGTTCTTTATCTTCTTGAACTGTCTTCTTAGTAGCTCTGAAACGAACTTGTTAACAAATAAGGAATATTTTATTAAATTAAATTAAAGAACCTTGTATCATTATGACAGACGTAATTTAATAATGGCATTTCCCTTCTATCGCTTTCTGACTTTTCTCTTTCAGCATTAAGTCCATCATTTTTATGGCTATTCTGCTCTGATGTACACGGCGGTAAACTATTTTCTTTTTTCTGATCAATCAACTCAGTGTCCTTAAGCGCTGTATTCTCTCCTCTGTTAGGTATTTAATAATTAATAAATTTATAAGTGAACTATGAAGAAACAAAAAAATAATACGCTATATTTATATTCATCAAGGAAAAATCTTCTTGGTTGGGTCTGTTCTGGGCCAAAGCGAAAATATCCTCATTCATCCTTGCTTTTTGAAGAGGACTGTATGTTTCTGAAATAGCTCAAAAGATAAATTTTCTTGTTTCCTTTTTATATTTATTTATATACTCACCTCTGTGGCAGGTCTTACCGAGCAGTACATTTTCAAATATACCCCTATTAACACTCAACTAAAAGATAAAGTTTTAATTATCTAATTAAATAGTTAAATGAGAATGAAATGTACTTACAGTCGGTAATTTTATTTGTTTTCTTTTCGATTTACTTTTCTTTTTCTCCTTTTTCTGTTCAGAGGGAAAGAACATTACTGATTAGAGTAGAAAACTGCAATTACTTTGTTCATATAAAAACTAATAATAATACTTTTTTATTTGATGATTTATTTACATCTTCAAGAAATCTTTTTAACTGATAATCCTTCCCTTCGTTCTACAGAACAAAAATTGTATATTCTTAAGTATGAATGTATTTCTACAATAATAATTAATGGCCATATATTTACTTCGTCCATTTCACAAATTTAAAAACTAAAATGTTAGAAAAAAACAGTTAATTAACATTTATTTTTAAAATGGCCCAAATTTTTTCCCCAGACAAACCAATAGTGTTTATTTACAGTCATATTCATCCAATTGAGTAAACAAGTTCTCAAGGATTAGCTCAAGTATCTATTTTCCTGACGAATTTTACCCATGGGCATGAAATGTGATAAAAGAAGATAAAAAACTAGTTTTTCATGCTCAAATATTATAAAATATTCAAAATAAAAGGTTCAAAAATATATAATGTCATTATCCACAATACTAAAAAATGTTTTCTCTCTTCTATCAAATTAAATGTTTTCTGATTAAGAAGAAAATTTAAATTTAATTTCAAAAAATGTTTATAATACGTTTCTTTATAAAGTTGACATCAAACATAGAAAAAATGTTAAACTGGCTGTTACTTGAGCTAAAATTAATTAACTAGGAATTTAAATAATTTAATATTGTAAATTAAATATGGTTTATAAAGCTAAAAAGATTGATTTTTAGATATTGTAATATTTCTAAATTCAGTACCTAACCTCTTATACAGCACACTGCTGTTAAAAACACAAATATAAAATCATAAAGTAGACATTGTTCTATCGTTGAATGCTTTAAACTTACCCTACTCAGAATAAGCCATACATGATTGGCACATAACTAATACTTTTGGACCAAGCCCACATAATACTGGCTCTTTGGGAAGCACCCACCCGGGTGTGTGAGACTTGCTCCAACTAAAAAACCGGCTCTTTTCCCATCCTGGAATCGCTATGAGCATGGCATCAGCTGGGGCCACCTCACTAAGCACTGGTGTTTAAAAAAAAAACCAGTTCCAGATTCATCACCTAGACCATCAAGCATCACCTTGTTTTGTAGCAGTACCATCTTTATGAAGGCTGCCATCCTCGTCCTGCCATTGCGAGACCTAATCATTATTCAGACGACATTCTCCAGTGTGATATGTCCCATCACTGCCTCCAGTTCAAGGTATTCTGGTGGAAAGTCGTCAAAAATGCATGATGAGTCTTCCATCTTCCTCATCCTGCTTAAGTACAAGCAGAAATACCCATGTCAATGGTCAAATATAAAGTATGTATTCCATCGCCTGCTGATATGAATCATTTGCACATATAAATATATTATTATATTTAAGAATTGAAGAGAGTGAGAAATTTGTTTGAGTCTTAGCCGGCCCTGGAACCCGAGATCAGTTGCACAGGAGGTCAAAATCGGTGTGGTCACTAATAACAGCTATAATTTTTATAACAAACACTTTTTCCCTTGAATGCTTTATTCACGTAGTAAATAGTAGAAGGTACAAAAAAACAAAAACCATTGAGTAAAATCAATTTTTGTGGTAATTCTTTATTTCCAATACTTCCAATAAAAATAAAAAATAAATAGAAAAATATGAAAGGAGAGAAAATGGAAAAAAATCTGGAAAGGAAACACAGGAAAGTAGACGGGAATTTGGCCCCAGTATCAGATAACATTTATTCTTTCCAATAACATTTTTTTTTCTTCAAATCTGTCTGCAAACTATAAATAAATAAAAAATAAAAATGTGTTAAAAATATTAAACATACTCATCTAAATGACATGCGTATCGTTTAAAACATTCCTAACTTTGCTCAACATGCAAGTAAATTTAGTAATATCAAAAATATATCCTATAAAAAAAGCTCATGTCTTTTTTTTTATTGGCAAATTCAACAATGCTGTGGGGGTTGAAAGCAATGCCTACTGGGCTTTCTGTACTGCAAAAACAATTGGTAATCAATACATATACACCTTGAAATCCAGGTGTAATATGCACTTGAAGTTTTTCCCCTAGATTAATGTTTAACAGCATAAAAATATGAACAGCCTACTTAAAGTCCTGTACTCTAAGCAAAACGAGAGTAAAGCTAATAAAGGACTCAGTTTCTACTTGATTGAAGGAGCAGAATTGGTTTAGATCTTTAACAAAAAGTTATGTTAAATTATGAACGAAACAACATAGGCAAGAAAAGTAAGCTATGAAACAAGCTTTTCCCAGTAAAATCATAAAGCTAACTTATGTTTATTGTGTAAATTACTGGTGTGCAATTATATTGTTTTATTAAGCATTTGGCTATAAATGTGTAAATTAATGTTTTTAAAGATTATTAAACATATTGAATGCAATGCAGAGTACATGAAAGTTGTCTTCAATAATTCACTGCAGTTATTAATTTTTTTTTCTCTTCAACATTACAAGTGACACGATTTGGGGAATTTGGATTTTATTTATTCATCAATTTTCAGAGTAAATTTCATTTAAATATTTATCCTTGCAGAAAAACTAGGATTACAATTAACAAGATTATAACAAATGTTATAATATAATACATGTATTTATATTATTTTAAAAAAAATGTTTAAATGTAAAAATGTTTGAGTTAATTTTTTTAATAAATAACGTTCTTGCAATATCAACTGTTTATGTCAAAAAGACATTTAATGGTCCACGTTTTTATGCACTTTTTCTCAAAATTGAGCACATCATATTTGATTTGGCTTAAAACATTTATAAAGAACCAATTCAAGCGTGTCAGTGTCAGTGGCCACAACGGTTAGAAAAAGAAACAAAAAACTGATTCATCACCCACCCGGCTACCCATTTTGGACGAGCTGTACGCGTTTTGCTGCTTTATCCACGCTTGGCGCTTGTACATTTCCAAGACGAGAAAGTGTAATAATAAAATATTGGATTAAGCTTAGAATGCTGTGTATCTAAGATGATAGCAGCATGCCCAAAAGAAGGCACAATGGGCTTTGTCTTGTATTCGATGAAGTCTTATTTCTGGAGATTATTTTTACTTTAAAAGGCACTGAAAGCAGTGATCAGGTTTTTTCAAAAATCTGCAAAGCGTCGTAAGGATTTTTTTAAAAATTATAAGTCATACTTCTATATATAAATGATGTGAAATAGTGATTATCATGAAATAATTTTGAGTATATACATGTGCTTTGGATGTGAATTTAGAAAATTTTCAATTAATGTAGATTAATTTTATTAACTAATGTTTTTTTGTAACTTAATTCTTGTACTTAAATTTAACAACTCTAATATTATTCTAAATCATCACTTTAAAAGTTTTATTCGTTATACTTTTGCAGTATATCCAAATCTTACATTTAAGCAATTCACATTTTATAATGGCTAATATTTTGACCGATTAACTTCTTTTGGTTTTTATGTGCAAATTATTTGTAAGAGTATTTTTTTTTAATCCTAAGATTGTGCTCAAATGACTTCTAACAAAATATACGATACAATAATGTATATAGTACAAATAAAACTAATTTTGCAAATACAAATAAAGAACCAACTTTTTTAAAATTCTCGCCAATAAAAGTTTTATCGTGCTATGTAGTTCAGACTCATATTTTCAGGATTTTAAACTGGGCGGACTTAAAGCTTTGTACTTTCTACAAAATTAGAAACATTCAGTTTTCTTTTTTGCTACGGATCTTTCTCTCTGGTGGGGTCAAAGAAGAGGAACGAAGGAGAAGCCCTGTATTAGAATGTAAATATATCAACAGAGCCACAAAGAGAGGATAGAACCATAAGCAAATAAATAAATTCCTTTATCTTACTAAATAAATAAATATATATATGTATGTTTAAATATATAATAAATCTTATATTTAAATAAAAGGCTAACATTAATCCTGCATGGAAGTTTTATCATGGATTGGAAGTCAGAAAAATGGCTATTTTCAAAACTATTTAATACATTGAAATTTTAAATGCAGTACTTTTCAATGTTTTGTTTGGCACAAAATTATGTTAGAACAGGCTATAAAACAAATTGTTTCAGTCAAATAAAAAAATATTTGAAAAACCAGAATGGGAAAAATTTTGGAGGAAAGGTATTCAAATTTTGATAGGTTGAAAATTCTATAAGTAAAAACTGTTGTCTGTGATGTAAAAAAAAAATTACTTAATTGGTTCTATTTTTTTCTATTCGTTAATTTATTGATTAATTAATATTTCAAATTTTTATGCAAAGACAGTTGAGAAGAAAAATTAGAAATAATAATTAATCATAAACAGGTAACTAATTAAATTATTGATTAATTAAGTTAATGTTATTTTCAATTTGGTGTTTGTTTTACAAAAATAGTTTTGGCTTAAATGGGGGCAAACAGTTTAAAAATTAACCAATTTTCTTAATCATGGACAACATTGTAAAGATAAAACGCGGACAATTATACTTATTTCCTTCCACGCTGAGATAGGAAAACTACATCTATACTGCCGAGAAAGATAAAGTTCTTTCTACCTTTCAAACAAGTCGGAATGTGCAAATCACTAGAAAACCGTTGGATTTTCACAAATTATTAACTATTTATAAATGAGCAAACCAATGCAGAAAAAAAATTATAGGTGATTTGGAATGTTTAAAGCTTAAAATTGTAGGCACTCAATTGTACAATTTTTAAAACTTTTTTCCCAAGAGAACTGACAAGTTTGAAACTGTTATTTAACCTAACTGAAGAACTATATGTGGAAATGAACGATGGAGTGAGTGCGTTGATCAATCCTTTTTAAAAAGATAGTTCCTACTCACAGTAAGTTTTTTTCCAACAATTTGGATTTCGAGCCCTTAGCTCATCATCATGTTGTAGAAATCCTTCAAGTGTACTATGAGTAGGAACTATCTTTTTAAAAAGGAATGAACTATATTTGTTCTATAGAATATAATGAAACTTAAATTATTAATTATTACAAATCAACTTAGAGTTGATGATGGGTTTTGGTCTGCGAGTCGGTGAAACGATTGAATTCGTTCCTCACTGAAGATGGTGCTATGCCGAAATACTTTTGAATAACTAAAAAAAACCGCGAGTGGAGGCAGACCCTGTGTCGATTCAACATACAAATCATCATGCTAAAGGATAAATCCCATCAGTGAAATGCATGTGTTTGACTGCTCCTCCACATAAATTAATTAAAACTAAGGTCTCAAATGAGACTTAAAAGAGCAAATAGCAAAATTGTGTTATAAATGAAAATGTAAAAATCTTTTTAAAAAATTGTTTTTAACAATACAAAGCAGTCTTTTCTTTAGTTCCATTCTAACTGCTGCATGAAAGAAAATTTTGCATTTGGCAAGGGTATGAACACTTGTTTCTTCTCCTTAGAGGTCAGGAATTTTCGATATCTAATAGCCAACAAACGGGGCTAAAAATCTACTAAATTATCGACATATCACAGGCAATCAAACGACTTGAACTTACAGGTATATTAAATTGGAATCAAAATGGTAAGGAGACAGCAGGTTCAAAACTCATTTCCATTGACCACAGATTCCATTGACTGTTTTTGGCTTTCATCAGAGTATTTATCACTATAATATGAAGATCCACAAAATTTTGATGAACACAGATAAATGCACGGATTGCATAGGTTACGACAATGAACATTTATAACTGTTAATCATTATCTCAACATTATTAATAATATATTACATGTCCTAATATTACAATATCTTCTTCTTTTTCATTTTTTTCAGTTCATAACGTCCTTATGATTAAGGCTAAACATTATTTATATATAACTTATGACAAATAACAATAATTTATAACACCTGTCAGGTATATTCTTATGTAAATGATATATCGATGACAATAAATAAGACAGTCTACAAGTGGAATTGTACTGTTGATCTAAGCTTAGATCATTTACATTATCATTTCAAGAGTGCAACAAACTAATATGGCTTTAAAACCTTGTATTCAAAAATAAATTATATTTTTCAAAAAGAACACGATTCATAGATTCATTCATTGTAATGGTTCACCTGATTCTGCATGATTGCTAAAAATCTAGAATCAATAAAATCTAATCATGTTATAAACCTATAAATGTTAAGATTATACCAACAAAAATATGACGATAGGAATTTATATCTTTAGGAATTCCGTTAAAAACATAATATATAATATATACAGTCTATAGACAAAAGCACAACCTATACAACAACCTTAAAATATTAATTGTAAATCCTATAACATTCCCCCACCTTGGAAATTCAGGTCTTAAACAATACAAAAACCAGTATTATCGTTATTGATAATTATCGTTTTGCCTGATATAACTGATTTCTTCACTGAGAAAGAAAGTTAAACTAGAGAGACATGATATTGACCAATAACGTTACATAATGTCATTGATTTAACCTTTCTCTCAGATTAGCAAGAAATTAGAACTTAATTGTTTCTAACTTAATAAACATATTTTATTTCATTCAAAACATTGATAATAAATAAAACGAGGTAACTGATTTTAATCATTACAGCTATGATTTTTTGAGAATAAAAATTAAAAGTTTTCACTGAATAAACTTGGAAAAAAAATGATTATATTATTTCTAGGTATGTAAGATTATTCCATAATTATCCGTATATAATTTAGCAAATAGTTTTAAGCAGACGACGTCCCGAATCCGGTTTTCCAATTCCTAACAATCTTTCTACCACGTTGATTTTCCCTCTGGGACCTGATTACAACAAGGGAGAGGGGAAAATTCCAAACAAGGGAGGAAAAGGAATTCTACTTCGTAATCATACGAGCCAGATATTGACGTCGTTTATGTATTGTCATTGAGCTATTATGTCACCCAAGGACCTCTCAACCTGAATCGTCGATCTCTCAAGCCGGAACTTTTCATGCAAGAGGGACTGCGCCCTCTGCAAGACCTCCTCCTTGTCGGCAAAGCCACCTGTTAAAAATTACAATCTTCAGATAGTGACAAGATTTACCTACAAGTTAAAAAATATACAGACCAACAGCTAAATGGGCCGTTGCGATATATTTTGCAGGGCTGAGAGCCCAGACATGGAGTGAATGAACGTCTTGAACCCCTTCCAACCTTGACAGGGCAGTGTGTAGCTGTATATAGTCCAGCTCTGGTGGAAAACTTTCAAGTAACACCCATACGCTTTCCCTTAGCACCGGTATTGTTGAGCACATTACTAAAATGCAGCAAAGGAATGTACACATTGGGTCAACAATCTTTGCTGACGGCTAAAATAAAATTTAAAAAGTTTAAAATCCATTCTAGTTTAAACTTCTATTGAGAGACATACATAAAATTTTATGACTAGAGCTGATATAAAAACTCCCGTGCTTTGAATAAGATCACCTATTACATGAACTACAGCGGCTTTGACATTGATATTGTCCTCATTGGAAGCTCCACCATGATGATGATTATGACCATGCCCAGTATGTAGAATACAACCCATGCTAAATTTAACCAATACAATTTATAATGAACAAAAATAAATCTTATAAATATATTACAAACATGATGTTAATAGCGATCCCGATAGCAGATACGATAAGCATAGCATCCGCATGAATTTCAAAATCTGCTTTAACTAGTCTTTCAACAGCAAGATAAATAAAAATGCCGGTGAGAATCCATATTACAGAAATGGAAAGTAATGCACCAAGAACCTCTGTGAAAAAAATATAAATTTTAAATATAGTCCCAGTTCTGAGAAGAAATTTATTTTAAATTGATAGTTAATATTAGCATTATTGTTACATTAATTTTTTAAAGTAAAACAAAATTCTGTTATAAACTCAACCAAACCTGCTCTGTGATATCCATACGTAAAACGGTTTGTTGGAGGTTGACCGGAAATCCATACGGCAAAGAGGCCCACAAGGAAGCCAACACAGTCTGAGAGTAAATGCGCAGCATCAGTCATGACAGCAAGGCTCCCTGCTATGTATCCTCCAACTAGCTCAACCACCTAAAAGTCAAGACAATCTCATCCAGGCATATTTCTTAACTTAATAAACTTTCAACAGTCACAGGCAAAAACCGGCTTACCATGAACATCAGGCACATAGTAGTGGCAGCGACAAGTTTCTTCCAGGCCTGTGAATTTGTCATTGGCATTGGTTCTTTGCAGTAATCTCTTACTTCAGGTGGATTATAGTTGTAACCGTCCTGACGCCCAGCAAAATTCAAAAATCTATTATTTTCAAAAAACTCACTGTTTTCAATACACAGAGTGTCCAACAAACAGGCTCAAAAAACAATACAAAAAAATCTAAACACTTGTTAGTTCATTGAATGTCAATAAACAATCATTTTCTTATTAATTTATGTAATAAAAGTTTATTACAAGAAAATATATTTATATGAGGTAAATTTCAATTTTGTTTTTTGTTTTTAATGAACTTACTCAAATATACAAGTAACCTATTAAGAATTATAAATGGTTGCAAAAATAGTACAAGCATTGTTAAAATTAATTCCTGTTGCATCAAGAGCATGATTTTGAACACTCTACATATGTTTTGATTACTTTCTGCACTCCCAAGGGTAATTTTTTTTAATAGTTGAAATCAAAGATATAACAAGTTAATTTGACAAAAAAAAAAAATCACAAGAAAAATATTTTTAAATTCTAAAAACAGGCATAATCGAGTAAAGTATCTACCACGGTCTCTAGTTTGGAATCAGCAAAATCTTGAGGTTTGTCCAGTAGAAGAACAATACAGAACAAGACATATAGAAGAAATCCAACCACTAAAACTAGGCCTAATAATCAAGTTAATTGATAAATTAGTATAGGTACAGAATAGGGGATACAATAACTCTCAAAGAGCGCTCTGTGCTAAATTAACAAAAATTTTACATCTACATCTATTGATTTTATACAATCAATATGAAGGTCTGATACTTCCTTTTGTTCATCTTAATGAATAAATCATTGATATATGTAAATTTATAAAACATCTTACCAAATGCAAGAGAATATTATATTTATGTAAATAATTTAAAGTTAAGAAAGGGATTCCTGTCATACAGGAGGACTTAACAGGCTTAATACAAATGGTAAGATGTTTGCAGCAATTACATACTTATGTAAAAGCTACACACATTTGTTGAACATTTAGAAAACAAATTTTAAAACCATATTAAAAAAAAGACAAGAAAAAGATTATAATGATTTATTGTTGAATAAATAATAAATAAATAACCTTGTCTTCATTGATTGGTTTTTCATAAAAGAACGAGATTATTTTTTTATGGAACATATTTACTCTATGTTCTCTCATATGATTCAATTATTTTATTATGTTTTATGGTTAATTTTCTTACTTCCTTGTTTATTCAACAGTTATTAGTGCTTAATAGTTTGTCTGTTGGAATATTTCTTATTTAAAAGTTCTCCTTTGCTGAATAGTAAATCACTCTTCAATCTTTGCATCTTTTGTTAATTCATTCAAAAGCATGCCAGAATCTGTGAAATCGTTTACAAGCAGTAGACCTGTCAGCAGTAGGCCGGTCAGCAGCCGTAGCGGTGAGAGTGACAATGAACACGTTATGCTTATTCTTTCTTCTAGGCTCTTTCTATCCACTGATTTTATATTTTAGCGAGTACAACAAGTATTAGAAGCAATTGGTCATTATGTAGCAATTTCTCTGATAAATATGAATGTGTCTGCAAGGCACACCATACAGAGCCTTTACGAGACATCAAAGCTTATCTATCTCGTAATATCCTTTCGTTCATAGGAGATAGAATAAAGTACAAAGACTGGATTCCATTGTTAAAAGCTATAAGAGGAGATAAATTTTTGCATTTTATTAACATAAGAAGTCGTTTGTCATCGGGATGTGGTAATCCGCAAAATCTCCTCTGTACGAATCGGCCAAAACTGTTTATACTTTCTTTTTTTTTAGTTATGCTAGACAACATAAACTGTGAGAAAAAAGTAAGAGATTTTACCAAAGGGCCGGTAATTTTCACAAAGTACATACTGATAAAGCTTATTAATGCTTTGTCTGAATGTCTGTCCCAATCACGAGCATTGACATGTCTTCAACTGCAAATGCTACCTTTGTACGGAGAACCAATGCAAATTTTGAGTGAGGTGAACTAATATCCAAGTATTGTTATTTTTATTATAAGTATACAACATATGATTTATTTTTGTGTTGGTGTCTAATCGAAAAAAATAATTATTAAGAATTGCATTATTATTTTTAAAACATTTTTTGTTGTTGCCTTTATTTAAGTTAAACTATAATAAATGCAACACTTCTGAAATATTTGTTTTTTTAATGGAACAGTCAAACATTTATTTTGTGATAACAACTTTTGACTTTTGCTCAGGCACTGGAACAAACTAAGTCTCTACAATATCTTTCATTGCCAAATTGCAAAATTGGTGATGAATATTGCGATGTTTTATGTAGGGCCGTAAGAAATACCACTTGTTTGATATCATTGGATTTAACAAACAACTGCCTTTCCGAAAAGGGTGCAACGAGCATTGCAAATCTGATGAAGGTAGTGTAAATTTTGGCAGTCGTTTTAAACCAAAATTTCCTATAAATTTTGTAATTCAAAAGACCCAAGAGATAGCAAGGTATGGTGAATGCTGGAAACATTCATTGAGATATCGGAATGTCCCAAACGAATTAATACCGGGTTTAAGAAGAATAACAATCAACGATAATCCTGATATTGGCGATAAAGGGCTTAATGTTATGATTGATGTGTTATTAGACGATTTCTGGATCAAAGGTATCCAATTAAAAAAAAAAAGTTTACACCACTTAACCTGATTATGTGACAGCTGTAGATATGCAAAATTGTGGGATAACTGATTGGGGGTGCAATCTAATCCAACAATTGCTTTGTGTTGACAACGAGATTGTTGTTTTTGATGTTAGAAGAAATCCAATTACAGATATAACAATAATAGCAAACATCGTCCAAACTCTAGCGATTAATTCGAATGACGAAGATAAAGCAAACGTAAGTTCCATTTATAAATTAGTTTATTTTTAATTTAGTATTTTGTTGAGTAGTACGGGTGGATAGATATTCAATCAAATACTTCTTTGGCTACTAACTTTGGATCATCAGCTCGCAATAACAAAGCAAGATCTTCGAGCGATTTAAGTACAGTGAGGAATAAAAAGTAATAGAAATGCAAACAAAAGTTATTTATAAGTTCTAAAAATTTTAAAAGCAATTTTAGTGGTAGCCAATACAGCATTAGAAGTTCTGGCTCACTGATGTGTAGTATTCCCAAGCAAATTCCTCCGAAAATGACAATGATAAAGTAATGTACATGCAATATACATAATACAAATTATCCTATTTAAAAAAAATGTATTTTTATTCTAGGAAATACCAATCGCAAAGCCCAAACCCAAAAGTGTCTCCTACTCTCACGTAATTATTAATTCTTTCCAAAATAATGGCAAAATTTTTGTTTTTCACTTTTTTTTTTTTTTAACAGTATGACAGATATTATGAAGAACATGGAGAAATACAGTTCGATAAATATTCAAAACTTTGCGATCAGAACGAAGGTTCCTGATAAACCTCAAAGAAATGGGCCGATGAAAGCAATATCACAATCTGCAGTCACAACTTACATGAACAACGAAAGGTAAATGTTCAATTGGGTCAATTTATATTATTAAAGCAATAAGTGTATGAAATGAAATACAACTGGATTGGGGGGTGGTATGTGATTTCCTTTCATGGTGTGTATCAACATTTCTCTAATGTGTGCTTTGGCTAAAAAGTAGGACTCTTGTATTAACAGCATATGGCCTGTACTGGGTCAGAAGGGTCTCTTAAATTGGCCAAAGAGTTTGATGAGAATACCTATTAGCCCTGAACCAAACTACCAAAAATGTGAGTACATCAGGCAACGGATTAAAAATAAGCCCTCAGTTCAACAGGAAAGTACCTCAGGGCAGAGGCAATAAAAAAGTTCATCAAAGGACTATCACAGAAACTAAACAGCAGAACTAATAAATCTAGGATGTGGTCTCGGAGTGGCAGAAACAAGCCTATGCAAATATTTCCAGAAAAAAGTGGAGACAGTGGAAAATTCCTCTGTTGGTGCAAAGGTTTATGTACATACGAATACTTTGGATCATGGTATGGTCTTATAAGACGATCTAATGTATTAGAGTAAGAGTGAGTGATCCAGAGTATTCAAGAATAGAAAAGTGGTCGATACATCTAACACTTAAAACGCAAGGAGAGGAAAAGCTCGGGTTTGAAGGATACACATGGTAAAAAATCTTTGGGATCTGGCAAAAAGCCTTCAGCTTAATGAGGAGCAAAACAATAAGATGCACAATAGACTGGTCATGATACAAAGGTTGTAAAAGAGTCCAACTTCTTTTTCTAATCTAGTCTAATTCTAGTTATTTAAATACAAACATGAGTACCATGTTTAATAAACAACTGCTTAATTGTACAGTTATAAATCATAACTGAAAATGTTGAAATAAAATAAAATGAATCATTATTTACAGGAACACTAATTTACCAAACTCCATACGGAATAAAAGTTTGCCACAATTGTGCTCCAGAAACAGTGGCAGATCTCGACCTCAGTCTTCAGGAGATGGACTTACCAAAACATTGATTAAACAACGTCCTTTGGTCCAGAGCAGATCTACAGATTGCATTAAAAAGACTGAAAATCCAAAAAACAATACCAAAACCAAAAATTTGAATGGCATAGAGAAAAACCCTACCAACAGCAATAAGCCAATTGTAAAAGAATGTAAGAAAAAGTTGAAACGATTACAAGAGGAGAGTTTGTCGGATAAAAGCGAACCTAATGTGTTCAGCAATATTTCCAACCACTCTATCAATTTCATGCATGAAAAACTAAAACAGAAGGTTCTTACAAAAACAGTTTCCAAAGAGAAAATAAGATCAGTGGATATGACACTGAGGCAAGAGTCATTCATATTTTCAAACATACAATTTGTAATAATTTCACTGGTTAAATTTTAGCTTGAGTTCGGATGAAAGCGACCTGGAGTTTAATTTTATAGAAAGGAATCGGATCAACAATATACAACACACATTCCACAAATTCATGAAATCGCAGGAACACCGTTCAAGTGATTTGTAAGAAAAACATTACTTACATTTTTATTCATTCGCATCACTTAATATGTTGTTTTTAGGGACAGTTCTTCTGAAGACGAGACAGTTAATTATTTTCGAAGGTTGTTACTTTGTAATATAAAGAATGTAAATGTATACTAATGCTGATTTCAATATGAACAGGTGTCTATCAAATAACAAATTTAAAAATGGAAGTGGATTTACGCTCGAATGACGAAACTGTCTTATTTGTACAATTTCAATTGACGATTCAATAGAGGAGACAAAGAAATTGTTGACAGAATAAACTTGTTTTATAATAATTATTTCAGATTACTATTCAATTTTATTCCATCCCAAAGAAAACTCATGAAATATTAATGATATGGTAAATCAAAATAGATCATTAACACATTTTGTTACTTTACAATTAAAAAAATTAATCTTCTTGTAGTGAACTTTTGGTATTTACATTGTCCTCAATTTTGAAACATAATAACAAACAGAGAATAAATATGAAATTAAAGCACCATTATTATGACCATATAATATAAATATATTTGTCTAGTACGTAAATATTACTTGTATAAAATGTTTGAAATTTTTTGAGACATAAAAATATTCTAAAAACTTATCAAACCTGACAAAGGTTTTTTTATTTAAAAAGTTAGATTATATTATTGTTGAAATTTATATTAAAATTAGTTTTTAGATAGTCTGGTAATGTATTATTAATTTTCCAATAATTTTGGCCAAGACATTCTCCCTGCCAGACTTTTAACCTCCATGATGCTAAAAATGCATTAAAAACCATGATTAAAAAACAGTGTCTGCTGGATCGGCAGAGAAGCTTTCATGTATTAAAAGCACTGTCGATAGTACGTTTTTGAAACATATGAATGGTAGAAGAAGGATCATCCTCATCTCATCTCAAGAATCAACTTCATGTATTAAAGAGTAAGTGAGATTATGAGTGCACTTGTTCTAGAAAATTGCATTGGAGGCTGAACTGACCAGCTGATAGCCCATGGAGCCAAAGCCTGACCCTAGACAGCTAACACCCAAGATGGGTGATTCTTGAAGCCTTTGTTGTAAATAACATAAAAGCTGGAATTACTTAGTGGATTGTGAGAAGTGAAAGGCTCAGCTCTGCATAAATGGGTATGTATCCACATCCATGTGCAGAATTGAGCTTATATAAATCAGTAATTCGTTTAGACTAAATTGTGCTATTTTGTACTGACTTCCACCTGTTATACTTTCCAAATTAATTATTTTTGAACCAAATATTTTGGTTCTGAAAATCACTCAGGGATATCTTAAGCATAAATCACACATTTAACATAAAGCTATGTGATAAAGTTAACACTCTTACTCCCCTTTTTTAGGTGGATACCCTGTATAAGGATGGTAACCCCTGCCAATAGCCATAATATGCATTTAGTAAGAGCTTTTTAGACCCTTGTGCACCCAGGCTTCTGAAGAGAAAGATACGTTTGTTTAGTGTTTTTTTATTGTGAAATCACAATGAGAAACCCAGTTTAGCCTTGGGTCTTATGTGCTAATAGCCTTAGAGAATCAGGTTTTTTTTTTACAGATTCTGACATCTCTTAAGCCAATAGCAAGGGTTTTTGTTTTTGAACTACTAAGATCATTTTTGATAAACCAATCATCAACTCTTGTAGGTCTTCATTTATTTATTTATTTTTTAAATTGAGAGCCAGATTTTTGCTTTGTCATTTTTGTCAGTACATGAGTTGTCATCAGCAAAACCAATTACGAAAATGTGAGCAAGACTCATATGACTCATATATAAATCATTTGTTTGAGGTCAGTTTCATAAGTCTGATTAAATAAATTTGATATTTTAGCAAAGTTATAATGCAGTAATTTTTTTAAATAAATGGTATTCGGGTCCAGGAAACTGAGTACTGAAGAAAGACCTTCTACAAAACATTACAGACAGTAATTACGAAGGTTTTTCTGTATTTAATGGCTTGGAAACCAAACTGACAAGAGCTAAATAATGAATTGGTTTCAAAATATTTGTAGATATTTTAATTGTTTTCAAATATTATGGAAAAGATAGGAGAGCAAGGAGATAGGGTTGTGATTTACGTTATCATTTTTGTCTCCTATTTGTAGGGAGGAAGAAAAAGAGTTATTTTTAAAATCTGCAGTTTGAAAGAAAAAAAAAATCGCTTTGTATAAGCATTTATTATTTGTACGATAGGTTGTTGAATATATACTGCAGCATGGAATTTTATTTATTAACAGAACGTTTTCGACCTCATGAAATGAGTGTGTCTTCAGTGTTAATTACATTTGTCTATACAATGGACTTCCCAATAATGTGTACTAACTACATACATTGTTGGGAATTCCACTGGATAGACAAATGTAACTTGGGGTTCGGGAATGGGAATATAGAAGTGGGCAGTGATATTAACAAAATTGTCGGTTGGTAATAAGTTTGTAAAATAAATCTGATTGATTCAATGTTAAGGTAGTTGAACAGATCCTCTGTTTTTAACTGATACTCTGTTCAGGAGGTTGATGATGCCACGATGATGTCTGATATCATCAACCTCCTAAACAGAGTATTAAAGCTGAGGCCCACAAATCCGACCACTATATCGGATTTTAAGTGATAACTGAATTGGAACGAATGGAAAATATGGTTAAATATTTTTTTTCTGTAAAAATTTGATGGAAGGAAAAATTCATAAATTTTGCATGTAAAACTTTGATTTTAAACAGAAAAAATGTCCTTTGCGAGTGCAAGAAAGTAAAAAAGTCGATATTCGTGAGGGGACGAAATAAAAAGCGATAAAAAAAATGAATGTGAGAGCGAGCGAGCGACGGACGGGATTAAACGCAAGCAGCGGATGAATGAAATGAATGGACTCACGATGCCGTTTAAAAGAGGGACGTCGGCTTCGTCGTCGGGGCAAATCCTCCTCCCGGGCCCGGGGGCGGCTGTCGCCGCCGTCGTCGTCTTGTCTTGGGCTTTCATGTACGGAGGCGAGTCGGACGAGTCGCCGTCGCCGTAATAGGCCGCCTCCGACCTCCTCATTCTCCTTTCTCGGTAGTATTCCTCGTGTAACGGGTTGATGCGGATGCTCCTGCTATGGCCGGCCATCCGACGACCTCGCTCGGGACTTGGGGGCCGTCCGGACAAAACATGCACGTCGGAAACTAACTCGGTCCGACGAAGGGGCGACTGTCGCTAGCGGCAGGAGGCGGGCTTCCCCTGGCTAACGGGCGGAGGGTCAATGAGGGATTAGACATGAGTTGTGGAATGGTCGAGTCGCTGATAAGATGTAGATCAAAACATAAAATAGATAAGGGAGGCTAATGTTTCATTTGATAAATAGCAGCTGTTAACAACTTACTGTTAACAATCATGGCGGACACTTGTATCCACTGATAACAACAGTCTAGACAACAGACTACAAGCTGCCAATACTGGTCACTTAAGACGTTACCACAAAATTTCTCTTTTAACATAAAACAATAAAATTCTTAAGCGAGTCAAAAATTTACAATTTCAATTTGCATTACATTTTTTTCATTAACTTTATTATTGTAATAAAAATAAAAACACATACATTGTTAACTTACAGAATAATTAATTTTTATTGTATAATAATAATATTAAATTTGATGGAATTAATTCAATTTACAAAAAATATAGAAATATACAATACAAAAGCAAAAATAATAAAATAAAGAAAAAATATTGAAAATAGTGACAGATAATTTAATTTAAAAAATATATATAATAATTCATGAATTAAATAGTCGTTATTAGTTAATTAATTACTAGAAAAAGATAAACATTTCTTAACATTTAAACAAAATATTAAACAAACCAAATTCTTTTTATTTACATAATTATTTAATTTTGTGCTTATTATGAAGAAGTGTACCTATGCCTCACTCAAGTGTAGTGGAATATACTTATAAATTACATATAAATTTCACAATTTGGGTTCATTTATAAATTATTAATAGAATTGATTGTCCTTTATTACTTTCTTGTCTAAATTTTCGTGTTCAATTCTATAATCAAAGACTTTTTGAAATTTTCTTTATTTCTAACATTTCTGATGTTTAAGGAATAAAGGTTTATTAAAAAAAAAAAAAAAAAAAAAAAAAAAAAACCATTTTAGACAAAATACATACATATTTTTAGTAAATATGTAATATAAAATATAAAACAAAATATTATAAGAAGAAAAACAAAATAAATTTGGTATGATTAAAAGAACAATTTTAAAATAAACAAAACCAAATTTAAACTAATATTATTCTTTAAAATTATTGGGTACGACATGATATTTCAATTTTCAGAATTGCAATGGTGACAATCAGATCAAAATGAATTTGTATTGACTAAAGGAGTGATGTTATTGGATATATTTTTTTCTTTCCAAAAGGTAGATTGGGGATGAGGCCAGGAAGACAGAAACAACATTTATTTTCTTGTCGAGCTTTCAGCAGAATATATCGCCTTCATCAGGACTTCGAAAAAAATCGTTATACTATATGAACAGGTACTTGTGTGGATAACGGATAGCCGGTAGACGTTCATATAATATAACGATTTTTTTCGAAGTCCTGATGAAGGTGATATATTCTGCTGAAAGCTCTACAAGAAAATAAATGTTGTTTCTGACTCCTGGCCTCATCCCCAATCTACCTTTTGGAAAGAAAAAAAAAAAATTTAAACTGAGAAGGCTGATCAATCACCAAAGAAAAGATGTGTTATTGGAGTGAATTTAAAACTTGAAATTTCTATTGGGTTTAAATTATTTCTGGTCATGAAATTTCTCTCTTGAATCCAGTATGTTTAAACTCCACATCTTCCTTATTTTATTCCAAATTCTCCTCTAGCTACGTCTAGTTTTTTAATAGTTGATTAAACTACACAAATACTCTTAATAATGGACATATTGGGCATTCTCAATAATAATGGATATATTGGTTTTCCAGTTGTTGTTTTTTTAAGATGCATATGCCATACAATGCCCATTGAAAATACTTATTCATTCAAAAAATTATCAAACATTTATTCCAATGAAATCACCTGATATCATTGTTTGCGAGGAATTGAAAAGATAGGCAAAAGATTAAAAAATGTCCTCTTGTAGCTTACGCCGTTTATTTTAAGACAACAGTAAGACTTAAGTTTATATAATATAATATACATAATATTTTAATTTCTTGCATTTTTCATAAACAATTAACAAAAATTAAAATTTATTGAAAATTATGAATAATGTTTAACTAACATAATTTAATTTTTTCTCAAAACCATGAAAACCACTTGGACAGTCTATTCAGTGAATCTGCCGGGTAATATTTTTACCTATGTAACGTATGGTGTATGAAATAATGAGAATATTCTGTGCTAAATAAATGTTTTATCCTGTTTTAACTAGTTGAAAATGTTTCCCAAATGATGAAGTTTTAAAGCATCCCTGATGAAGTCAAAATCATCAAAATCTGGATTGAAACTACTCTCTGAACCTGATCAATGTGCAGTTACATAAAACTATATGCCTTTCTCTTTGTACAAAAATTGTAAATATTTTTTTATAGTGATTTATAGTATTTCTGTTATATATTTTTTAATATATTTTTATCATATATTTTTGTTATACTTTTTACTTAATATTTTTTTATACTCATTATAAATGTACATATAATAGCCGCTCAACCTTAAAATTCCTCTGGATTCTTACTTGCATAAAGTTCTTGTTTCTAATCAAACCTTCTTTAATATGTACGAGAGTACAAAAATGTGCAATTATGTACAAATAGATACTTTTCTCTTTGTCCAAAAATTGTAAATTATGTATATTCGTATAATTTTATCAATATGTGCGTAACTTTAAATTATTTTATGCATATATTGTTATTGCAAATTTTATTATTCTGTTTTTTTTCTGTCTCCAATTTTTTGAATGGCTTTGTTAATATGCAATATCACATTGTTTTATTGTTAATTTTGTTCCAAAATAATTCGAGATGAAATAAATAGATTGCTAAGAATTTATCGCAATTAAATAAATTTCCGGTTTGAAAAATAGAAATTCGCGAGAGAGAAAACTCGTGAGTCCATTTACGAGCTATAGAAATCAAGAGTGGGAGGGCCGGTTCTAAAATAACAAAAATTCACTTTAAGTTCAGATCTGAATAGAATTTATTTAGGGTCATCGGATGTGTCGGGAGTTGTGAGATATGACTCGCAAGGGATGAAGTGAGGCGTGTGGCCTGTGGCGTGAGACGTGAAGAGTGCGTGGTGGGGGCTCAGCCGTGGTGGGGCGGCCCGTGAACGTCGACGAACGGAGGCGAACTCCGCCGAGGCAGATCCAAAGATGGCGGTGGAGGCAAAGAACGAGAGGTTCTCTTTTCTCATGTGAGTGAGGCTCCGACAGAGAAACTCGACTCTCACGGTCTAAACCGGCGGCGCTCCATGACAGCAGCCTAGCAGGTAAGCCTTGGGCGTCTGGGCCTTTTTCCGCCCTCGTCCTCCTCATCCTCGATCCCGTCCCTCTGCGAAACGCCTCCCTTCCCCGAGGGAAACGCGCCACTCGGATTCATTCCAGCTTTTTAAGGGCCGGGGCGAGTACTATTTTCGATTCTGGCCGGCTCTCCGTTTTACGCCTCTTTCACGTTCAAACCCGATACTACACTCGTGACGACGTTGTCAGTAAAAATCCGCCTCTTTTGCGTCTCGGCCCGTCACCCATTCCGACGTCGGCTCGGTTAAAAATACAATCTCGGAAAATAACATCAATCCTTATTTAGACCATATAAACTCGAGACGGGCCTGTCCCGACGATAAGATAACACCCAGTTACGGACGATTTTTGACAGGTGGTTGTCGAACGCGTACGACGTCGTCGACTGTTCGTCAGACAGCCGTCGCCGGCCAGGAATGCGCCTGGCGTCTGACGACTACGAAATCCCTTACTCTGCGTCTTCCTCTATCAATGGGCCCTTTGTCTGGCCCCATGCCGATTTCACTCCTCTCCTCTCTTGTTTATACTACATAACTTGGCAAAACAATCTCACCATTCGACCGAAAAAAAGTAAACAATATATCTCTAGTTAACGACTTGCATAAATAAATATAAAGAAATATAAACCGGCGTCTTGCTTTTCCCAAAGCTGAGACTCCGACTATCAGTGTGCTTACTCATCCATATTCACAAAACACCAGACCTGTTTATTGTAGTCTTATCGCCATCTGATATTCTTAATAATGCTGAATTCAACATGTAAATCATCGAAGAATTTTTGACTTGGGGCAGATTTCAAAACAAATATTTATATAGGTAAATCTCTTGCTCTGCATCGACCTAGCTTCTAAAGCTGTCAGTTCTTCCTGGTAAGCCGTTGAGCGAGCTACGAGGACTTTTCTGCAAATCTGCATTTTTAAATCGTGAGTGCTTACCGATTGTAATAGGATCCCTCGAATGTTATTCTCTCATTTTAAAACACTTCCATTTTAGTTTCTTAATTATATTTTATTACAAGTTACTAATTTTTTAATGTCACTACGCAATTCAGTAAAAAAAATCGTTATGTTATCTCAACTGTATTACGCTTATCTTTATTAAACCATAAATTGCTTATATACAAAAGATACAATACACTTCTGTTCAGCTTTTTTCTCTGTATAATAAGCAGATATATTTTTTCAACATCATTTTTATGGGACCAATTCAATAGAATAGGAATATGAAAATATCCTTCTTCTCTAGTAAATTTGTACCAAGACAAACACTCAACATATGTATGATATTCTTATTTATGTTTCATTTTCCTGCACCAGCTGTTTATTAATGTTCCATTATCCATTTCTTTCTATTGACAACATTGTTGCAGCTTAATGCAATAAAAATGCATACATAAACTGTATCAAAAATATTTATTTAGAAATCGTGAGAAGCGGTCTGGTGTGGATGTAGGTTTCAGAAAAACATTTTCTTTATCGTGCCAACATTTCGATCTTTATTGAGATCATCTTCAGGGCCTGGGATTTACAAACATTGTTTACATATAACAATTACATTTTGGATGTGGAAAAGTGGATTTATACAATGCAAAATATATTTTTTTATATATTCAATCAAAGTATTTCTACTCACTCAAAATGTTTGTCTTCTGTGTAATTGTGCCATTCTTGCATGTTGTGTCGAGAGTGCCAGTGAAATTTTGCTATTTTGTGTTTATATATGTATATAAATCCCAGGCCCTGAAGATGATCTCAATAAAGATCGAAACGTTGGCACGATAAAAAAAATGTTTTTCTGAAACCTACATCACACCAGACCGCATCTCACGATTTCTAAATAAATATCGATTAACGGTCACTAATTACCACACATGTATCAAAAATATTTTATTCATTTTTACTTATGAATTTCTGGTATTTTGACAAGGCATGCTTCATTATGTATTATTCATTCATATGCATATACTTCAGATACATGCGTAATGAATCTATATCAGCAGAAATTTATTTACTGTGATGTTCCAATTTTGGCATTTTGATGAGGCGTAGGATGCTTCAGTATATATATGTATCAGATAAGTACACATGAATCTATCAGCAAAAGTTTATTTATTGTGATATTCAGTTTTATCATGTTGATTCTTGTCCATGCTATAGATATTCATAAATCCTCATACCAAAGACACGCTTCCTTCTCATGCCGTTTATTTATAAAAGGAGTTCATGATTCATGCTATCATAAATGATCAAACTTTCAGAAAGATTCTAGGTTTAATATCGTGTACATATATGTATTTTATAGATTCCTATGTATATAAGGAGCAGGATATGCATTTTGTTCATTCTGGCATGTTGACAAGAGCGATGATGCTTGAATAAATAATTTATTCCTTGTTATGTTTATATACAAAGCCATTCCTGATTTATGCGATAATTAGATACAAACACCTCAGTTCAATTCTATGCTTAAAATATATATTTTTCTATTTATTGTATTTTATAATTATAAGAACAGAATATTATTTTAGTTCATTTCTGGCATGTTGACAAATGCGGTAAATAATTCATTCCATCTCTTGTAATTAATTTGTAATGCCGTTCATGATTAATGTAATCACCAGGTATCTACCGACCGGAAAGATTCTTTGATATGTATCGTACACTTGTGTTTTGGATACATATAAGGTTTTGTATTCATTTTTGGCAGTTTGACAAGAGTAGTGGTGCAACATTTCAATGTCATGCTGTTTATTTGAAAAATCCATTCATAATTGTTGAAATCTCTTGATACAAAACAAATCAGAAAGATTCCTTTTGTTTTGGATTTATGGATATATTTATAAATATATTTGTATTGTATATACATGCATGTGTATATGTGATTCATAACGGGCTATTCGTTTCTGGCATATTGACAAGACATGATTCATTCCACAGTTGAAAAACTGGGTCAGTCATGCTATCATCAGGTACCAAAAAAAACCATAAACACATATTAATTGATACACATACAATAATGAAAGATGTGAACAGTTAAAATTAATAGGAGGTGTCACATAAGATACTTTATACTATTTTCAATTACATTCTTCCAGGAGCTATTAATACAAGTTTAGCGTAAGTTTACAAAATATAATTTTTACAGGAAAATGACTTATATGGCTTAGATTAATCCATCATTCTTGAGTCTACATTTGATGTGTATATTTTCTTTTATTTACTTGATTGTGTTAGATTTCCGCATGCATATCACGATTTAATTTTTTTCTTTCAAATCTACCTTCAGACCTTAATCTTTATTTATAATAATCTATTCAACAAGTACATAATTTTTTTAGTTAAGATCATATTTTGTATGATAAGAAATGTCATAAGTAAACGGAAACTAAGGTGTCGATAAATTTTTGCCTAGTTCATTTATTAGATCTTTCAGGTAAATTGAAAATAACGTTGAAGATAAAAGACTACACTGGGTCAGATTGCTATTGAGTGTTATTAAATAAATTAATCTGATAAGCCTATTATCACTAATTTATATCAATGATAACTTTCTAAGTATAGAAGTAAAGTAACAAGTTTATTCATGTTAAATTACATTGTCTGGTTAGTGACAATACGTTTTTTTAAGTTTGATGGTAATGTTTAAGTTTCAGCTTCTAAAACTATCTTATTCTTTTGGCGCTATAATTTGTTTTTTGAAGTGATAAATTTTAATGTTTTGCATATCTTTACGCCATTATTTTCTTTAGTTTTTAAACAGCCAGTCAATATTTCATCAATTTTAATGTATTAATTTTATATGAGGGGAAAATAAAAAATAATGTTACATTTAAAAAAATTGTTATTCTTACTACTTTATTAATTTTTCGTCTTTGAATCTACATAAGTCAAGTTGAGGAAGGAAACCGTGATAGCTGAGTGATCAGTGTGATAGACTCTCCACTCGTAGACCCAGCAGTTGTGAATTCGATTCAACACCATCGCCCCTGCCCCTTTTTTTCACGCATATTAATAATCGATGGAACCATGTACTTACTAATACGCAAGCTCATAAGGCCATTAAAAAAAGGTTGAAGAGCGTTCATAGGTAATTTTCTTGTTACAAATTACCTGTATGCTCTCCTGCAATATATGGTTAGGAAACGAAAACCACGGCGGCCGAGTGGTTAGCTACATATGTGGTGCTGGTTTGGAATCCCAGCTAGCCCATAACATTTTATTGTAAAGGGTATTGGTTGTTAAGTTATGAATCGCTATAAATAAGCTCCTGTATGATAGGAATTACTTTGTTTTCATATTATTACATGAATACATGATTAGTAAGCATTTTATGTACACTTTTAAATTGATTTGTTTAAAACAGTCCATATCAAAACAGATATTTAACGTATAAAACGTTTTCTTTTCTTTAATCAAATAGGCTATATATCTCTGACGGATTTGACATGAAATCTGTACGTGAAGTAATAAACAGGATTTTTTTTAGGGTTTATAACGCAAATATTTTTTATTTCTTGACCCGGATTAAGGGGGACAAAGACACTTAAAATTTATATGGTCCATTGTGGGAGAATATAATTTCCTATAAAGAAATGAGGAATTTCTTATCAGTTAACATTGATGCAGTCATAGCAATTTTTGGATAAGGATAACATTTCTTAGACGATTTTTTAATAGTAATGATGTAGAATTGTTATATAAAAAATTTAGGAAAGAAGAAAGAATAAATAAATAAATTAATTAATTTAATAAAGAATTTGCGCTTTATTACTACTGTACAGTACTCATTCATCCAAGTAACAAAAATCCCAACCAAAGTAACAAAAAATTTAAATGCTGAATGATTTTTGACTCATAATATATATGTGATCGTATTTTTTTTGCAAAAGAAAAATTGACTTCTCTTGTATCATGTAAACCTGCTTTAATTTTCAATATTATGGAATTTTAACTTATTTATCAGAATGTTTGTATAATTGAGCTTGTTTGTTGTTTGGAATATACTATGCTTCTTGATTTAAATAATTTAAAATTGAACTCACTGTACTTGTATCAGCAGTTATAATTTTAACTTCCATTGTGAGATTATCGATTTCACTTTTGATGTTCAATCTGGGGGAAAAAGATAAAACTTATTTTATTAAACTTATTTTTAAGCAAATTTAAATTTATGTTTAAATATGTATTTCCTTATTCTAAATATAATATTATTACAGCAGGCAAAAGTGAATAAGTGAGAAGCAGTCAGAATTGAAGTTTCAAATAGCCCAAGACCACAATTATCCCGACTGACCACAACAGCATCAATCATGTGTACGTATTGTTTTTATATTATATTACCTTGAGACTTCCTCTCCGATTTTAAACCTCACAACCTCCTTTATTGACATTTTGCTGTGTTCACCTCTTCTCTCCTTTTGACGTTTTAACGCTTGACTAACTAGCCAATTTTATATACGTTTAGTGTTAAATCCACAGGTGGAGTGGGGGATTTGTGTTATTTGTCAGGAAAGAATAGACTGCGCTATAAATTGTGAATCACTTTCAATTCCTTTGTTGAACTTAACCCAGTTTTATTCTTGATGCCTGTCCGAATAATAATTATTTAAGAGGCTTTGACATCAAACCAACCCACAGATTACAAATTAGCTTTATGCCCATGCGGATTTGATTATTATGTAATGATGACAGGTATTGAATAATGATTCGACTGTCGGTCAGAAGTTGAGCCTTTACATTAGAAGTGGTTTGAGTAGCTGTTCATGCAATCTCTGGTATTGATATTTGTCAAAATTTTAACGGGCTGACGGCATTCAGTTTTAGTGACCATCTGTTGAAATTCAATAATCAGGCATTATATAAAACAATTTATTTGTTAAAAGTAAAATTATCACATAACACTTCTACCAATAGAAATGATGAATAGTGGAGTGAGTGTGGTGTTCAATCCTTTTAAAAAGATAATTCCTACTCAATACGCCTTCAGTAAGGCACTCACTTCTACCAATTCATGACACTTTGTAAAATAGTAAAGAACAAACATTTATACAAAATCAATAATAATAATTGTACATATAACAAAATATTACAACTTATATTTATCTCTTGATGAACTGCTGAAGCAGCAATAGATCACTTATTGGGACCTTCTTCACTCGCAGGTTTGTTGAACCTCTCAAATAAGTGATCCAGTGCCAGTTCAGCATTAGTTCATCGACACCAACCCAGTATCAACTCTTATATTTATTTTACCTTTTATAACAAAAAATAAATAACAAAAAAGCTTTCACATAGCTACATTACATTCCAAGATATATATTTAACACTTAAAAAAAAAAAATAATAATAATAAAATTTTTTTTTTTTTTTAAATGTGGCAGTCGTTTGGGACATCTCAATCATATTTGTCATGTTAGTAGTTCTGGGTTCAAATCCCGGCATAGCCCTTGGAATTTAACATAAAAATAGTAAAGTGAGTGTTATGAGGCTTTTTATTACATGAATGGATTTATGCAAAAATAAGAAGTAAATTATAGGGAAAAAAATTAATTTGGTTTAAAAAAAGAAACCTATAAATTGTGGAGACAATTAGGATTAAGGAAATAAAATAATTTTCCCTAGCATAACTTTAAGTTCAACATAGAAATAAACTTCTACTTCTTTCAGAATTAGTATTGTTCAATTTTGTAGCATGGATATTATGCTATTATATCAGTTTGGTCTTAATTACAGGTATGGGGAGGGAGTTGGTAACGGCGTGTATCTTTTGTTTGCTGTGCACAACACACGCCCATTGCTCTTCTCACCATGATATCAACAATTCCCATTCAGTCAACGTCAAGTATAACGATGGCGGAGGCGGCAAGTTGGTCCCAGTCTCACACCTTGCAAGGTAAAGTGTATGATTCAATTCTCAAACTAGAATACTGAAACGGTATGTTTCCAGCGTCAAGCCGAGACATGTAAGGGAGGTGAAGCCCACAACCAGTCTCACGGGCATCTCAAATGAAGACTACACACACTTTGTCTTCTACACATTCGGCAATGGGGAAATCCTGACTAGAGGAGGATTTGAAAAGCTCCTGGATTCTCTTAGGCTCTCGATCAGCCAGGATACAACAATAAAACAAAGTATTTTGATATATTGTTTATTTTCTCGATTATTCAATTGAATAACTTTAGCTAAAAGGTCCATTTTGAATAATTAAGTCATTATGTATTGCTCATTTATTTCATTTTATTACAAAAATCATTAATTTCTGTAACTCACAATGTTTTTCATTCATTATTAATAATGAAAGAACAATTTTTCATAGTACAATGTGAAAATAATCATAGAAAACCGTTATTTTTATAATTTTAATTTGTTCGGGTGTATTTTTTTTAAACAGAAACTACTTTTTCTTCTAAAAAAAAAATCATGTTAGAAAACAGTACAAATGGGGAAGATCAGTTGCTATGAATTCTTGAAAATATAGTGTGTAGCAGCCAGAAAGTCAATTATTTGACGGTCAAGTACAAAATATTTTATACAGATCAAAATAATTAATTGAAAAATAGTAGTAGTCATAAGTTTGATTGATTTTTTAGGTTGTTTTCAGTAATTTGTAGATTCTATGAATAAACATAAACATGAACAGGTAAAAGAGTTATGAAATTTTGGATTATACATGTAGAAATATATCAATGATAAATGTTTTATTAATGGCATATCTACTGAATTTAGAAATTAATTATTCCTAATGTATAGTTGGGGAAAACTATTTTATTTTATATTAGTTCTATTTTTAGCTGTTTCACGCCTAAAAAGATAATTATAAGTAGGACTTTTTTATTGTTATAAGTTGGAATTTTAGTAAATATAATTATAATAATTTCTAATATTGTAGTTTAATCCTGTTTCGCAGATTTTGTCCATTAGATTATGATTCATCCATTAGATGTTTCGATTTTGACAAAATGTTGAAATAAGTTTAATAGACAAAACCAGCGAGTATAGATTTGCCAAGATTGATCAAAGATAATCAAATATGTTCATTACCTTGTAGATGCAATAAAATTTCCCTAAATAAATTAGTTTATTATCATTATTAGATTTTAATTAATAATAAATGGGCTTTTCTTTCCTTTTGTTCTCAAAAGACTGCATTTTATTATTTAGTTACAATTATTTTATAAAGTATTGATTTCTCTAATGTTTAGATGAGACAACAAATAAAAGGATATCGAAGAATTCAACAACAAAATTAGTAAGCTTTGGTCAACTGATATTTTATTTTTTATACAAATAATTGTTTTACTTTTTTTTTTGTCCTAAAAGGAGTGTGGTAAGCTGTTGCCAGAAAACAAGAATGAGATATCCCAAGTTGATTACAGGGAGCTATGTCCTAGAATTCTGTACCAACTGATGCCAGAGGAAACTGGCGGTTGTTTTCACAGGCCGACCCACAAGCATTCGCACCATCAGCATGAAGATAAATTTGATGATTCTGGCTCGACTGCTGCAGGTAAGGGATATATAATTATTACAGTTTGTTTTGAAACTGAAAGAGATTGTTTTCAGCATGGGTGTATGCTAGTATTAGTGTCGTCTTAATTAGTCTTTGCGGTTTGCTGGCTGTAGCTGTGATACCATTAATGCAGATGTCTCTGTACCAAGGGCTCTTGCAGTTCCTCGTAGCACTCGCAGTTGGCACTCTCTGTGGTGATGCTCTTCTCCATTTGTTGCCACATGTAAGTTTTCATTATTTGTACGTCTATTTCCTAATTAGAAAACTAATTTCATGGGTGTGTAGGCTATGATGACATCGCACCCACATCATCATGCTCATGGCCAAGGAAGCGAGGAAGAAGTGGATCAACATGAAATAAACTTGTGGAGAGGATTAGTTGCAGCACTGTCCATTGTGTTTTTCTATTTCATGGAAAAATGTCTTTCATTAGTTACTGAGTGGAAGAAAAAATACCAAAGAAAAACCAAGGTAGTGGTTTTTTTGTAATTTTTTATTTTTATTTGCTTCTTTAACTGGTTTTGTTGTTTGATAGACTAACACCAAAGTGAGGGTTATGATTGAAGATCATGGTAACGAGGAGGCAGAGGCTCGTGTAGGTGAAAAATTATGTAAACATAAATACAGTTCATATCCTTACTGTTATGGAGAAATAACAAGCAGTACCGGTAAGTCTGATTTTTTTGTTTATTTAAAATATCCCCACTTTAAAATTGGTTCTGTAAGCTCAAATGATAATATAAAGACATAAGAAGGGGAAAATAATTAATTTTTGTTGGTTACAACAATCGTTTCTCTATACCAGAGAAGAAACTTGATATTTCTTGTGAAATATGGTAGGTATGAATTTTTCAAATCGCCATTCAAACTAACTTCATTAATCATGTAATAAAATGTATATAATAAAAACATCTATCATTAGTTACATTACAAGACATTAAGAAACTGTATACATAAATAAAATGAGAGAGAGAGAGAGAAACAGAAGTTGGAGAAGAATAAATTTATTTTCAAATATTATTTTTAAATGATATTTATTATTAGTTAAAAAATAAGATAATGAAAGTTCTACTAAGTTCATAATTTAACACATCAATCAAAACTAAAGAATTGATCAGAAAGCCATGTGATAGACTTTTGACTGAATGACTTTTTTTAAAGTACTTTTACATGTTAAAATTAACACTAATTTGTTAAAATGCAACTTAATCCATGGTATATAGTCTCCATTTATAATTTTCTGACATCTTTCAGATAATAATTGTACAGTATCATCATCTTAGGAGGGAGGGGGTCAACAAATTTTGGCATTAAAAATTATTATTTACTTAATCCATGTTAGCATCTATGGTTAGTTAATTAATTATTCTTTTTAATGGGCGAGATTAAAAAGATAGTGTCACGAGCAGGATTTGAACCTACGACCTTCGGCTCAATAAGCCGCTGCTCTGATCACTTGAGCTATCGTGACTTCAATCCACTCAGACATCATCTCCTCATCTCAACCTGCAACTTTTCGAATTTTCCCTCTTTTTGCAATATTTCAAATGTTGCATAGTCAGGATTCAACTCTCAGCAACATAGGAAGTGGGGTGCTGTTAGCAAAGTAATTACTTCTTTAATAATTATCATATTAACACATATATGTTTAACGGTCATAATTGACCATATTAATTTCACTTAATTAATCTTTTTATCATAATGTCTTGGTTAAGATGAAAAAAAAAAATTTGTGCATAGTGTAATGTGCATTGTGTAGCATAATGGCAGATTTGAAATGTTGAGCATTCGATGTGCTCGATTTAAAAATTAAAATTTACACAAATCAAACGCATCTACGAATGGATTAATTCAAATATACAGAAGGTCCTCCTATTCGGTGGAATTACTTAAACATAGGCAGAACTGTGTGGCTTCTTTCTACGAAACGATACGTCGCAAAAAGTGCACTCAAAAGTTGAAAATCAAACTTAAATTTTAAAAACCTTTGGTGAAAAGTCATGTTTTTTTATGTTCATGTTTTCTTTTTCTTGACTTCTGTTCAATATTTTGAAATGCTTGTTTTTTTTAATTTAAAAAGAACTTAAAACTAACGGATTTATATAGTGCTTTTTTGTAAGTAAAATACAGGCCCTAAGAGGGGGAAAAAAACAAAAGGAATGATGAATGTTAGTTAAGTGGTCATCATTGAATGATGACAATTAAGAGCAGATTTTTATGAAATATTTAATGTCGTGTAAAAAATTAAAATAATATAAAATTAATATAAAATTTATAAAATATAATTAAAAAATAATATAAAATGAAAATAAAAAGTTTAAATTAATCCGTTCTTGAGAAAAAGTAACACCAATTCAGGTAATTGTTTAATACGCGTTTTCAGACAGTATTAATGCTGAACAACAACAAAATTAGCAACACTGTAATTTTTGGTGCTTCACAAGAAAGCCACCAATAAAATGGGATCAATCGCGTTGTGAATGAGTTATTAGTTTAAGATATTAAATCAAAATGGAAGGATTAGGAAGAAGAATCCGAAAATGGGTTGATCCCCCTCCTTAATAGCTTTGATTAATCCATATATTTTTTCTAAAACGTATCTAACGGAAAAAACCAGAGAAAATGGACCCAGGATTATTGGGAGTGAATGATACAGAAAACAAATAATTGCAACTAATTATTCACTAACGAAGGTTGATTTTTCTCTAATATTTACATATAATGTCAATTATAAACTTTATTCATACACATACCACCAAATTACCTTTGGGTTTCATGCTTATAAATGGTTCATTTAGCTCTTCCTCACTGAAGATAAATCATTGATCCCCCTCCCCAAAAAAAGCAAAGTGCACACAGATACATGTTAAAATAAATTGGCTGTGAGTTGGTTATTTTCAACTAAAAGCCTCAAGTTGGCCTTCAAAAAAAAACGGCCAGATTACCAACAACCTTTATACGTATGCACATCTGTATTTGTTTGACTGGCACTCTTTCTTTTACTAAAAGTAGAAAATTAATGAGTGAAATTTTATGTAACTGTAAACTTTAGTCTATTGTCTTGAAATATTGCTCAAGGCCAAAAATCTGACAACTATCTGATCAATCTAATATTGTATGTTATTAGCACGAATAATTAAAAATCTTATAAGCTTGAGGAAAATAAAACTACATGTTACATTTATTGTTGCTTTTTCCTATTAATCAAAGTTGTTTTATTGTTTTGTGCACTCTCAGAGCTGTGAGATGTACGCTGAAGGAATTTCATTTGTATAAAATGACTAGGGTTGTTTTATTAGATGGTCATCGAGTTGGAGGTGAGTCGGAAATTAATAACATCAGCAAGATGAGAGATGAAAATGGGACAGCCAAAATTCAGGAAGTTGGCGTTCAAGAGGTAAGCCTAAAAAGATTACTTGAATCCAAATAAGACACATTAAAAAAAAAAATAATAATAACAGTATACATTTCTTAATTATATTAATAGCATTATTTTTAGTTTTCTGATTTTCCTTGCAATTTCAGGATGTAGATACACACAAAGAAGATGCGCCTGGTTCTGAAAAACAACTCTTGGAGACGCCAAGCGATGTGCACAGTGACTACACGACTATAATCTTGAGGTGAGATTCAAAGAGAAAACAATATGATTGCATTTACGGTTTTGATGAGCGAAGTTTTCTAATAGCTTACAGTTGCTTTTATGATAGTGTCCTGCATATGAGTCAAACTGAAATAATTTTATTGCTTAGGACAGAACGAGATTAGTTCTTTGGCAGCTCATCAACTGTGATTATATAATCTCTTAATTTTGATGTGAGTAAAAAAAATATTGTGGACGTGTGGATCACAGCCACACAGAACTGGCTAGATGGTGAATTCTGGGAATTGTTCTAGGACATTAGACACTGATTTCAATAGGGTTGTTCGTTTAATTTCAAATTTAATAGGCTTGATTAAAACAGGAAAACTTGTCTTGAAAAGTTAGTTATAAAAAAGCAGACTTCATTTTTTCTGTTCATTTTGATGATGGTCATTATGTTTAATGTTAATTTCAATTTATTGATTTTAACTTACAATTTGATGGGCTGGTTAGAAAAAATTCATACTGTATTGAATAAGGGTTGTACAAGTCTTGCACGGTTCTTTTCTATTGTACTTAAGTGGAGCACAAGTATAAAGAGATGGTCTTACAAATGTTTTGCTACTTAACTAAAGCCTTTTCAATGATTTTGTTGAGTGTGGTTAAAAAAAAAAAAGATAGAATTAAAAATAAAATAAATGGCGTGGTCTATGGAGTACCTCAGTATGAAATCAATTTTGTTGCTGGGTGTGTATTTGTGTGCGTTTTATTTGATTGCATCTAAATAAAAATTATTTTGGCACTTTTTTTCTTACAAACTAGTTAAATGTGCAGTAATTTAGGTTTAAGTAAAAAAAAGGCAGATGAAAACAGTGTATCAACAAAGTCAAGGATGATATTTAACAAAAATAAGGCAGATATTTCCCATATTTTATTATTATCGGGTTGTCCGGAAAATAATGCAGGATTTTAAGTTTTCATTAAAAAAAATCTATATAAAATATTCTGTTTACGTTTACAGGATTACTCATTTGTATGAATGTCAACACTTATTAATCCTCTTCCAAATGATATTGTTTGTTTACCTCTGTAGCATTCCGCTACTTGGAAATAATTCAGTCATCCTTATAATGTCAAAGCGAGAATTTCGTACGATTTTCTTTTACGAGTTTAAACTCGGCCGAAGCGGAGCCCAAACGGCTAGAAACATTAACCAAGTCTGGGGCGAGGGTTGTGTTAATGAGTGCACTGTGCAAAGGTGGTTTAAAAAATTTCGGGAGGGAGATTTCAGCCTTGAAGATGAAGAAGGTCGTGGAAGGCCTTCCTCTCTTAATGATGATGTTCTGCGATCAGTGGTGGAAGAAAACCCCAAAACAACTGTTCGAGAACTTGCAGAGCAACTCAAAGTCAGTAAAACGACCGTCGCTGACCACCTCAAGGCGATTGGAAAAGTGAAAAAACTCGAAAATTGGGTTCCACACTCATTAAACGATCGCCAAAAAAATCAGCGCTTTGATGTTTGTGCATCACTTCTTTGTCGAAACAAAAATGACCCATTTCTGGCCAGAATTGTTACATGTGACGAAAAGTGGATTCTCTACGATAACACTAGACGTTCTGGACAGTGGCTCGACAAAGGAGAAGCTCCAATACATTTTCCAAAGCCCCCAACTCATCAAAAAAAGGTAATGGTTACGGTATGGTGGGCTTCATTTGGTTTAATACACTACAGCTTCTTAAATCCTGGCGAAACCATCAATGCTGAATCATACTGTAACCAAATTAATACCATGCATCAGAAATTGGCAGTAATGAAGCCCTCTTTGGTCAATCGGAAAGGGCCCATTTTGTTGCATGACAACGCTCGACCACATGTGTCACGTGTAACGTCACAAAAATTATTGGAGCTTGGCTATGAAACTTTGCCTCACCCACCCTACTATCCGGACCTCTCGCCTACTGACTACCATTTTTTTAGACACCTGGACCACTACTTACAACACATAATATTCAAAAATCAAACGGAACTGGAAAATGCATTTATTGACTTTATCAATTCTAAAAATTCTGAATTCTACTCAGACGGAATTAATAAGTTACCAACACGTTGGGAGAAATGTATTGAGAGTATGGGAAATTATTTTGATTAAAGAACATTGCTTTAAAGTAACTAGTTTCTTTTTTTTTGTTTAATACCAAAATCCTGCATTATTTTCCGGACAACCCAATATTTTTTCTATTCGAATAATTAATATATACAGATTTTTTTAAATATATATTTTTTCTGATCAGTTCTCCAATACTGTAACCACTTGAGCTACCAACTTAACTTTGAGACTTCAATCTCCCATATCATAAAATTCTCATCTCGATTTCCCTTTTTTTAAAATAACGATTGTACTGTGTAGAGTGGTTAGAGCATCAGAGAATTGATCCGAAGATCGTGAGTTTGAATCTTGCCTCTGACACAAATTTTTCATTTCGTAAAATTGTGTATAATTAATTGAGTATATAATAATAAAAAAAATGGTATTTCAAAAAAGGTTTTCAGTTGTATGTTCGAATGATGAAATAAAGTAAAGCATTTAGAAATCCCAAAAAAGTGCAGAATCACATTTTTTTATTCTTTAATTATTCAAAGTTTAAAATTGTATTACTTATTTGCAAATTTATGACAAGAAGAGTGAAACTTAAAAACCCCAACTTAAACAAGAAGTGGAAAGCTTTAAATTAAAATGTGAGAATCACCTCTCGGTGGGATCTGAAAATACTGAGACCTGGTGGTGTGTCTCACCTCTATGTGAACTAAAAATACTGGTTCAAGGGGCTTGTTATCAGATGTGATAGGAAAGTACTCTTGTAGGGAGCTTTCTCTCAGTGTAATTTGAATTTTTTTTCTTTTAACATTGTCGTTAAAGAAGTTTAAAAGCATTATTGTAAAGGTTTTACTTCTTGATGTGATCTGAAATTCTGACTCGTTTGGGGATCCAACTTCCTGGTGTGATTGAAAGTGAAAGTGATCTTGTAAGAGTTGCACCTCTTGACGCGATCTGAGTTTGTGGGTCTCACCTGTAGATGTGATCTGAAAGTACTCTTACTTTTAAAGGACTCCTTTCTTGTGTTTTCTGAAACCATTCACACATTTGAAAACTGCGCAGTTAACATGTTTAGTAGTATAATCTTGCTAAGCTTTAAAAATTATTGAGTTCAATCTGCTGCCTTTTTTAACCAACATTGTAGTTAGAAATTTTTATGAATTGCGTAACAAAAATCTTGAGTGATTAAGGGTGAGGTAAACTTAATTGTTATTACATTTATAAAAATTAAAATTAAAAGGGATCATGTGTATTTTTGAAAACTATTTTTCTGTTTTCTTAAAAATAATGAATATGTTAAAGTGAACAGTAAATTAATAAATTTCCAATTGGTCAACTCACATAATTAATTTGCATGACAATTTTTAATATTGCATAAAGCTAAAATTTTCTAAGATTTTTAAAACTTTATTGGTTAGGGAACATGAGACCAGGCACCATGGGCATGCACACACTCACGGCCATGTCCACTCAGCACCCGAATCCCTCGGCTCTGTGGCATGGATGGTCGTCATGGGCGATGGTATCCATAACTTGACAGATGGGCTTGCAATCGGCGCAGCGTTTGCTGCGAACATTGGTGGCGGAGTGTCGACAGCTGTAGCTGTTTTCTGCCATGAGTTGCCCCATGAAATCGGTAATATCCATCTCAAATTTTTAATCTTGTTGATTACTAATAGCAGGATTGTTTTTTCCCCCTAATAGGTGATTTTGCGGTGCTTTTGAAAGCTGGGATGTCAGCTAAGCAGGCCGTTTTCTACAACATGCTCTCTTCATTTTTGTGCTTTTTCGGAATGTCTATCGGCATAGTATTAGGTCACAATGACCATGTTAAATTGTGGGTCTTTTCTGCCGCTGCAGGAATGTTCCTTTACATTGCATTAGTTGATATGGTACACACTAACATGAAATATTAATTTACAATAATAGCCTTAATGTTAATTTCTGCTGGCAGATTCCTGAGTTGACTAGTAGCCATTCAAAAGAGGGTGGATCTCTTTGCCAATGTCTTCTGCAGCTTGTAGGACTCCTTACTGGAATTGGAATAATGTTGCTGATTGCACATTATGAAAGTAATTTAATGACGTCTTTCCAGAACAAATTTTAATATGAGTAAGTGTTCTTATAGTTTTTTTTTTTTCTTGTTGTTTACCAGTGGCTCTTGACAAGCTTCTTGTTTTTTAATAGACACCACTGAAGTACTGCAATTAATAAAAGCAATTACCTTTAAAAAAAAAATTATTTCAGGTGGTGAATTAAAGATCGGGGAACAAGTAAAAGGATATTTCATGCTCAAAGCATCACACGTTGAAAACAACTGTACAGACTTGAGACAAATGATGACCAAATGTTTATGTAGATGGGGAATTTTCCAAAACCAATTATTATGACTTGTTAATTTTATAGGATGTACATATTAACAATGCAATTGTTTCAAAGCTTTGTTCATGCCCGGTGGCTGTATGCCTAATGCTTATATATATATACTTTTTTTTATCAAAAGAAAATAATCAAACTCAACTTCTGCCTACACTTCTTTTCTTTTTGTCATTCTTTCATTTTTTTAAATATATATTTTTTTAATGTTTTTTTTTGTTTTTTTGTTCAGAAACAAACAGTTGTGACATCACAACAACAACCGTTTTTTGTATATATTAATCTTTTAACTAGGGGGAATTTTTGTTTTTTCATAAAATGCATTCCTCATACATATGGAATATATAATAAATGTCTCATAAATATAAAACTGTTTATACTTAAAAATATAATGTATAAACTTGTAAACATTTCATTTTACGTTTCCAAAAATTAATTTTTAGTCGTTTGTATATATTTTAATTAAATGAAAGAAACATTGTCCCAAACACATTGTCGGGCACAAGTACTGATTTTTGTTTACTCGATTGTTTCCTGTTTGATTATCAGTTATTTTTATAGAATAATTTTTAATGGTATAGGATATACAGATCTGTAAAAAGAAAATTCTGTGTGTATTCTACTTAATTTTTATTATTATGTACTTAAAGAATTGTATATTTTTTCATGGCTTTAGTGCTTTCACATTTTTCTAAGAAAAAAGGTTTAATAAAATGTATAAAAAAAACTACTTATGTTGTAAAAAGTATAATTTCTAAATTTTTACTAAATTCAAAAAAAGAAAGGTCACTCGGAATGTCGTAAAAGAACTGAAATGTCATTAATTTATTTGTTTTAGGTATTCATTAATTGGTTGCTACATCTTTGCTTTAACCAAATCTTTTTTGATTAATTAAAAATAATTTTATGAATGTTTAAAAAAAATAATAAATTCGATAATAAATTGCCTAGATTTTTTGAGAAAGAAACTACCAGGACTTCTCTATTAACGCATGACATCCCCCCACCTCAAAAACGTACACATACAGTAAAATCTGTACAAGCAGGCACAGTATCAGACTTTTTAAATAGCTTTGAGAGCTTGTAAAAAGTCATACACACAATATTCAATATCATCCTTTGTAGTTTCTCTTCCAATGGAAAGCCTAACAGTTCCAAGAGCGTCTTCGTGCGTCAACACTTGCAAAAGAATTCCTTAAAAATAAAAAAGTGAAAAAATGTATTAGAAAAAAAATCATTATAATATACCTGAAGGTTTTTCCTGGTTAGCATGGCATGCTGCACCTGTACTGGCTATTACAAGTTTACATCGTTTTAAAACTTCCCTTCCGCTTCTACCAATGAAGCATAGGCTGATTGTATTTGGAAGTCTCTCTTTTATGTCAATAAAATTAACTTTCGCTTCACATTCCAAGAAAGATTCCTATTTTAATGGTTTAATATTAAATTTTGATTCATTGTAAATAATATATTTTTACACCTGTATTCTTTTTTCGAAATATTTTCTTATGTATAATTGTTGGGTCTCATATAACAATATATTTTCAGAGACAATTCTTGCTGCTTCCCCTAATCCTATAAACAGAAATGACAAAGATATTAAATAAATTATTATTTTAATGGAATGGTATAATTGTTGTTTTCAGCTTATTAAAACCTCAGCCTGCTATTTTTTTTTTTTTTCAGATTATAATTCTTATAATTGCACAAACTTACACTGATTATATCCCATGTCACTACAATTATGTAAGTTAAATGTATAGAAAAAAAATGTTTAAATTGGTTTCAGTATAAGTTTATATTGTATAATAAATGCCCAATTTATCATAAAAATTTGAATGTTCTATCTTAATTATCAGTTATCCTTCGTACATTTGACCAACTCATTGTCATTATTTTTAATATCTAGATATAAAAATAAAATAATAGAGAAAATAAGGAAAATCACAAGGTATAGTACCAGGTAACCAGAAAAGTTCTTGCATTTGTTTGTTATTCTTTCAATAACATTATTCAACATTTCTATTAAATAAGAGGATTAGATGTTTACATCACTTAATACCAAGGGATAATCCAATAGTTCACAAAGAAAAAGTGTTTTGAGCAAGTTCAGAGTAAATTATAAAATATTTTCCTTCTTGTGGCTTCACCCTGGTGATGAACCAATAAGTGAGCACACTGCCCAAAAATGGTCCAAAAAGTTTGCTTCTGGAAAGGAGGGGTTCAACCAGCCTGGTTGAACTGTCACGAATGGTGACAAATTGAGGGAAGCTATCAAATTTAATTTGAGTCAAACGTGTTAGGAGCTTGCCAGAGTGAAACCATTGCTCTAGCTTACATTGACTTGGGGAGACGGAAGGCTGAGAAATGTATTCCTCAGAAATTGACTGACAGTAATACGCTTCAGCGTATAAACATTTTACTTCTTTTGCTTTCATGGCTCAAAGTATACTTATTTACTGGATTGTCACATGTGATGAAAAATGGACCTTGTTCAATAACACCAGAAGGTCAATCGTACCATTGGCTGGTCACCAAATGACCCAGCAGCCTCCATTTATGCTAAAACTGAGTATTCACTAACATAAGGTGATACTTTGTGTTTGGTGGAGTACGGCAGGCATTATGCCAACTGCAATGAGTATCTCTTGTCCTGTCCTAGAAACAACCTGCTCTCGTTAAAAGAAAAGGTTTTTCACCAGAACAATGTGAGACCTCACACAGCCAGATCAACAAAGGATGTGATATAATAAAGCTGGGTTGGGAAGACCCACACCCTCCATACTCCTCTTAGGCCTATCTGACTTTCACGATTTCTTTGCAATGGACAATCATATGTGCAATTAGGAGTTTAATAGTCACCAACAGCCAGAAAAAATAAATCCTGGGACCCAAATCTAGTTTATAAGAAGGGCATAAATTATTAACTTGGGATTAACTTGTTGGGAAAAGATTATAGATGCTGAAGGAAAAATAAAATATTTCTAAATTAATTTTAATTGTGACAATAATTATTAAACCCTCTAAACCAGCACGGACTTTTCTGGTTACCTGGTATAAAGAAATGAGATTCCTCCTGTACAGAAGGGCACTTCTGGGTGTCAATGGTTACGGATCTTTCTCAATTTAAATTATAAAAAAAAAAAGAATTTTTATTTTTCTCTTAATTGTTAATAATACATTTTAAATATTGTTAGTAAAATTTTACTTAATGTACGGAAATAAAAGTAGTTGCTAGAAAGTTTAAATTTCCAACAGTTAAATTGAACTAAAAAAATTAAATTTTTGTTTATGTTCTTAAAAATGAATTTATGTTCATAATTTTCCTGCAGCAAGCAAATTAAGTATTCTATCAAAAGCTATTTTTATTGTTCCTCTGATCTTCCTTGCCTGCTTATTTTTGCGGGTTTAGCCAGACACCATTATTTTGTTAATAAATATATAGCAAGATGATCTTCAATTGATAAAACCAGCAAATTTTTTTTACAAATAAAAGTTTCATACCTGCAATACACATTGTGTTTTCGGTGCCAGACCTTAATCCTTTCTCTTGTCCACCACCAAACACCAGGGGTTTTAGAGGACATCCTGTTCTTTGGTATACACATCCGATTCTTGGACCATAAAACTTTAAAATATAAAAGTCTATGTTAACTTCATTGTCTGACATGAGTATTTTTTTAAGAGATAGCAAACCTTATGCCCAACCACTGTCATATAATCCACACCAAGAGTATTTACATTAACGGGAATTTTCCCTATTGCCTGTGCTGCATCAGTATGAAGGAATATCTTGCCTAATGTATTTCGCCTTGTATTTATAAATTTCAGTTCTCTGAAACCAAACAATATAAACATCCTCCATTGTAAATTATAAAACTAATCAAAATGTGTCTCAATTAAGTATTTAATCCACCATCCACCAGCAACTCCCATATCATACATTTATGCTTTTAATACATTCACACGTTCTCAAAACTTGCAAAAATCAGCACAGTGGAAGCAGACAGGAGGGTTCATCAAGGATTATTTATCGAACTTATAATAAATATCCAGTTATATCCAGCTTTTCAATTAATTAAGGTTTTTAGTTGAGATAAAAATTTATTAATTAATTGAAAAGAATTTATTTGGTCAAGCGGGCCATGAAACCTAATAAAACTAGGAAAGAACATTCTACTTGAAACAAATTTAGACCATAAAGCATAAATTAAATAGTATTTGCAACATTGCACCAATCATATCCCAAGCCTTCAACACTCCTCTAAAACTTTAGCCTTATTTTTCAGAATTGCAAGGTAAGACTTCCCCAGGAAGTATATTATGCTTCCTCGCTGGCTTGTTTCAAGTCCAGGGCATCCAAGTTTTTAACAACGACATGGATCCATCTTCCTTTTTTTCCCATTTACTTTTACCTTTTTTCTCTTTTGCTTTTCTTCCATAATGTGGTTTCATCATGTTACTTTTATTATTATTTTACTATGTTATAAAATTAAATTTATTTCTAATATATCTAATATGTAAGGGGGCATAAAGCCCTATTTATACCTTTAAAATAAGTAAATATATCCTTGTTGTGAGTTTGAAAAAAAGCTTATTTCTTTGAACAATTCGGTGAATAACGCTTAGGGACCTAATTAGACAGCTATCGGTTTATGTATAGACTATTTAGCTTTATATTTAATCGAATGCTAAATATTTCAGGAATGTGAGTCTGGTAAGAGAATTCAATTTGAAAAATTGCGGACTAAAGGCTTGTGGGATGTCGATTTGAAAATGGACACGATATATCCTGTAAGGCCGCAATACAAAGGAATTGTTTCGTTCTCTTTTTAAGCCGGTTTAGAAGTTCACCAAAAGTTTAAGCCTTTCTTTCAAGTCCAAATCGAAAAGTGTAAAGTCAAAACTTGAGTGAGCGATTGGAGCAGGGAGCCGTTTGAAGAAGGCAGGGCCAGGGAGTCCATCTTTACTCGATTCGGCAACAGTTGTTAACCTTACCGTTGTTCGAGTCGGATTGTAAAACAAGGGGAATAAAAGTTCGGCTGTTAATTAAAATAAGTGAGCCGGGTGCGCGTGTGTGTCCTGAAGAAGTGAATCAGGTCGCGAAGAGACGGGAAAAGGCGATCCTCGCGTATTCGAGCCTTTTTGGAGAGGAGGATCCACCAGGAGAAAAGAGGGCGTTCGAAGTGTCGAAATGGTCTCTCTTCCGAGGAGAATAATAAAAGAGACGCAGCGCCTCCTCCAGGAGCCGGTGCCCGGGATCAGTGCTGTCCCGGACGACAGCAACGCCCGCTATTTCCACGTTATCGTCACCGGGCCGGACGACTCGCCGTTCGAGGGCGGCCTCTTCAAGTTGGAGCTCTTCCTCCCCGAAGACTACCCCATGTCGGCGCCCAAGGTGCGCTTCGTCACGAAGATCTACCACCCGAACATAGACAGGCTCGGCAGGATTTGCCTAGACATCCTTAAGGACAAGTGGAGCCCCGCTCTGCAGATCCGCACGGTCTTGCTCTCGATTCAGGCTCTCCTCAGCGCCCCCAACCCGGACGACCCTCTGGCCAACGACGTCGCTGAGTTGTGGAAGGTCGACGAAGCCGAAGCCATACGCAACGCAAAGGAATGGACTCGCCGCTATGCCATGGAAAACTAATACATCTCTTACAACAACAACAAATCAATCGAAAAATCACTTCAAAACAGAAGAGGACATTCATTATTATACATAATGTGATATACATAATATAATTATATATTTATACCGTACATTAAATTTACTCCCCTTCCTCTGCAGCATAAATACCCCATGAAAACCAATAGCCAACCATGAAAAGATCTCTTCTTGAAAACACTTCTATACGAGAGTGAGTTAGCAAAGTCGAGTTCTCATATTTTGTTCTTTTTTTTAGCTCACGGCATACTTTGCATACACAGTAGTACGGTGTGCACTTGAAAAAATGGAAACTCGTCCCAGAATTGTGCGATTGGATGCCGTTATTATTATAATTAACATTATGATATATATTTTTTTTGAGCCAAACAATTTTCGTAAAAGTAGAACATACGTTTGTTGTATTTAAAATATCAATGTGTGAAAGAAATTTTATCCAGGAAAAATTGATATACGAGGAAATGTGTACGATATGCATTCTCAGAAATATAATTTGTTATCGTAATCCTGTTTATTATTATGAATGATCCCATTCCTTTATAGATCGTGCCATACGAATCCTGATGAGTGGAGCTTTTTTCAGAAGGAAACTTTATTTTAATGAATTACATCATTTTCATTTTCACTGATTAACCCTCTACTTGCAATTTATCGTGCCAAGGAGTTTTTATTTTCTAATCGATATTTGTGACATGCTCAGATAACGTTTTAATCATTCTGGGTTTTAATCATACAGCATTAGATAAAAACTAAAAATGGGGCATGGTTAGTAAATTATACAGTCTCCAATGATTAAGTTGTTGTAGCTGTAGTGGAAGTCTAGTGAGATTTACTTTTTTTTTTTTAACAAAAACATTTCTAGTCTAAAATTATAAAAACATTTAATCAAATTACTAGGTCATCGAGGGATCAGATTGACTATTTTAAAAGCTCTATTGTGACATTCATTGAACTTGAACGCTATTATGTAAGTTTTTTTTATGCTTTCAAGGTTGGTCAAGCGAGAAAACATTGAAAAGTGATTCTATGTGTAGTAAATCCCACAAGAATTATAACTTTGCAATAGATTATAACTGTGATACATTTTAATAGGCTTAATTTAGTTAGTGTTTTACATATTTATTTCAGTTATAGTCATTTTTTTTGGCTGATTTGTGTGTTTAGTACGTTTCTGTCTATTTTTAACTAATTTAGTTGTATAACTGATAATTGACTTACCTTCCAATTTCAGCTACAGGAAAAATAATTCCAGTTTCATTATTAGCTAACATAATTGTAATTAGGCAGGTTCTATCAATAATTGCTTCTAGAATTTTACAAGATGAAACAGTTCCACTTTTGTTCAACCCTACATGCGTAAGATCTATTAAAAAAAAATAAAAAAATAAATTCTGAATTACTTTTATTTGTTACAGTTAACAAACCGATTTCTCCTTTATCTTTAAGGTGCTGAAGGAGTGCACGTGTTGCATCGTGTTCGACAGTAGTTGTTATTACATGTGGTTTTACTCCTAGCTGGTGAAACTCATCAACAGTGCTTCTTATGATCATGTTGCTTGCCTGGAAATAATGTAATAATAATTTCTAATTTATTGTTGTAGAGTATGGTAACTCACTTCAGTCCCACCAGAAGTGAATATAATTTCTTCATCCTCTGCGCCAAGCATATTTGCCACTTGCTGTCTCGATTTGTCAATAACTGCTCTGGCTTGTCGTCCCAATTCAGAATCTGAGCTTGGGTTGGCCCAGTTGCTGACCATCACCTTGGACATTACTTTTACAACTTGCTCGTCTAATGGAGTCGTCGAGTTGTAATCGAGATAAATCATATTTTGTCACAGTTGATGAGGAAAATCTAAACAATAACAACAGTTTTTTTATTATATATATTTTTTAATTTGTTGTTAGATCATCTCTGATTATCTTGGTCTGTACATTCCTAGTTGGAAACGTTTCAGCATTTCACCTCTTCATTACATGACACAATAATAAGCAGGCCAGGATGTCGGAAATAGTTACGCCATAGATTCATCACTACTTTTAACAATTTTTTACCAATGCTATCCATAGTTTTAAGCATTTCAAAAAATTAGATCTTTAACTGATTGTTAAATATTAAGAAACCTGGCAATAAATGTGCAGATGACGAGGTGAAAGCCAGGACAGCCCACACTCCATACTTCAATATCCTAATATGACCCATTGGTGCTAAACGAACAATAGAGAAGGTGGTTTAAATAAAAGTTGGCCGCATCAGTGGACTTGGTCATCCAAGAAACTTTTCCATATGGGGAGTATGATTGTAAGTAGCACCCAGAGAGTCTAAACGGCAGGATCATTCTAACAACTCAATAAATTTAACAATTTATTTCCTGCTTTTGTTCTTAATAAAACAAGAACAAAACTAGGTAATAAGTTACATTTTAATTATTCTTTCTTATATAAGGTCTTGGTTGAGATGAAAACGTTAATCTCACAAGCGGGACTCAACCCACAACCTTCAGCTCGATACACCACTGTTCTAACTTTTTCATCTCATCTAGATAAAAAAAATAATTAATTGAAATAATTAATACAGTCAATTATGATCGCTAAACATATATGGTTACATTTTAATGTGATTTATAATTTTTATGTAGTGCAGTTGAGTTGAAAAGATTAGAGTCATGAGTGGGACTCGAACCCATGACCTTCGGCTCAATACGATGCTGCTCTAACTTCTTGAGCTATCACTACTTCGGTACCCCTGAGACACTAACTAATCATCTCAACCTACAACTTGAGACAATCTACAACTCAAATTCTCCTCTTTTTGCCTTATATTCAAATTACATGTAATTGTTTTGGATTCTTGGCAAACTTGAAGTGGCCATGAGGAGCTGTTAGTGAAGCAACATTAATCTTTTCATCTCACCAACGCTTTACATAAAAATTTTGAATCACTTTCAATAATTGCTCTGGTTCAGCAGTAGGACTAATAAAAACCAATTCAATTCTTATCTATCACTAAATGATTTTATGGTGTTTTGATGAATTGTTATTATCATAATTAATGATAAAATCTCATGATTTCTGATTTCATTTAATTTGGTTTGCATTATAATAAGTATATTATAAGAAATATATCAATAAAAATGCATGCAGTTTGAAATAAACAACATTTTTGTTTTGTTGGAATAATTAATCTTTTGGAGCAAGGGGTGTAAAAAAAAAAAAAAAAAAAAAAAAATACAGGGGCCACAGCTGCGGGGTCTATAAGTAAGAGTCTAATACGCTGATTACTTGGTTACTACAGTACTTAATAAGTAGATTAATTTTATCAGCAATATAATTTTCACAGTGTAACAAAATTAAGTAAATGAGCTTTTGTGAGTTTTATCCATATTGTTTAATCAAAATTTAGGACATATAGCTACTTAAAAATAATAATATTAATAATGTTTTATTTAACTATAAATTAATACAATACAAAAAAAAGCATTAATAATAACAACTATATTAATCCATATATGTTTAGTGGTCATAATTGACCATATTAATTATTTCAATTAATTATTCTTTTCACTCAACCAAGACCTTAAATAAAAAGAATAATTAATTGAATTAATGATAACAATGGACTACTCTGTTTTGTCAAGTATAAGCATTACTTAATGAGGATACTTTTATGCAAAAAGAAGTCATTGGATCTGAAAACCATTTTAGCCACCTAACTCTTTGTAAATTCTTAAACTATACTCACTAGCAAGAAGTAGGTCAAATGAAAATATCTGCACAAATGTTTTCTGCAGTTGGACTAGTTGGATTTAGAGAATGCTTTCTTTTTTGAAGAAAAGTAGGAATTTTCACATGTAGTTTAATTTTTATTCATAACATACAACCTTTTTTTAAACATATTTGAAGTATATCGTGTTTCAGTGGCCCTGAATTTAAACGCTGAGGCTCTTATAGTGATCAGTCACTGGGTCAACATCTCAATAATGTCCCTTTATATATAGATTTCACAACTAATGATTTTCTGGAGTCTATGTGGACTCCAGAACTCATATTTTTTGTCTCATAAATTTGCCCTGAGGAAGGTGAAATATATATACCAAAAGCTTGGCAAACTTATAAAAGTTTTGTTCATTAAACCACATCCCTAATCTACATCTATAATTAACAACTGCTGGTCAATAACTACATCTGTACTGACAATGCATTTTGTAAATGAGATATTTTCTGCTATTCTTACCGACACTGTTACATTCTTTTAACCAGGGCCTTTAATGCATTTTTAGTGTCAGAGGGTTGAATAGCGGTGGTTAAGTTGGAGGCTGGGATGTCCTGGACGCCTATGTCCACCAAATCCAAGATTAAAGAAAAGAAAACTACAATAATATTTATTAATCTGTGTTTTTTAGTGTCCTGCTTAACTAAATTGATTACATAATTTTTATATAAACTTTTATAACCTCTGGCTCATGACACTAATTTTTCATCGCAACCACACTTCATATAAAAATTATAAAATCAATTTCAACATTATTTATATTTCTCAAGAGAAAAGCCGACATATCTGATAACTGTTCCAAATGACTGTTTGTCGTTTGTTAACTTATTTATTTATCAAAGAGCTACAGATTGATTTATTTCTACATAAATATTTGTCATGTCAAAAATGGTTTGACCAATAAAGATGTATCTAATGCTGATCAGTAAACATGAAGGGAACAAAGAGCAATTTTATTGTCTAAAAGACTGAAGTGAATGTAGTAAGCTAATAAATGTTATTTATTTCAGGGGATGAAGTAACACAGTTATTTGGACTTAAGGAATTTGGCCTGAGATTAAAAATAAGTACTGTCTTGAAGGAGAAAAAAAGGATAATAAAAAAGAAGACCATGTTATTTATTCTTGTCGTTCTAGTTTTATAATTGTGTCTGAGAGTTCCCCACGTCGTCACAGGAAAGTTCATCTCTATTTTATTGTCGTGAAACCTAAACAATTGTGTTTTTATTTGAAACAAAATACCCGTAGTGCCGTTCACTAAAGGTAAACGCGATAGATTCCGGGGGGAAGAGAAGAAACAAGTAGGGCAGCCGGTCATGGTCCAGTTGGAAAATCGGGACTCGGCCGGCGTCAACAAATTTTGACTTTTTCTCGTTGGTAGGAGCAAAAAAAAATTAATTTCGGAACCTCAGGTGATTCGTAACAAAATTCAAAATCATTTTTGAACAGATGAATTTGGCTCTATAGGCATCATAATATCATACAGATCGTCTGTTTACCATTTTGTTTTTTATTTATGTATGCCACCCACAGGCCAATAAGACCTCAAAACGTGTACTTTGAATTTTTATCAGGGGCACGCAATAGGAAATTAGACATCAGCACCCGTCCACCGTTCGATTGTATAGCCTGTGAATAAAAAATAGTAAAAAAAAAAAAAAAGCAAGAAAAGGATGCAATTCTCTTTCCAGTTAATTGTTGCTCTTGCTTTCCCATTTTTTATAACCGGACAGAGGATCAATGTGAAGGAGCTCAAATGTCTAGGTAAGTGCACACTATTAAATTTTAAATTTACTTCAAAAATATAAATATATAAAATAACAAAATAACGATAACAAAATTTAAATTATCAGTTCGCTTTTTCACATATTCTGTATGGACCACACTCAAAACAGAAAATAAAATCCATCCTTCTTTGTATTACAAAACATATGTTTTAGATTTTATTTATTCCACATTTTGTCAACACCTACATTTATAAAATATTTATTTCAGAAGGGTACCCAGTTTTGCTAGGAACGTGCTTTAAAAAATCATCATGTAAATTTGCATATAGATACCTATAACCTACTTGGTTTACCTTAAACAATAATCGTTGATTTTTTTTTTTGTACCGGTTATTCTCGATTTACCGTAGTGAGAAAAAATTTCTTGTTCACACGCCGATTTGAATTTTCTGTTTTACGAACTTTTATCTTTTTATTTAGGACGAGCTATAAATGTGTATAAAAAAAACTATTTGGCGCTGTTACCGATGCCGTTTATACTTTTCCCTCGTATTTTCGAAATCTTTTGAAACCAAGCTTGCCTACATAATTATTTTTAAACGTTTCCCACGAATTGTTAAAAAAACTGGCATTAGTATTTAAGCAATTTTAAACACTCAACGTAGTATATAGCAGTTTTGTGGAATAAATATGTAAAAAGTGCTTGGTTTCAGATTGTCTCATTTGCAATAGTAGCCATACACAATTGCAAACAAAATAAAATCAAAGAAAATTTTTTTATTTGACCAACCCTCTATCTCAAACTATTCCAGTATTTAAAGATTTGTAGAAGATTGAAGGTTTAAAAGGTAAAAGGGTGCTTATTATCATACCAAAAACTACAATTAATGCAAAGGGATCTGGGTTAAAGTGACAAAATTTCTGCCCTGAATTTCCAAGAACATACCTTGCAAGTGAATAGAAATATGCTGAATGATGACAATGACAAACTTTAAAAATTTCATTAGTCAGACTCTTACAAACCACTATTATGGACGGATCTAAAATGAACAAGGTGTTAGTGTAGGGTGAAATTGACAAAATTTGTTGTTAGCATAATCCCTTAATTTTCTAAGTGTAAATTCATGTAACAGTACAGAAATGCATAGAAAGATGAACAGCCAATACAGACTCAGAAGTTGTTTATATCTCCATGCTGGTCTGCTGTCTAACATATCTCCATCCGGCAAAAAGTAAAAAAGTAGGGACTATAAATATAATATAAAATATAATATAAAATATAATATAAAATATAATATAAAATATAATATAAAATATATTATATATATAGGGGAATATAAAAGTACAAACCAAATTAAAGAAAATCTTATTTTTGACAAACTCATAGAATCTCAAACATTCAAGTGTCCAAAATTTAAAAGGAAAGTTATCAAGGTACCCAGGTAAAATGATAAAATTTCCACCGCAGGACACATCCCCTTAAACTGCCAAGAATATATTTATCCAATCAAACAGAAATATGCTGAAAGGTGAACTGACTCCTAAAATAAATTTAAAAAATTTTATTTGTCACACCCTTAACAACCATTATTGAAATCGGAGACTTTCAGGAGTAAACAAGTTCAAAATTTAAAATGGTAGTCATGATATAGATCATGAATAGCTCAAAAATGGGCAAGGTGTGAGTACAGAGATAAAATTACAAAATTCAGGCATTATGCTCTTCTTTACTCCAAGCTAGTCTGGTGTTTAACATATCTCCAATAGTTGGAAAAAAAACACCTAGCTGACAAACTTGAAATATCATTCATTAAAACCCATAGAAAATATTTAGGAATATGAAAGTCCAAAATTAAAAAGGGGAGGCAGTATGGGGCATAAATTGATATAAATGCAGTAAGAAATGGGGGTAGTAAAAAATTACAAATTTGCTACTTGGAAGAACCCCTGGGACACGACTGATTTTGCACTGAGGCGAATTTTATGTATTATGTTGGCTATTTTCTATGTAACTAAAATTTATTATAACTAATAGTTTGCAAGCGTGTGGTTGAAGAAATGGAGAAGGCCGTGGACAAAGTTGACCCAAAGAAGAGGGTCGAGGTCGGAACTTACAGGCTAGATCACAAAGGAGACCAAAGCCAAAGAACAGTAAGTTCAAAAACAAGCTGTATTTAAAAAAAATAAGCTGATTTATTTTTGTATCAGGTTGAACTGAGAAAGTCGGAAGTTTATCTGACCGAACTGATGGAGAAAATCTGCAATAAAATGGACGATTATGTCCGAGCCAGGTCTAAGGCAACGGGTCAGCTCCATGTCATCCCACTCATTACTGAAGATGGCCAAATGAACTCACTTATCGGTGAGCTGGACATAATTCAAGATTCAGACTTAAACAAGAGTCTGAAGTTTTATGTAAGTGTTTGCATTTTAATTTTATTAATTGACATTTTTTTCTATTGAATATTACTTTTGTTTTCAGTGTGAAAATATATTAGAAGAAAATGAAGATGGTTTTATAAAAACCTTTGCCAACATGAGTGAAAATCTTGACATAACTCTCTGCTCAAATGTCGCAGGGTTGTGCAATGAAAAGGTACAAGATGAATACAAATTTGAAGATAGTCATGAAGAACTTTAATGAAACTTTTGAAGGTAGTTGTTTTGTTGCCGTTGGTTCGTGGGTTTTATGTGTCAATTCATACAATGTGATCCGATTGAATTTTCATTCTTTTACAATAAAAGTTTATTTTTGTTAAATTGTTTACACCATAATGGTATTTATTTTACCCTTAATAAACTAACAACAGTACCTTTTATAACGGAATAAAATAATAGCTTCAAATTCAACAAGAGTAAAATAATGAACCTGCTCATTCATTACATTATTTTTAAGCTAATTTTTAAACAAAAATTTGAGATAAAAAAGTCATGTGATAGATGGGATTTGAAGTCACATTATTTGTTCAGATGGTTAGAGTATCAGGGTACAGTACCAGAGACTTTGGGCTTGAATCCCATATGCTCATTATTATTATTAAAAAANAAAAAAAAAATCAATCAATTTGAGATTATTGTAACAATTGTGTATAAGGATTCATTTAATGAGTTTTTTAAAACAATCTGGGCGTATGAACTAAATCAATGTCTAAGTGTTGGATATATTGTCATTAGTGTGAAGTGGTTAAAAAAATGTTTATCTACTTAATTGTTTTTTTGAGATAAAATATATTCATCTTGTTCAAGGCTGGGTTTGCTGCTGATCGCTCGTTACAAAATATTACAAAATTTGTATTTTAAAATATAAATTTTCTTCTTCGATTATGAACATATTTGCATTTCTACAAATCATAAACAAGAAACTTTTTATTTTTATTTCAAGAGGAAAATTACACAGAAGTCGTTAGTGTTTTGTTCTCATAAAGCTAACAAAAAAGCAAATTGCTTTGGAAAAATTTTCACAATAAATCAAATACGCCGATACAACCTTTTTGATTTTACAAACTAATAAAAAGGACAGTGCAAAATAACACACAGACAAATCACAAAAAATAGCAAACTGCTGAAAAGTGACTGACAACCAAGACAAACCCACAAATTATACCAAAAGCAGGTCAGAAGAAATCAGTCAGATGGGACGGAAATAGGAGCCAAGTATTTTAAATAAATAATCAAAGGTTCTTTATAACAACTGAAATGCCTACTGGAAATAGGACTATATAGAAATCTACGAAATATGCGAGAAAGAAGAATCGTCACATTCTCTTCAGTTGTGAAGCCACTTAGCTGTATGTGACAATCTATAGATGAACCCCAAATCAGAACTCATTAGTGTACTTTTGTGTTTTAAAAGGTGAAAATAGTTTATTGGTTTGAAGTTTGTACTTAAAGTTTATTCTTTATGGATGTGAATGGATAGAGGTTAAGTTTTGTTCATAGATATATGACTAATTAAAATTAAACAAGTGGAAGTTTTAACTTCTTACCATTTATAATGATTTTTCATTGAAATAAAGTGAAAAAATGTCTAAAATTTCAAGTAAGAAATTGCTTTAAGTTGTAGATAACTAAAATGTAATGTTTTTAATTTTCGAGTCGATTGAAGTTCAAACTTTTTAATTGAAGTCTTGCAGCTTTGTGATCACCTTCGTTGGGTTATTACGACTTTTACAGCGAGACTATGCGTACCTGATCTGTCAAGGCGTGTGGTGTGCTTAACTTTTAACGGACGTGGGATAATTTTTTTCGAAACTAGTTCGACCGCGGGTCGCTTGGCATCGTTGCACTTGGCGTCCCATGGGTTTGTGAGGGGGGCGGGTTGATAAAAAATAAAAATGGACGTTACGCTCCTCTGTGATTTCTACGCTTTGACAACCGCAGAGTTATTTTGAGGTGAGTTGGTTTTTAATGTTTTACGTTAATGTTTTATTCCGACGGCGTTTATGTTGAAATCGCCTACGAGCCGAAATCGTCGTCTGTTTCACGGCCGGTATTTCCCCGGACGGAATTAATTCGGCGGATCCCAACGTATAAATAACACCGGCCATGTTTCTCCCTTTTAAACTCGTATTTTACCTTAAAAGCGGAGTCTCGTCTGTGGCCGGGGGTGGAACGACGATGGAAATCGACCGCCCCCGATTTGCCGGTCGCCGGGGACCGTTGTGACCATATACAAAAATTGGTGGGAAACCAATTTTTTTTTTGGTCAATTAGCACTACGATCACCGTTGGCCAGTGCGCCGATTTGTTTTCTGGCCCTTTCCCATCACCTTCAATAATATCCCCAAAATACAACAATAAAGACAGTGGATTCATTTAATATGATTGTATTTAACAAAAACTATTCTTTCGGTTATAACCACCATAAAACAAATCAATGGTGAAAATCACTCTTATTAAAAAAAGTTTACTCTTTTATAAATAATTTCTGGTTTAATAACTTGCTCGATGCTTAACCGCCCATTTTTAGTTCCCTCCTAGCTATCTAGGTATTACTCAATATTGTGCAATTCAATTTTTTCACATCAAAACTGCCTTGTGCCGTTGAAAATAACCCAAGCATGTTTTAAATGATTAAAAACAATCATAGTTTTGAGTTAATGAGTGTATGCCAAACATTTGGAACAAGGTGGACTCAGGAGTCACGCCAAAATTGGTCTGAGTGCTGTCACTTTATATTTTTTTATTACTTATAATTCACCAAAATCCCATCTCTTTATATTTCTTTGTCAGTTTATTTATTTTTGCAGTAGAATAAAAAATTTCCTCTCCAGCGTGAGAGATGCTCGTGCGTAGTGCCAGGAAGCGAATGAACTAATTATTCAACAAGTAATATTCTTAAAAATAATTTATTATCATTTAATCATTCAAGTTTAGAAAGTCGCTGACTCCTGTTCAGTCGTCTGGTGTGATTATAAGATTCTATTGGATAAGGATAGGGCAAGTCGATTAGTGTGAAAGGAGAGTTTATTGTGTGAAGTGGAAAATGTTTTGGGGATTATTTTTTGTACTAAAGGGATTTTAAAGTCATTGTGAGGGTTGGGGCCGTAGTAAGGAACATTGATTCCGTGGACTTTAAGTTGGAAGGGCTGTATTCTTTGGATGTTGGAAGGTTTAGCGGTGCCAACAGTTGTAGTCCGTACCGTCCAGATTAGTTGACGCAATCAAACACTCGATTTGCATGACAGTAGTCCAAAACATTGGACATGCACTACATGCAAGAATGTGTTAACAATAATTAGTTATTATTTGTATTTTTTTTATTAAAAACCAGTGATACTTTAAGAGAATTTCTAAATATTATTTAAAAACCAGTGATTCTATCAGTCCTATCCAAATAATATTTACAAAATATATAAATGCTATTAGTGAAACAAGGATTTATTTGTGTCTTGTTCATCTTTGATAGTCATGGCATGTTTATTTTTGTTGGTTCATCCATAGTGATAGTTTATGACTGTGAGAAGATAATAAACAATAATTTATTATTATTTAGTGTTTTACGATTAAAATACAGAGATGTTATCAGACAATTTAAATATTATTTTAAAAAATATTAACACTATTAAAGAAACAAAGATTTATTTGTTCATCTGCGTTAGTCCTGGCATGTTTATTTTTGTCTGCCATTTATGACAGTGAGAATGTTTACGACTCATAGGAGAAATGAAACTTGATGTTTTTTGTATGGGGAAAGAAGTCAGAAGGCAAAACTTAGTTTGTAGAACTATTTTGTATCATTTTAATATTTTGCGCCTGACAATAGTGAGTTTATCAAACAATTTTGAAAATGTTTAAGACTCATAGTCATGGCAAGTTTATGTTATCTGTTGTTTATGACATGATTAACGCAGACCATGATGTTTCCCACAAATTTATTACTTATTCTTAATTTAAAAAAAGGAAGTGTTTTGTGTGTTCAATGAAGTCAAACAGTGAAACTACCATCTATAGAAGACCCCTGACTCATGTCAAAAATGAAACGGGACAGAATAATAGTCTTTTGTGTTCGAAAACCTCTTTCATAACAGGTAAAATTCGCTGTATGTAAGAAATCAAGTCTGATGATTGTTCACAGTAATAGTTTAATCCATAACAGTAAAATTTAAAGCCTAATAGAGAAACAAGGATTTTTTCAAGTTGACCTTTTCTGCTTTTCATGGCATGTTTGTTCTTTCCGTCTGTTGTGTATTAAGAGTGAAACTTATCGAAAGTATTTGCTGTGTCTGGAAAAGACAGAAGGTGAAACTTAGTGAAGGTTGATGATGATAGTGATAGAATAGAACTTGATAAAGCCAGAGGAAACAAGGCTCTAAATTAAATGGACAAATAGAACTTTTGCAATGTGCTAAGAGGTACCAAAGTTTTATCATAATTTTCATCTCCTAATCTTCTATTTTCAAGTGTATGAAAGCTGTATGCGATATAAGCTATTATTGAGTTTTAAATTTATATTTAAAATCGTACTAAACTAAAGCCTGGTGAATCGATCAGTTTCAACATTATATCGAGTGTTTATTATTTATTTACAAATGGGAGTAAAAAGAACCTTCTATAATGAATTGCTAAAGAAAATAAATGACCTTATCCTTTCTAGTGCAGACCAAGCAGAAATATTTAAAATAGAACTAGTTCATTTTGCAAACATATCTTTAAATCAAACATCTGGTGAGAAATATATTGCTACCTTTGGTGAGATTCTTGTCTGAAAAATAAATATATTGGAAAATTTTGGTGAGATAAATTCTTGACTAGAAAATATTTACATATTGCTAAAAAAAAACAAAATAAATAAATAAATAAAGATATATCTTGGATAAGATATCTTGCCTGAAAAATTGATATATGCATTTGAAGGTTTCAGTGAGATAATTCTCAGTCTAGAAATGAGTTAGCCTTTAGCAAGATGGATTGCCTGAAAAATATTATGTTGAAAAGCTAGGTAATCTTGCTTTTGAAATATAAAAAGAAGAAAAAGAAATCTTCGGTGAGAGTTCTAGCTTAAAAATTGCTATAGTGAACGCCTTTAAATACCTTGACTAATTTCTTATCTAGAAAATATATATTGTCTGTTTTTATTGAGGTATTGAAGTATCTATCTATAAAGTAGATATATTGAAAACCTTTGTGGTGAGATAATTGGTTTTACACGTAAAAACCTTTAATGAGAGTTTTGGCTTTAAAATAAATATATTTAAAATACCTTAGATTAGAAAAAGATGTACCTTAAAAGTAGATTTAATGACAACAAATATTTGGCCTTTAAAAAAAAAGAAATGTTACTTTGGTGAAATTTTGTGCTTGGAAATTAGCTATACAAGAAATTTTCGGTGAGATAATTTTTATCTAGAAAATATGTCATCCTTTAGCAAGAAACTTTGCTTAAAAATATATGTATTGTTTTGGAATATATATTACAATCTTTGATGTGAGTTCTGGCCTAAAAATAGATACAATGAGAACTTTTGAAATATTTTTGACTTTTAAAAACATTGTGTTGTGCATACAAAATAGATATATAAGGGAAATGTTGCATCCTTTAGTTAAACAGTTTGTTTGAAAAATAGATATGTTGAAAACCTATGGTTTGATATCCTGGTTTTGAAATATATAGTAAGCAAACGATCTTGCCTTTGAAATATAATGTATATGTATGTATATTGACAATCTCTGGATGTATAACTTATCTTTGAGAGATGTGTTGCTACTAGATGCAGTTATGCCACTGCTGTTAAAGTCCTTTTTTAATTATTGTCTTTTGTATAGTCATTTTATTCAGTAAGAAGGATTCTTAATTAGTTAATCATATTTTGTTTATAAAAAAAGAAAAATAATCTAGATATGTAGTATGAGAAGTTGGATTTAGCAATTTTTAGTTAGCCTTTCAATGTTTGTAGTCAAAATTATGTTGGTTTATATTTAAAAAACGCCATTTTTTTTGGAAATGGATAGTTCTTGCTTTGTTGTAAATTTAAGTGAACGTCCGAAGGAAACGTAATTGAGCATTGGGTTAATTCTATGTGTGATTTAAAAACAGTGGAGAATATTTGATTATTTCTAGCCGGGACTGTACTTTCGTCCTTGAATCCGCCCGGCCCCGCTTCGCCATCCCCACCAATCCAACGGTCGCCTCTTCCCCACCAAAAGCTCAAAACGTTCAACGTTTCTGCTTTCCAACTAAACGGAGAAATGCACCGATAAACCTACAATGAAACTGCGAAAACGGGTTTTCGTGGCAGAAATATTTTCAGGAAAATTTGGGCCTTATTTGCTTATGGAAGACTCTTGATTTGTGTGTTAAAATAAAACATTGTCCCAATTTTCTGGTTCTTTGAATAGCAAACTTTGACCAAAATATATCCATCATAATGAAAAGGTTGTTTGAACAAATCATATAAATTTTGAATTAGCATACTTTTACTGTTTTTCTTCTCCCTCTCTCCTCACGTAATACAAACAAAAAATAAGTCTCTTATAGATAAAACGTCTTTTCTTGAAATATCCAATACAAACCAAGTAAAAAAAAGAGAAAAAAATTCTCATAAAATTTAGTCTAGTTGAAAATGAAGCCATTGAAGAAAAGAATTTTGTTTGCTTGGCTTCTTTGTGCAGTAGGTTCATACAAACGTTTTGTTCACGACTGCTTTTATTTATTTTTACAATTTGAGATATATTTCTATTAGAAGGAAAACTAATTTTTCGCCATTATCGATTCCTCCAGCTTGTTGCCCTAGTTCGCGCGCGCAAGAATTTGCCGATAGTGTACATGACTGCAATTTGCCCTCTCTGTTCCAACCAATCTGCATTCTAACATCGTTAAAAAAAGATAACATTTTAAAGTGAAAATACTGGATTTCGAACGGTACAAACTAGAGAAAAAACAAACTCTTTACACCATTAAAAAAAATTTAAATTTGAAACATCGGCCGTTAAATGATCTTAATTCAAATTAATAAGAGATTTGGTTAGAATGGTCTGGCATGGCAAAGTAGTTTCAGTTAGCAACATAAATAATGCGTTAAATTAAAAAAAAAATTATACATATGTATATCTAAGTATATATTATTTAGAACAGGCATCAGTAAATGACTAGGCCTAAAAAATAGTGTTTTGTTTAAGTATGCAAGATTAATATTTAAAAAAAAATATTTCTAGGTTTTGTTATTAGGAACATTTATATATTTTAAATTTAAACTTGGAACAATAATTTTAACTGTTATTGTAAAATAGAGACGCGCACTTGCGTCTACACGCTCACATTCTCAATCACACTTACCCACAATCGCATAAATGACAATACTAACAGACGGTTGTAAGATTTTTTAAATCTTCTTTTTCTACCATTAATTTATAAGAAAATTAATGTTAACGCGGTATATCGGTACTTCGAGTTACTTTTTTAACTTGTTAGGTAAAATACCTGGGCTAACATGTGTCGCACACTCATTCACAAGTACGCGCATACGCACTCACTAATTCAACTAAAAACAAGCTATTTACACATTAAAATAGGCAGGTATATAAATTGACACACACTATTAATTCATTATATTTGTGTTTGTCTTCTTTTATTTTTCAATCAGAGCAGTTGTAAAAGTCAATTTATGATATTATTGTTGGTTTTTAAGTATTTTTTAGATTATTATGTTAGTTCTTTGTTAAAGGGTTCAATGAAAAGAATAAAGATCATGCATTATTTACTTCTGTCAGTATTAGTTCGATCATGAAAGTTCGTTAATGATGTGGACTCATGCTAAAGATTTTTTATTTATAAAACGACATAATAAAATTCATAAAAATATAAAGGCGGGGAAATAGAGCATTGATTTATAAAATTCGTTCTTTGTAAATTTGGTCGATTTATACATATTTGTATTTATTTATTTTAATTTTTCCCATAAAAAAGTTGTTATACAAGTGCCAGTTTATGACATTTGGGAAGATCATTGCATTGTTTGATGCAGCATGAGAAGTTCATCGTCGGTGGGACTCGTCCTTTAAACATTTTTTATTACTGTCTAACACTAATAATAACAACTTATAAAAATAAATAAACAGTGTGTGTAGAAATAAACCAGTTATGTATAACATTGAATCTTCCACAATTTAGTTAAGATTTATGTATTTATTTATCCCCCACACACACAAGCAGGGAAATTATGTGTCCATTTATGACATAGTTTGTTTTTGAGTAACAGATTATTATGCTAGTTTTTTGTTAAAAAGTTAGCAATGAAAATAAGATTTAGGGGTGCTGTCAGTATTTGTTGGATCCAAAGTTCATTGATGGAGGGACTCGTCCTAAAGACATTTTTATTACTTATAAACAGCAGGGATTAAAACTTTTAAAATAAATAAAGGTTTATTGTAGAAATAAAGCAGCGATTTATAAAATTGAATCATCGACAATTTGATAAATTTTTGACTGTATTGATATGTTTTTCTAAATAAACAGTAGTTGTGCAGTTGTAAAAGTGTCAATTTATGGTATTATTGTTGTTTTGTGAGTATTATATATTATTCTTATTCTTTGTTAAAGAGTTTGCAATCAAAAGAAGGAAGATCAGTGCATAGTTTATTGCTGTGATTTGTTTTGTCAGTATTAGTTCCATCATGAGAGGTTCGTCGATGGTGGGTACTCGTTCTAATAACGCCAACGTTTCGATCTTTATTGAGATGATCTTCAGGGCCTGGGATTTACAAACATTATTTACATATAACAATTACATTTTTGATGTGGAAAAGTGAATTTATACAATGCAAAATATATTTTTTATATATTCAATCAAAGTATTTCTACTCACTCAAAGTGTTTGTCTTCTGTGTAATTGTGCCATTCTTGCGTGTCGTGTCGAGAGGGCCAGTGAGATTTTGCTATTTTGTGTTTATATACGTTGGATTTTGAAGGGGTGGGGAAGGATATCAGTATAGAAAAGACAGTTTTTTTTGTATAAGGCGTCGGCTTCTTTTAGGTGAAAAGAGCCGACGAAGGGAAAAAAATGTTTCGGCCAGATTATCCTTTCAGGATTATATAGAAAGGGATAAATAGGAAAAGGAATACTTTGAGCACCCTCGACACGACACGCAAGAATGGCACAATTACACAGAAGAAAAACACTTTGAGTGAGTAGAAATACTTTGATTGAATATATATATATATATAAATAATAAAACTATTGAACATATATACATATATGTAAACTGTGGGTGTGGAAATAAAGCAGTGATTTAAAATCGAATCTTTATTAATTTGGTCGATTTTTTGTAAATTTAAATTTTCATACAGAGCAGTTGTAAGAGTGTCAATTTATGATATTGGTTGTTATTGTATTTTTTTATTTAGGTATTTTGAGAATTATTGTGCTGGTCTTTGGTAAAAAGTTGTCAATGAAAGGAAGGAAGAAAAGTCCATTATTTGTTGCTGTCATTTCTGCTGACAGTATTAGTTCGTTCGTGGGAGGTTCTTAGATTGGGATTGGTCCTAGACATTTTTACTGATTGGGCCGGACAAAGATCGCCTTCTTTTCCCGTACTACCTTCTTCCAAACGAAGTTTTCTTCGACTTTTTCTTTATACTGTTTTATTTTTAGTTGAAAATCCGTCGGTCCCCGGGTTTTGAGGCGAGTACGGAAAACGTAGAACGTCAGTCTATTGATTAATGTCCTCCTCTCCTCGCCCCTTCGCCAACGCTCGCCGCGCCGCACGCATCCTCGGCCGGCTCGGCTGCCTCCGACCGAGTTCGCACCGAGCACGAGACCACTTCCTATCAAATTCAATTCATCACAACTCCTGGGGTTCTTGGGGGCAAACAAACCAAAAAAAAAAAAAAAAAAACCTGGACGCGTTTCTAATCGGCCTGGGCGTTTTTTTCTCAATATTACGCGACTCTCCTGTGCGTTTCGCCGGTCGTGGCGACCCGTTCACGGATAATTGGTACGTCTACTTATTGATTCTTGCCGTTGTCCAATTTTTCCTTTTTTTTTGTCACGGTATTATTTCTACAAATGAAATATTTTATGCGGTTTTGCCTCTGTAAAATTTTTCTAATAAATATTTGTTTTCTTCTAATCCATCAATTCATCTTGTTTTTATATTTTCAGGTGAATTTCGAAAAATCGTGTCCTCCGATCTCCGCCTATCCTATATGAAATGTTTGCACAAACTAAGGTAATTAATATATTTTACATTAAATTTCAACCATTTCGAAAAGAGCAAAATGCAAAAAGGAGAAAAAAAGGCTAACTTTTTCAAATTTCCCGCCAAAAATATTGTATACATGTTGGAAATTGGCGGTTGTATGGATTTAAATTCAAACAGAAAAAACTTGCACATTTCCTTCCACAAAAAAGGCACATAACACAAGAAAGTAATTTAATTTAAATGGATTTATAATTTTTATGTAAAGTTTGGTTGAAAAATTATCTTCATTAGTGGGATCTACAATTCCCGCTGTGACATTAATTTTTCATCTCAATCACACATTACATAAAAATTATTAAATCAGTGTGTGGTATTTAGTGACCGTTAATTAATAATTATTTGGAGATCGTGACACACGGTCAGTTGTTTTCTTTGTCATGCCAATGTTTCGATCTTAATTGAGATCATCTTCAGGGCCAGGGATTTACATTGTTTAAATTATACAAATACATGAAAGATGTGAAAAAAATTTATACAATGATAGAAATTTTGACTTAATCGAAGTATTTGTACTCGCTCATGTGTCATTACTGTGTGTCGGGTTGAGAGTGCATACCTCTACACAGAAAACAAACACTTTGAGTCAGTACAAATACTTCGATTGAGTCTAAAATTTCTATCATTGTATAAATTCATTTTTCACATTTTACATCTATTTGTATAATTTAAACAATGTTCATAAATCCCAGGATGTGATCTCAATAATGATCGCAACGTTGGCACTATAAAGAAAATGTTTTTTAAACCTACTTCACACCAGACCACATCTCATGATCTCCAAATAACCATTATTAAATAAATTTAAATCATTACTTTGGTTAATTAGGACCAACTAAAATATATATTGATTAATTCAATTTAAATTTGACAGCAAGGTAATTTATAATTTTACAAATGTGTTAATAATGGGCATTTTTAAAAACATTTTACGACAATTGCATTTCATTTAACAATTTTATTTTCATATTTTCTCTTCCAGAATGCCTTGGCTAAGGAAGAAACCTAAAAGAGGTGGCTCCAGATTGGAAAAATCGAAGAACAAGTCTACCCTTGTTCAAGTGTGTATTGTCCTATTGTGTTATTTTATATATTCTGAGTTTGATTATTACCTATACCTTCTTTTTATTTGTTTTTTAGGCTTCCACAAATAATGTTCTATCCGTTAAAAACAAGAACAAATTAAGTAAAAAACAGTTTAAAAAGTTGGAAAAGATGATTCAAAAAGAGAACATTGGAAATTTGGTAAGTGCAAATATTTTTAATTATTCCATATTTGCTTAGTGGTCATATATATTAATTATTTTAATTAATTATTCTTTTTTCTCAGCCAAAAACCTTAGATAAAAAGAAAAATTAATTGAATTTTTAATTATATTAAAATGTATCAATCATACATATACGTGTAGAAAAAAAGTTTAGTAACTTGTACGTGTGTAACCATTACCTTAATTTGATTTTGAGCTAAATGAGGGGTAAAAAAACATGCTGGTAGATAAAATTTAAAAAGAAAAAGTCATAATTAAGAAGGTCCATTAAATTAAAACATTAAAAAATCATTTTTTGTGTTACACAAAAATATTTTGACATAAACAAGTGGAATTACTATTTTTAAATTAATCCTTTTTTATCTTGAAAGTCAATATGTACGTTTTATCCATTCCCGTTGGGAATAAACTTTGTTTAGTTAGGGATTTATCTTCATGCAATGCAGTTATAAAAATGGGATCTAGTGGAAAAACAACTTCATTAGAGCACCGGAAATTGATTCGGTAAAACTCCCTCTATGATGAACATGCAAGAAATAGGTGTTTTTGTCGGTTATTGATGGGTGCTAATTCAGGATAGGTAAAGACACTTCATCCTCGTTATGCATTCTTAATTATTTCACCAAGGCAATTTATTATTTGTATAATTTACCTTTAAAAATCTCAAGCATCAAAAGAGCTCTTTTAGTTTTACATAAATCGCATGACATGTAGGGTAACCCAAAATACAAGAGACAAGATGTGCCCATTTGGCCAATAAACGGACCAAACATGCAAGGTGGGAGTCGTAATTTCCACCAATCAGATTCAACCATGTTAGAGCATAGGGGCAAGAATTTTTGGTTTCTTCGTGAAAGAGAAGTTTCGAAGAAGAAACTTTCCCAGAAAAATAGGAAATTCACAAAAATAGATCACTAAGACCTGCTCAAATAAAGACAACAGGATTTGAGGAGAATTGGAACTTCTGGAGAGGAAAAAAAAAGCAGAATTTCCTAATCGCTGTGCCACCACACAAAATTTAAATATAACAGCTTTTATTATTTCTCATTGGGTCATACATACCTAGCCTTCCTTCCTGAAGCGTTTTTTTCTTAAAAAAATAAAAATAAATAAATAACAAACATAAGAGATAATCTTTCTCATAGAAAATTAATACATTTTTACTGTTCATGTCTGTTCTAGAGGGGTGAATTAATATATGTTAGGGACGGATGGCAATGTCTGCGACTTATGGAGGGCTTTAATTAAAGAGGGGTTTATTTAAAATGCCCTACTTTTTTTTGCCGGGGAATGCATTGATTGATTGTTAAGAGAGATGGTCGCTATAAAGGGATTTTACTGTACTTCCTTTGCTAAGGGATAAAAAAACTATCTGAGAAGATCTTAATCCTATTAAATATTTCCAAATGCTAATTTATTTCCTTTTGTAAAAAAGTAAAGCCTTATCGGTCTTCATATTTTTGGACGGCTGTGCATTAGAGAAAGTTTCGACCATTACTGACCTCTGGGTAGTTTTCGATAATAAATATTCCTCTATACCTCAAATTGAATTTATCTGAATTTTCACCGGACAGTGTAAGCTAAGTATGGAAAACTCACTCACCTTCATGGAGTTTATAGATAGTATATGTAATATATAATCGACTTCACTAGTTGGGATAATTCTGTAAGTTGATTAATAATAAAGAATATATTAAAAAGTATGGTAGGTGAGATTATTAAAGGACATGAATTTATTAAAAGAATTGTGGCTACACCTCAGCTAGGTGACCTAACTTACTGTCCAGTAGTGATAAATATGACATAGAGCTTCAAATATTTGTTCTGAATTTCTAAAATATGTAGGTACTGATTTGAGTGTGCAGCGAGAATGAAGGACTGTCAACAAGGGCACAATTCAAGATCTTAAGAAAAAAAAAGCTCTTTACAAGTACTGTAATAAAAATAACAGAACAGTATGTTTCTTATTAGGAAGATGTTATTTTCTGTGATGCAGCACAATTTAATTTATTTACGACAGAAAGGTATATATGGAATTTGAAAGAAATAATTTAATGGAATTTAATATGGAATTTAAAGCCAGAGGGGGATGAGTAAGAGTATGGGGTCCTTCCCTTCATTTGGTGTTGGAGATTTGACTTTTTTTTTCTTCATTTTTTTTTACGAGGGTTTTCAACAACAGAGGTCATATCAACCCTCAGAGTGCCGGTGTTTTTGAAAAAAACCTATTTGTAACTATGCTGGGTTTGAATGCAGGGCCGCTGGATTCAAACCCAGGATTTTGCCTTACAGTGATGAGCGCCGTGTCGGGGGGGGGGGAATTATGAATAAAGTGATGCACAGAGATGTTAAAAAAAAAAAAAAAAAAAAAATCAATGCTCAATCATTTGTGAGACACTTTTCGACAGAGAATATATCAAACTACACATTAAATTTCAAGGAATATATTTACTCCTTGTTTTTAGCAGGTGTACATATTTTTGTAACATAAAAAAAATAACATGCTAATTTCATTATATCATTTTAATTTTTTTTTATTATACTAATTTTTACCTTAATAAGGATCACACATGAATAAAAACCTTTTATGAAACTTGTTTTTTTTCCCTTGTATAGCTCAAAATTACATTAAGGGACAGGTTATTTGAAACTTAACAGTTACTTTCTGTAGTTGGTTCATCATTATTATCATGGAAATGGTATAAAAATTAGACATTGATAATGGCATCAAACCAAATTGTCTTATTTGTTGCTTCTATAATAACTTGAAAGTTAAGTAAATAATTACCCATCAATAAACTAAGTCTATAAATCTTGAATTTAATAAAGATTAAATTCCAAGTTCCCTTATCAAAAGTCTGCAATTATGTTGTACACCCATTACAAAGTTTATGAGTTATTTCGAGCTTTTGCCATTAAAATAATCTATCACCTCTTTATTTCATTTAAGGATTGTATCTTTTTGCGATGGAACCTCATTATGTATTATTGTTTACGTAAATTCAAAAACCCTTTGTGGCAGCACTTTTTGTAGAATTTTTCGCAAAAATTCGCGTAAACTAAGTGTTTTTTAATATACCTAAACAATAATATCGGGGGCGTCGGTGGCCGCAATGGTTTAGGCATTGACATGGCACTCGTCACTGTAAGGTAAAGGTCCCGGGTTCGAATCCAGCGGCCCTGCAGTCGAACCCGACATACTTACAAATGGGCTTTTTTCAAAAACACCGGCACCCCGAGGGTTGATATAACCTCTGCTGTTGTGAACCCTCATAAAAATATATATAACAAAAAATATACCACCTCATTGTTTGTGATAATTCTTTGCATACGTTTATTCAACCTTTACAAACTTCTGAGGAACCAAATTAATTTTGTAAGAAATATTCTTCTTACTATTTCTTTTCCAGTAAGTGATAACTTTAATGAAATAATTTAAATTAAAAAAGTTAAAAAAAACTTTTTTTTTTTTTAAATCAGAAATGGTACAACATAAGTTGTTTTCAGGTGCCGGAGGAGAGCAAAGAAAACTGCTGGGATATGGAGAACCATAGGTTGCACCATATTCACAGCAGTGATGGTTATGAACCATTGACCGGTTCTGAAGAGGAAGAGATGATAAGAGGCCTTTCCGAAGAGTTGGCAGTTTACGCACCTGTTGTTGACGTCAATTTGGGCCCTGAGGAAGTCCTAGGCGATGGTGTTTACGAGGATTTGTCACCTGTCGAAGGCCACCATGAAACTGACGAATATCTCGGATATTGTGACTATGAAAACCAGACAATATGCCATCCAGTACAAGAGGTTTTTATTTTTAATTAGTAATCACATTATAATTTATTAAATGTTTTGATTTTTCCTTTTTATAGGAATGGGCGTTTGATCCGTATCTTTTCATTAAACATTTGCCCCCGTTAACATCAGAAATGCGTGCACGGTGTCCAGCACTGCCTTTAAAAACGAGATCTTCCCCGGAATTCTCATTAGTCCTGGATCTGGATGAGACTTTGGTCCACTGTTCACTCCAGCACCTTGAAGATGCCTCATTTTCATTTCCAGTATTATTTCAGGTATTTTAGATAACAAATTTTTTAAAATAAATTTTTTATTCAGTTGATCTTGTCTTTTAGGATTCTTCTTATACCGTATTTGTGAGGACAAGACCATTTTTTAAGGAGTTCCTAGAGAGGGTTTCGTCACTTTTTGAGGTGATACTTTTTACTGCTTCAAAGCGAGTTTACGCGGACAAACTGCTCAACCTGATCGACCCGACCAGAAGGCTAATCAAGTGAGTAAAACTAATAAAAGACTAAAAAAAAAAATTAAATACATGGTTGTTAAATTGCTCAGATATCGGCTATTCAGAGAGCACTGCGTCTGTGTAAATGGGAACTACATTAAAGACCTTTCCATACTTGGCCGTGACCTCTCGAAAACAATCATTGTTGACAATTCACCTCAGGCATTTGGTTACCAGGTATGAAGTACATTTGTTTTACCTCAATTTATATTTATTTATTTTTTTAAACAAGATATATTTTTATTTTAGTTGGAAAACGGAATCCCTATTGAGAGTTGGTTTGTAGATAGATCTGATTCTGAGCTGATGAAGCTTCTCCCCTTCCTGGAAGATCTTGTATATATGGTAGGCTCGTAGTAATTTTCACATTTCAGTAATGAAAATTAATCCAAAATAGACAATTTGTTTTTGGCCTTGTGTTTTTCACTATTATGTTTTATTTCAGAATGAAGACGTACGACCACACATAAGAGACAAGTTTCGTCTTTTTACCTTCATACCACCTGATTAAGAAGGTCCATCTCAAGTACATACAAATTGTTTCCTTATTACTTAATCTCTAACAAAAAAAATTTTTTTTTACTATAAATTATACCATGTTTTAAATGAATAAAAAAAACTTTTATTATTGTTAATTGTTAATACACCATTTATATTTAAAACTTTATTACTAAACTTCATTGTGAAGATTTGAAAATTGCTGTTTTTGCACACGATAGAATACACTTTCTTTTTTTTTTTACTGGACATCAGAAAAATATAGAAGTACAACTTATTTTTGTTGTGAAATTTTAATTTAAATTAGAGAAGACAAAAATTATTTTTCTGATCTCCAAAAATTATTTGTTTTATACACTTTCTCTTTAACAAAATTAACAATCCAATTTCACTGCTCGCAAGAGAGGTCTCAACATTCTTGAATTGATGAAAATTAGTTTAATTTTAACAATAATCGTGTTATAAATTTTCTCGTTTTTTAAGTAAAAAAAGAAAAAAATACATTTCATGTCAATACCTGGATGTATTTAATTATTCAAGAATGTTTACCTTCTTAAGAAAAAAATTATATTGTTATTTTACAATTAATTATTTGTATATAAAAAAAGAGGTTTAGTTAACCAATGTTTTGGAGTATTTAATTAAATGTAATAGTTATAAATTAGACATTGGTATTATAATCAAAAATCGAACAATCAACATCATTTTTTCTCTTTGAACAAGTTCAGTTTGATTTTGAGTGTAATTATTTAAAAAAAGTGAGAATGGAATCCCTGTGAATATGTGATTTGAACGTTTTTGTATAAAATGTGGATGTAAGTACCAAAATCATGCTTGTAACCAAGAATTGTAATTATTTAGGAAAAAAGTGAAAAAGGGAAGAAATATTGTTCAAAAAGAGTTATGTTCCTATCATAGGTATAAACCCTGTTGAAAAATGTTGTTGGTTTTTTTACTGAAATTGTTTGTTGTTGAGGAAACTCTAGAATATAAATTTTTGAAGTGTTAAACGGAACTTTTTCACGTGTAGCATTTTTTGTCATCATTTCGCCCCTTCAGTAAAATTATCTCAATTAAAAACTTGAACATTTTTTACAATTATTCAATAGTGTCAACTTGTCGATCTTCCATTTATTTTTAACAGCCCTTCCTTACAACACTGGATTATAATTGCCTTTTTAATTGAGGTGAAATTGTTTGAATTTGAGCTGTTTTAAAATATAAACAATTTCAAAAATGTATTGACTTTTTCGTTTTTCAATACCACCCTTCCCTGTATTCAATTAATTTATTACTCAATTGTTAATATTTTGGGAGTTTAGGGTATGAATAAAAATGAAGGGCCGATGATTGATTTAAGAAAAAGTGAATTATCACATAATACATTTTATTTTGTATAGATAAAATATACACATTTTTGGCTAATAAAATCACATTTATACCATTACAATTCACAAATGCTTACAAAATAACACGAGAAACTTGTGCCCATTTTGATACTGAACAAACTCTTCACAAAATACACTAAACATTATATGAATTTGGTTTTTAAAATTAAAATACTCCTTTCGGCCTCAAAGAGAAAATACTCATTGGGTAAATAACAATCGTTAAATAAACGTCGTCTACAAGCATAAAATAGTCACAAACAATAAATAAATAATGTAGGTAACATTGACTTGGATATTTACATAGGGGGAAATACATTTTCTGTTATGTTATTGGTGCGTCGTCATCGACGTTAGCACTAGATACGAAAACTGTGTTGTACCTCCTCACTCTCAAGGCATACAACCTTTCGGTCACTCGATACCGCTTTCCAAGTAGGACCAACACACCCATGGCCGCTAACGACAGGCAAGGTATAAGGACCCACAGTGTACCTGAAATTCCTAACAAAAATAATTAAAAATAAAATGAAATCAATTAGGATTTAATCATTTACCTTCGCTGCTGTAATTTAACTTGCTTACAACTTCCTGAGGTAATACTGTTGTAGCCTCATTGTGAGGTACACATGCATTGTTAACATATGTAAAATTTTTCATACATTTGCAGATACCCTCATTGGATGATTTGTCTATTTGGTAGCAACTCTCGTTGTCATTTCTACAAGGCTTTATTACGCTTATACTGCATTTATCTATAAAAAGAAAATTAATTTTTCATCTTTTAATTCATATGTCTATGTAAGATAGAGCAATAAATCAAATAAAAAGTGAAATATTTAGGTATGGCTTATAAGGTGATAATTGTCTTCTTACTTTTTACTTAATTAATGGTTTGTCTATTTATCAATTAATCAGTTTGTAAAATATTAAGGCATATCTGATAAAAAATAACTACTAATGAAGATGATGAAGTAATGGAATAAGTCAGAGGCACAAAACTAGTGAGGGTAATTCAGCTAAAAGTAAATATAGTTCGAAAAACAATACAAAATTAACGTACACATAAGAATGCTCTCAAGAAGTAATTTTGCCTTCCGAGGTATAGAAAAAAAGCGACTGTTTAAATGCTAGTGTTTTACAGGAAATGTTTCATTTCCTGTCACAAAACAGATGACTCAATAAGCTCGATTAATTCTAAGCTATCAATGTTATTTTATTCTTTCTTTATAAGGCGTGAAACTTATTAGACTATAAATAAAATATCAATAAAAAAGAAACTCTAGAATAAAAAATTAACATATTAGAGAATAACCAGAACTATACTTGTAATGAATGATCAGACTAGCAGACATTTCTGTAACTTTTTCTGCATGAACAAAATATATTTAACAAATATGAATATGGAGGACAAATTAGCGGTGAAGGAAGGTATAATCTGTAACTTTATTGTCCGTCCCCAAATAAGCTGATATGCCTGTTTTCACTGATATTGCCCATAAGAAGTCTGATGCAATACCAGAGGCGATTGAATATAATGTATAAAACTTTTTGTTGTTTCTTAAGGCAATCTAGATGTTTAAAGTATGGATAGTTGGATTTCTTACACAAAATCACAAAGAAAAATTACTTAAAATTACAGGAAAGAATATAAACTGCTTACAATATACAGTAAAAAAATGATATAATGGGTTTATGGGGGTTTCAATTAATGTCACTGTTTAATGTATTTATTTCGTATTTTGGAACTCAATTTTGTTTCTCTAGGCAATCTGGATGTTTGGAGTTCGGATAGTTTATTGCTTATGCAGAATCACAAAGAAAAATTACAATTACAGGAAAGAATATAAACTGCTTACAATATACAGTAAAAAATGATATAATGGATTTATAGGGGTACCAATTATTGTCACTGTTTTCTGTATTAATTTCACTTTTTTCAAATTTGTTTCTCAAGGCACAAGACACATTATAATAAACAAATATAATAACTTTGTCGGTCAATTTGTCAATCTTTTGATTACATGTACTCAGACCCCAGACAGCCAACACCCGAGATTCCGAAATCTTGCTGGTAATTTATTGTAAATTACAAAACTTGGAATTGCGGACAGATTGCAAGAAGTGATAGTCTCAGCTTTAATTGTGCGTGTACATTCATGTGCGGAGCTGAGGCTATTAAAATCAACAATCAGTAATCAATTAGTGGCAGCAACTTGATTCTTCTCAGGAAAAGAGTTTATAATGTATGTCTGGAAAAGTGGTTTGTAGTAGTGTAGAATTTCCCCTGGTGAAAACTTGTTGCTATCCAATATTTTGAAAAGATGCTACTTTATCAAGGACAAAGGACTCAATTTGGGGAGGGAAGATAGTATTGTGATTGGACATGAATATAATTGAGTACATGAACATACATGAAGTTATGAGGGTTAGCTAGGAGTTCTTGTGTTTATTGAATTGTAGTAGATCTTTGAAATCAAAAGATTGACACATGATTTGGGCAAACACCCAAGGTCCCCAAGGCTTGCTCGTCATTTATTTAAATTACAAAACCTGGAATTTCTGACAGATTGCAAGAAGTGATAGTCTCATATTTGATTGTGCCTGTATATTCATGTGCAGAGCTGAGCTTATAATAATCAATAATCAGTAATCAATTAGTGGTAGCAACTTGACTCTTCTCAGGAAAGGGTTTATATGTAAGGAAAAGAGGTTTGTAGTAGAGTAGATTTTCCTTTGGTGAAACCTTGTTCCTGATCCAATAAAATTTTGAAAAGAAGATGCAAGTTTATCAAGGATTTGGAGACAGAAGATGGTATTGTGATTGGACATGAATAATAAAGTTAAGTACATGAACTTAAAGTTATGAGATTTAGCTAGGAGGACGTGTGTTTTTCAATTGTAATAGATCTTTGAGGCCAATAGATTGGGGCAAACACCAAAAACTATCTTACAATATATAGTTAAAAAACAAATTTAATTGGTTTTTATAATGGTTTTATAGGGGTTTAAAGAACAGTCTCAAGTACTAATTTCTTCTTTTAAAACATTATTTTTTAAGACGATTCAGATGAATGGAATTCAGATAATTGGATTTCTTCTGTACATGGTTGTGCAAATAAGATTTTATAATATCAGTAATCAGTAATCTAGCATAAAAAGTTGTAAGTTGTAAAAAAAAATTTGTCAAATGAACATGTAGTGGATAGTGTTATTATCAAATCAGGTTTTCTGTTAAATAATGAGCCATGCAATGTATGCAATTTGTTTAAAAATGCAAAAAGTTTAAATTTACCGAATGTAATTTGTAACCGAAAGATTTGAAGTTGAACTACATGCAATATGCAATACCATGGACAATTGCGTTTATTTCCAAACGTTATAAAATAAAATTTAATTAATAAAAGGCGCCGGATCGGCCAAAAAAAGTAAAATATTGCAAGAAAACGTTTAATTTATTTTTAATGTTCAGGCGATTTACCTCCGGCGTAGGCGTTTTGTAACAAATTGAACAATATTGCCCAGTAGTAGAAGAAGACGATCCTATTGATATCAGGCTGCAATTTCATTTTTCCGAGTTGCGATCACTGTTTCCGATGGGATTTACTACGTCGTCTGGCTAAATGCATAATAAATCTGTTCTGAAAGATCAGCAAATAGCATTATCGGGCCTGGACTATTGTCAACGTCGGATAATCCGTACTCTTTGAACCCTTTCAGCTCTTATCTGACGTTACCAGTTGCAAGTTTGCCATTTCTTGACTTGCGATCGTCCAAAGTTGACAACCTCCAACTGAAGGTCTGAATTTCTGAAACTGGGAAGAGGGACGATTTCGATTACAGGCTTTACAGCCGGTTACGTTAGATATGGGGACTTTCTGACGTCGTCACCCGAGAATTTCATGATTTAATTCCACTTTTTATTGTATTGCTACGCATATCATCTATTTTAAATGATTCTTGACTTCAAAGATCTATTACATTTCAAGAACACGTGACCTCCTAGCTAAGCCTCATAACTTCATGTACTTCATATACGTACAATTACCTAACTTTATTCACGTCCGATCACAATACCATCTTCCATCTCCAAATTGAGTCCCTTATCCTTGATAAACTAGATCTTTTCAAAATATTATTGAATCAGCAAAAGGTTTCACCAGAGGAAAATCTACTACTACAAACCTCCATTCCAGACATACATTATAAACTCTTTTCCTGAGAAGAGTCAAGTTGCTGCCTCTAATTGATTATTGATTTTTATAAGCTCAGCTCTGCACATGAATGTACACACAACCCCTATAAAACCATTATATAATTAAATTTGTTTTTTAACTGTATATTGTAAGTTCGTTTGTAATCTTTGGTGTTTGCCCCAATCGTTTGGCTTCAAAGATATATTACAATTCAAGAAACAAATGTCTTCCTAGCTAAACTTCATAACTTTAACATGTACTTCATATTATTCATACCATCCAATACCATCTTCCATCTCCAAATCGAGTCCTTTATCCTCGATAAACTGATAAACTAGCTCTTTTCAAAATATTGTTGGATCAGCAACAAGGTTTTACCAGGGGAAAATCTACTACTATAAACCTCTTATCCAGACATACGTTATAAACTCAATTCCTGAGAAGGGTCAAGTTGCTGCATTTATAGATTACTGATTATTGATTTTTATCAGCTCAGCTCTGCACATGAATGTATACACACAATCAAAGCTGAGACTATCACTTCTTGCAATCTGTTGGCAATTCTAGGTTTTGTAATTTACAATAAATTACCAGCAAGCCTTGGGGACCTTGGGTGTTTGCCCCAATCATTTGTCAATCTTTTGACTTCAAAGATCTATTACAATTCAAGAACTATGTGTCCTAGTTAAGCCTCAAAACTTTAAGCTCGTGAACTTAACTTTATTCATGTCCAATCACAATATCTTCTTACATCTCCAAATTGTGTCTGTTATCCTTGATTAACTAGGATCTTTTCAAAATATCATTGGATCAGCAACAAGGTTTCACCAGGGAAAATATACACTACTACAAACCTCTTTTCTCGACGAACATTATAAACTCTTTTCCTGAGAAGAGTCAAGTTGTTGCCACTAATTGATTACTGATTATTGATTTTTATAAGCTCAGCTCTGCACATGAATGTACACGCACAATCAAAGATGAGACTATCACTTCTTGCAATCAATTGGCAATCCTAGGTTTTGTAATTTACAATAAATTACCAGCAAGCCTTGGGACCTTGGGTGTTGGCCGTCTGTGGTCTGTGTACATGTAGTCAAAAGATTGACAAATTGACCAACAGAATTATTATATTTGTTTATTATAATGTTCTAAATAGCACTAAAATACAGAGTTTATTATACAATACTTAGGATTGTAAGAAGAATCAATAAAAATTGAAACTGAAAATAAATTAACCTTTGAAATGATGAATTATAAAAATAAAGTTTTCCATAAGAAATCAAGTGTTTTTATTTGTCATCTGAATTTAAAATTATCTTTTTTTTTATATTTGAGTTTAAATTTCTATTATATTTATTAGGACTTAAGAAATAATTTCAGGCAGTTCACAATAGAAAAAGTAGAATTAGAAGAAAAAGTGTTTCAAATTGTGTACAGAAGAAATGATAGATCAATTAGTTTTTGTATCTCTTCACGCTAAATTGATGTTCGTTTAACACTGGTTTCATGTGCTGAATTCTGCGTAAGGTAATTCAAAAATAATACATGTTAGCTTTGACAATGGTCAGATGGACCAACAAAGGCTGTTTGGTAGGCTTAAAAAAAAGTAGTTTACAATTTTTACTTTGATCATGTGCACATATTGTTTTGTCACATTGCACAGTTGTTCAGCAATTTTTGTTTTCCAGAAGGATATCACTTCCTGAGGGAAACTAGTGAATTGGAAAATTTGACAAAACCAACAAAAAATGTAGGTGACAATTTTTTATTATTATTGTTATATTTTTAATATATACATTGAAACATAAAGGTAGAATATTAAAAATGATTGCATTATCTGAGGAAAATGTGGGTAAAATTTAGGGTAAAACGTTTTAAATGAAATGTGCATATAATTTTATTGAAATATAAAGGTGTGATTGGTTGAAAGAAATTAAAGAAATTTTGAAAAATAATTCAGTCTATCGCATAGAACTTCTTTTAATTATTACAAACCATGAAAAGTTTTAGTGTTTAATTTTACTAAAATAAAAGCATTCAAGTGAGGTTAAAAATTTGTGATTAAAATAATATGCCTTTTTTTGAAATGTTGGAAGAAATATAACTGACCTAATTTTCAAATATCGCATACATTTTTATTTATTAGGACTGATTTACATGAAGATGAAAATAAAAAAAGAAGAAAACATTCTGAGGTATGGCAATTATTACAATAATATTAATGCCGATTATTAAGCAATAATGACATATTTACATTTAATGTTAGCAGAGCTCAAGGCATCAAGGAGAACTTTTAACCGAAAAGAAATCCAAAAGGTAAAGTTGCCCGTAAATTTGGAATATTTATTTTAATTGTGAAATACATGCTGATTTTTAATACAGGGAGAAGTATGATTTGTTGAAAAACAAGCTTGATGGAAGTTGGTAAAACCTTATTTTTGGAAAGATACATTCTAAATAAACATTTATTTATAAATGATGCTGGTTTTAGCAGTGACTTCTGAAACCGATTCGTCGACAAGCAGTCATGACATAAAGGCAAGGAACTCAAAGAAGAGAACAGCAAAAAACCTACATAAACTGAAAAGCGAATTAACAAGGTGGCTTCTAAAAAAAATTGTCTTATTAAAAAAAAACACGAAAATTAAAAATAAATCTGTTTGGTTTTATTAGTGTTACATATAAGGAGAATAAACTGAAAAGTGAAGATATATATGATTTTTACAATAGGGAAAAACATGATATTCGGGCTGCAGCTTCTCAGGTGAGAGATGTATTTTTATTGTGAAGCAGTCACCAATTATTTATATTTCAGATGCAAAATTCATTTTCTGCAAAGATTAATGGGCCAAGATTGCCCAGTCATGTTCAAAAATTTGTCAACAGCTGCGTACCCTCTTCTGACAGGGATGTGCTTAATACACAAGAGATGTCATTAGAATCGTAATTATAATTGTTAAAATTAAAATTCAAAATAAACTAATTATAAAAAAATTAATATGTTTTTAGTATGGGTTATTATAATGAAATTCTTCCTTGGGAATCAATGTCTATTCCAAAAAGAAGAGAACTCCAAAGTGCAATTTATGAAAGAGTTACTAACCACATGTAATTAAAATTCAAAACTTAATTAAAACAATGTAAATTGTACTTAAATAATCTAATTTTTGCTATAGCAATCCAGATATAATCTTGGTAATTGACAATCATGAGTTTTATTGTCATAGGATTGTTTTACAATCTTACTCTGAATATTTTGATTCAATTTCAAATTTGGAGCATCAACCAAGTTTTCATGTTAATGAGGTAATATGAAAAGCCAAATATTTTTAATTTTTAACAATTAATTCAAATTTTGTTTGTTTATAGAAAGTAACACGAAAAGCTTTCATAGCAGTCTACTCTTGGATGCTTTCAGAAGGACAAGGTGGTTTAAATTTCATAAAAAAAAGTAACATTTTGGAAGTTTTAATTGCCGCTGAAGTCCTGCTAATAAAAGGTAAATTACAATTTGGTTTAAAAAACAGACAATTTTTATTGTTGAAAATCTAAAAATCCATTTTAGACTTGGAAGAACAATGTCATGCATTTCTTGACAGTAAGGAGGCTTTTTCAGAAGAAAATGCTTTTTTTGTTTTTATGGATGCTTCTTTTTGGAAGAAATCCTCTATTAAAGATTTAATGGTGCCAAGGATACAGAAGTTTTTTCTCCCACTGGTCAGCTCGTGGGATTTCACACAGTTGAATGTTGAGGATTTATGTATTATATTAAAGTCAAATTTTATCGTAATTCACTGGTAAGATTTTACATTTTTTATTTAAATTATTTACCAAGTTGATTATTGTGAACTCATAGTGAATTGGAAGTGTTCATGGCGGCAGTGCGCTGGTTAAAAACAAACTGGGATGAAAGGAAGAAACACCTTAATAAAATAATGAAATGTGTGAGATTTGGGTTGATGAATCCAGTCCAGCTTGTAGACATAAGAAAGAACCCAGAATCTCCTGAATTCTTGGAGATTACAACCGATAAAAATGTACAATTAATGATAGAGGATGGCTTGGCGTAAGTATTAACAGCATGCTTTGTTTTCACCCTTATAAATGTTTATTTTGGGTAGGTATGCCGTTGAATTCACTTTATCTGGTGGTTCCCTCGACCATGAGAACCGATGTGACCTTCTGAAGCTGCTCATACCAGAGCAAAGAAATTTTGCAAAGACAAATAAAGTAAGCCGACAAAATAAATTGATATTTAAACATCAAATAATCAAATTTTAATTTTGAGGACTATAAAAGTTATCAACATTTCCTTGAATATCTCGATGAGATAAGGAAAGACTTGAGCAGTTTTAAAATTGAAACTAGACCTGAAAATTCAGAAAAGTCTGTCGGCTTTACACCAGATGCGACCCAGTTTAGCACAGAGACCAAATTAGGCTGCACCACAAGACCTTCCCTCACCAATATCTTATATGGTAAAAATCAGGTAAATATTTCACTGTTAATTATTCTGTGTAACAACATAAAGAAAATTAATTTATTAGGCTGCTGACAATGAAAGCCAATTGGGAGCATGTGGTGACTCTATTTACACTTGCTCAACTTTAGTAAGCAAGACACCTTCTGTAGAGTCAAGAAGAGGTCTCAGTCCATTCAGAAGAGTCACATTGAAAGAAAGTGCTGCAGTTGTCATACAATCAACATTTAGAGGGTACAGGGTCAGGAGTAAGATACACCAATTACCTGAGAATTCTGAAAGGGAAATCTCATCCAAAACTGAAGTTGAAGCTGGAGGTTCAGTAGAAAACAGGCAAGATGCAAGTACAAATTGTAGAAAGGAAAATGTTGAAAGGTATTCCTTAAATTTGATATTTTTGTGATTCTAGTTTGATGATTTAAGACTGGTAATACATGAAATGAATTTTCTTGTTTAGTTTCTCTAAGTTGAATGACAAATCGACTACAAGTCTGTCTCAATTTTCCAACTCAAAACAAACCATCTTAATTTTTGAAGGGTTGAGCCCATGCCAGAAAAATAACCAAGTCAAGAAAAGCTGTGTAGTTTTCAGGTACTGTCTCTATAATTGATATAAATTTATGTTGAAATTAAGCAATTGTGAGTTAGAAATAATCTTGGAGAAAGTTAACAAAGAAAGAAATTTCAAATAGTGCTTTTTATGTATTTAATTATAGATACGATGAAATAAATAATAATTGGGATGTAATTAGTCACATGCCAAAGCCTAGATATTACCATGGTGTTGCAAAACTGCGTAGTAAAATATATATTGTAGGTATGTTTAATCTGCTATTTAATGTAAAGTGGCACCGAATTGAACATTATCGACAGACTGTTATACTAAATTTCAATTTATAACACAGGTGGCAAAAATCAAGAAGATGAACATCAAACGATGTGCACGGAATCTCTGAGTTTTGACCCTTTCACCTTACAATGGAAAGAAGAGCCACCTTTAAATACTCCTCGCCAAAGCTTTGGTATTACAACACTCCATGGGTTTCTTTATGTCATTGGCGGAGAGGCCAATAAGAGGTATGCTTAACTAAAATTATAGTTTTTTCTGATAACAGTAAATTTGTCCAATATTTGTTTCAGAGTACTTTCATCAGTTGAACGGTACAACCCTGGGACAAAAATGTGGGAAGAAGTCAAGCCACTCCCTGAGCCTTGTCTAGGTGTTGCAGCCTGTTGCTACGACAACCACATCTGGGTGGTAGGAGGAATGAACAACTACAAGCAGCAGATTAGCAGTCAGGTTTACTGCTACGATCCAGAGGAAGATGTGTATGCATATTTATAATAATTTTACAACATGAAGTCTTAAGAAAATAATTTCAGGTGGATCAAAAAAACACCTTTGAGATATGGCAGAGCATTTTCCTCACTTGTGAGCCACAACGGGGTACTTTATTTGGTCGGAGGGGCGACAAGTGAAGACAACAGAATAGTCAGTGTTGACGCTATTGATGTCTGGGATGTTAAGACATTGTCGTGGAAACTTAAAGTAAACATGCCTGTACCAAGACATGGGCACACTGTTGTATTTTTAGGTATGTTATCAGCCTAGTTAAAGGCCTAAGCCAGTTCTAAGAGATTTATTTCAGAAAACAAAATGATCATCATCGGAGGAACTTCAACTCAATATGCAAGAACGTTGAATCATGTTGATATTTGCTGCATGAAAACAGGGTCTTGGAGTAAAAAAATCAAATCACTTCAGACAAGTATTATTGGCCATTGCTCAGTCAATTTGCAGTTGAATACCAAAGACCAATGACATTGTGCTGTTTTGAATTAAAATAAATTTAGTATTTTATGAATTAAAGTTGCTGAAAATCGTTTAAAAAAATATACAGATAGTAATTAGATTAGTAAGATAAACGCTCAGAAATACTTTAATAAAAAATAAATATCTTTACAAAATATGTTCTCATTAATGGCAAACGTAGTTTAAAATGCAGAAGGAAATAAATTTTCTTTTTTTTACATAGTAAAAATATGTGAAATGTTTGTTATCATTATTGCCCTTTTTATAATTTATGAGTTAGTATATTCATAATCATTTGTCTTTGAATTTCATACTGGATGGAAATTTATAAAAAAAAATTGTTTGTAATAATGAATGAAGGTCTTGATCTATAAACAGAAAAAACAGTCGTGAGTTATGCAATAGGTTCATCTTAAATAAAATTCAATACTTAAATAATTGAATCGTGCTTTTCTTAAAAAACTGAAATTAAATCAAAGAAAACCTCTCAACAATGAAAGAAAACAAAAATTGCTCTCAACCATAAATTTTAAAAATTATTTGTAAAACAGGATGTCTAACTGTTTTACGTAATTTGGTTGTATTTTTGCCTTTCTTCACACAAGCCGGGTGAATTAATTGAAACATTCATGAGTGGAGAAGGCATTTACTACTGCTAAGATAAATGTGGAGCATAACTGAGATTTATAGCAAGTTTCCCCTGCCTGAATACCTCCTATGAAATAATTAAAGGTGCAATTGCACTAAGGACATTCATTAATAAATATGCTGTTCAATCAAAACCAAACTACTTTTTGTTTTAATATTGTTTTTGCTTTTTATATGTCAGTACTGATTGGAAAATAATCACAAAACCAACACATATAGTTACAAAGACAGAAACTGAACAGACATTTCAGACTACTCTATAAACTACTTCTAACATAAAAAAAATTAAAAAATTCAGTTTTTCCAATTCATAGTCCTCAAAATTGTAGTCAATGCTCAATACCACCCTCCACAATGACCTCAAAATACCCTTTGTAAAAAAATCAATCTAAATTTTACATGTTCCACGAAAAACTGTTCTACTCACACCGACCCATTTGCCCAATTCATGTCCAAAATCCCTATAATCTTGTCAGACCAGTAAAGCAGATATGGCGCTGGGACTTCCTTGCAAAGAACCGTTGAGCAGGGTTTGGAGGGCAATTAAGGCTGTTAACTTCCATAAAGATGTTTACTGTGCCTATGTGATTTGTAAATATGTATCAAAACATTACATAATGTATTTTAATGTACAGATGGTATTTAAATTTTTTTTCTATATTATACTATATTTGGAGCAACTTTATAAGTTTCAGGCAAGTTAGTTGATTCCTCTACAATCCTTATCCTTTTCTTCCTATATCTAATGAGTTTTAAAAATGTTCTATTTTATATTTTCAGTTTGTTACTTTATATTTGATTAATTTAAACGCGATGTAAGCTATAAATGACAGAGCATAGCCAATTGCCTATAACTTCAGGCACAGTGATTTTCGCTTTGTTTAGTCTGTCAGACTCATTTCTCAGCCGACCCCCAACAAGAAATTTTACAGTTTAAAATAAAAAAAAGTTATAGTAGTGAAGAATTATAATAAAGAAAAACTAGAAACTGTATTGCGACGATTGGTGACGGGGGTGACTGTACAGCGCAGAAAATCGCCTAATCACGGGGTTATTTCTTTACTATCAAATTTCCTTAATTTATTTTCCTTTTCTCTATAGTCTTGTGCGACAATATAAAGTTTAATACAAAAGTCTATATTTTATAGCAATCGGTCTTCATTTTTTTAAAGGAAACGATACAGAGGCGAAGTTTCGGCCTGGGTTTGATAGGAATGACGACCCAGCCTATTAATCAGTAGGGCCTGGGCAATTAGCCCTCCGAGGAATGAATAATTAAGTCAGAGTTATATGTAAACAGGATAATAGATTTAGCCGAGTGTCTTGGACGGATACCCTCATTTATCCAGTTTCCGGCCGCTGATCCGTAAGTCAAATCAACGCCCCTAAAAGTGCCATAAAGCAGTTTCGCTCAATTCCTTAATTTATCAATCACAAAACTTTATTAAACGATTAGAAAGTCATTTGTTTTGGTTTGATAGGCAACACATTTTCGGGGAGCGATTACTCACAATAAACAAAATAAGTTTTAGTAACATACAACATTCAAAACCTAGTAAAACTACTTTCAGTAAATCTAATACAAAATTTAGCTACCAGTACCATGAAACCAAATTTCTGAAAGTCCCGCTGATGTATAAATCGATATTTCTATATTTTCTTAATAAAACTGGCGGCTCTTGGATTGACCTCAATATCCGAAGCCTTACAGGCCAAATAACTTTTTAATATTTCTTCGTAAAAATGGTGGCTCTTGGATTATCCTTCATGCTAAGTCCGACGATCAACCCTGGTGCCTGGGGGTAACCAATGATGGAGGCAAATTTCCCCTTTACCTTCCTATACCCTTCCTTTCCTAATTGTCCTTTCTCTTCCTTACCCCTTCTGCTTTGCAGAGACTTCCTGGGTTCCTGAATCTGCCCCCTTAGGCAACGGGTGCATCAATAGGAGGTTCGTATAAACTCCCGGGTGGGCGATCAGTCCCACCTTAAAAATAATACTGAACCACGGGAGAAGAGTATCCAAGCGGCTCTACTAATTGAAGTTGGACTCGTGGTGGTCGTGGTTTACTCAAACAAAATTAGCTGGAGGGTACCGGCCAACCGGAGCCAGAGATAGAGTGCCTTCTCTATCTCTCCGGGTTTGGTGAAAGGCCGGAAACCACAGAACTGCCTTTTTCAAGGCACATGTATGGATGTGTCCCTTTTAGGGCACTTCTGAACTTGGTTAGCAGTGCACCCCCACGCTAGCCGAGGAATGTGACATATCCATCCGTGTAAAATCTTCCTGGAGATTTCTTTGAGACCACTGGTTGACTGACAAGTCCCCTCGGGGATAAGTCCGGACGTTAAAGATCCTCATGGGGCTCAACACCCACGAGTAAAGATGGGAACATCTGCCCTTCATGTCTCTCGAAACTTTATGTGCTAAACTTAACTCTTTTAATGTTTCTTCATACCGTTGGTAATCCCTAGATTGATCTCAAAGTTCCGAAACATCACTTTTCAAGATTTTCCTTGAAAATGCCAGAGACTCTTGGATGACCTCAACATCACAAAGATTTTCTGACCCTGGATCGATTTCCAAGGTCTGAAGCTTCATGTCTTAAACTTAACATTTTTTTATAGATATTGTTCGTAAAAATGGTGTCGGGTGGATTGACTTCAACTTACAGCTTCGCAGGCTAAAGTTATTTCTTTTTAAGTTTATTCTTGAAAGATTTACTAGCTAGTTTTCTTTTTTAATATTTTTTCGAAAAGATGGTAGCTACTGGATTGAACTCAAAGTTAAGAAGCTTCACTGGCTAAAGTTATCACGTATTAAGTTTCTTAATAAAAATGATAGCTCTTAAATTACCGCCAACATTTGAATATTGTATAGCAGTAAAATATTTACTAAATTTATAATTTTTAATGTTTCTTATATATCATAAAAAATTGTAGGAGGTTGTTTTAGCCCAATAAATAATGATGTTTGGTAAAGCGAGTGAACTTCTTTAGGAGCGAGTAAAGTTTCTACCTTTAGTACCTTAATTTTTTTAGTTTTAGCCAAATGAAATTTACAAATTTAATTGGCTAATTTATGTACTTAAAAAAAAGGTTTTGCTTCCACAAAGTGAGTAAATTTCTCCTTTTAAAGGTGTGTAGCTTTAATCAATATTATTATGAACATGCATTAGCAAATAATAATTAATTAATTAAAAATAGGACAAATCAAGAAAAGAAGAGTTGCAAAATGGCAACTTTGAAAGTGTACGAAAATTTTTTTATATTTTTTTAACTATATAAGTATTTTTGACAAGTGTTGTTTCAAAATTTTATGATTTAATATTCAAATTGATCGATCCAAAAGATTTTTTTTCTTTCGAATTCAATATTTTAGGCATGATTTATTATTGATTGTTTATTGTAAATAAAATAATTGTTTTGCGTCTATATTAACTTTCCTGTCTGGAATTTAATTGTGCTTAAAAATTAGAGGATCAAGGCAGTTTTCGTTTATATTTTGTTCTTTGGTTTAATATATGTTGAATTGTAATAAAAACGATGTAAAATAAATCAATTTGCGGTTTTTTTAAAATATAATATTTGTGACTAGCTTCTGATGTAAAGATTGCAGGGGAGAAAGATCGACTAGATACAAGTCCAAATATTGACGTGTGGGTTCCGGTTTGAAAACCAATTTTCATTATCTAGTGGGAAAATTGACAAAAACAAGATAGCCCTCGACCTAATCAATTTTTCCCCCAGCGGGGATGTAGATTAAATTCGAAATATCTTTGAGGAAGTCTGGTAGTAAATTTTAATGGAAGTTAATCTTGCCGTCGCACCTATCGTCATAGCAGCGGATTCCCAGCCTTCACCGTCTACGTAAATTTGAAAAGGTGTAAATTTTTTGTTTTTTAAGGAGATATGTTTACGTTACACCGGGTGGCTGGTTTTGTTCTATTGGATAAAGAGCCTTCAGGTAGATAATGGAGGATCAGGAGTGTATACAAGCAGCATAATGAATCCTATTCCAAGTTGAAACAATGGGGCTATAATTGTTATTTAAATTTGCCTCTGACTTTAGAAGTTCTCTTTGAATCGTTTTCCGAAGTTAAGACGGATTTACGACATCCAAAAAACACATACGTCTTATTGTTAAACTACAGCCCCCGCCAAAAACAAATAAAATTCTTCATTCATCGTCCACATCACGTCAAAAATCTAATTTTAAAAATATCACCTGGCAGTAAAGTTCCAACTAAGACATTAATCTTGTGATAATGCCTAGATGGTACTACAAAATTTAATTCAACCAAACTCTAATTAACTTTAAATACAAGTCAGTTACTGATGATGATATAGGAAAGCAATCGGCTCGTTATCTCGTTCATTGAAGAAGGATTTTGAACTCAACCCAAAATT